GTTATGTTTCAATTCATAATGCTTTTATGCGCGATTACTTCTATATTATATATTTTTGTTTGGATTGCTTACCGTTTCCTTAGTAAAGGTAGAAAACACCTTGTTCAAAAACACCTTATCAACCCTTCCCTCTATACTGTCCCAATTTTGTTTATAAAATTATTCCTATTTTAGCCACTAATGTAGCGCAATCAGACAGCCAATCACGTCTCCTAAAATCACTAATTTTTATCGTTTCAATCGTTATTGGTGGTTATGTAATGTGTTCTATTTCTCATTTAGTTATTAATCAATTTTTCAATTTAAATGATATTCAAGTAAAATAAAAAAGAATTTAAATTAAAAATAATTTTCTAGCAATGGTTAGTTGGGGTATTTGGAAGTATTCTTTTAAATATTGGCGCTTCTTCGGAGACCCCTACACTTTATATTTTTAGGTAAATTTTGGAGAAATTTGGAAAAATATTTTTCAAAATTAATTTTTAGTAGTATTTATCGAGAAGCTATTAAAAAACAATTAAAACAATTATTTTGCAAAAAAACTCAAAATAATGTAATTTCTGTCGTTCCTGGTTTAGTCAACAGAGGAACACAATTGGCAAACAGAAATGGAAGAATTGTTACTAATAATAGTTTATGTAATATTAGCAATCCGAAAATATAATGAAATAATTATGGAAAAAAACAATTGACAATTTAATGGATTTTTTTTGTGATAAAGTTTTAGAAAATGCTAAATAAAATTTAAAGTTTTGTTTCAAAATAAAACTCCAAAAAATATTCAATTAAAATCTACCCCGGCAACCCTCATGAAGCTTTTGTTAGATGCTTTATTCAGATGAAAATCTGGAAAGAAAATATAGATGTGTGGCTATATTTTCATATTTTCTTTTTTAAGCCTTTAATCCAGAATATGTATGTAGTTGCATCTTTTTCTTTACAAAAATGCTTGAATGCTCATTCAAATTTCGTACTTGTACTAGTAAGAGCAAAATAAAAATTTCTAAGCTTACAACTAATTTTCATTATATTCCACTAAATATTTATTTTGTTAGGCATAATGTTAGAATATTTAAATAAATATTTTTAATTAAGAATTTAATTATTAACGGAAATTTAAATAAATTATTAAAAATTTTCTTTCATTTTTTTAAATTTTCTAAATTAGTAAATGACATTTCTTTATTCTCAATTTCCACCTGTTTTTACTTAAATAACTAAAAAAAGTTAATTAATAAATTAATTTTAAAAATTATTTAAAAATAATTAATTAACAAAATTAATAAATAATTTAAAAACTAAAAAATTATATACCAAAAAAGCTGTCGGAACAAAAAATAAAAAAATCAGACCGGCTAAGGAGTAAATATTATTAAATTAAAATTAAAAAATTTAAAGACAATTTTCAAAGTTTAATTTTTTTACATTTTTCCCTGAGACTCGTTTAAAATTAAATTTTACTTATTAACATTGTTAGTTTAGTGTAGTTTTATAAAAAATAAAAATAAATAATTATTAAATTGTCTTTTACAGAAAAATACCGACACAAAATAAAAATTTATATTTTACTTTTTTTGCATGGAATTTTTGAATTTTAAGCAAAAATAAAAATTTCAAAAAAGTTTTTAAGAAACATTGAATTAATTAAAAATACAAAAATTGCAAAAATATTCTAAAAATAAAAATAATTAATTAATTAATTAAAATATAAATACAAATTTTTTGTACATAAATATCTATTCTAAGACAGATTTAATTAAATTTATTTTAAATTCATTTTTAGAATTTTATTTAATTTTAATTTAAATTAAAAATATTCATGGACCCTTCAAACAATCAAACACTAAATATTTTAAATGATAACTATCCAAATCATATTGTGAGTATTTTATGTAAATAATTATTTTAATTAAATAAATTATTTATTTAGTTATATACACAATATAAAAATGCAGGCCCAAATTCAACATTTATTGGACTTTCTTTATTGTTGAATGCTATTGGGGTGCCTGGAATTGCTTCAAATTTACTTTTAATTTTTGTAACAATTCGAGACAAGTATTTTTATTTAAAAGATTTTTTTAAATTAAAAATTAAGAAATTTGAGATGGCCAACAAATTATTTATTGGCTTTAACTGCTTTTTTTGAAATTCTCCATCAATCAGGGCATTTTCTTTTCTTAGCGATCTCAATTAGTGGAATTAATTTAATTGACTATTCCACAGCTATTAAATTCCAATTACATTCAATTTTTGGTTTAGCAGCAGCTCAGACTATAATGTGTTCAACAGCTGCTGACAGACTTTTATCTGTTCTGTTCCCAATTAAATATAACCAATTAAATATTCGCTCTTATTTGCTTGTCCACACAATTTTGGCTATTTCTAGCGGAATTTGGATGTCAATAAATGTTATTAATTTATCTAGCAAATACCCAACACTTCCCGTTACTGGACGTGTCGGTGATTTGTTAGTTTTAGATATGGAGATAATGCTTAAATTTATTATGCTTCTTTGTGCATTTAATGTAATATTTTATGTTCTCGTTTGGGTAGTTGTTCGTTGCTTTTATCCATGTAAAAAATTTTTTTTATAAATTTCATCAAATAAAAATTTATTTAAGCAAATAGCGATATCGGTGTTGAATCAGACAGTCAATCACGTCTTCTTAAATCTCTTGTTCTTATAATTACAATAGTTATTGGGGGTTTTGTAATTAATAGTGTTTGTCGTTTAATTGTTACTCGGTTTTTTAATTTAAATGATATACAGGTAAATATTTTAAAAATTAAAAATTAAATTTAAATTTAGAATTGGTATGTAAGTGTATTAGGTGGACTTTTCTTAAATATTGGTGCTTCTGCTGAAACTCCAACACTTTATATTTTTAGGTTTTTCTTTTAAAAATAATTTTAGAAAAAAATAATTTTTATATTTTCAGTAGTGTTTATCACAAATCTATCAACAAACAATTAAAATATTTATTTTGCAAAAAATCTCAAAATAATGTTATTTCTGTCGTCCCTTATATTCACAATAATAATAGTACCAAGGAGGGAATGATTGGGAATAAATTATCAAATAAAAATATTTTAAATAAACAAATTATTATTAAAAATTGTGTAAATAATTCTTTAACAAAAAATTTAAAATATTAAAAATATTTTTTAAAGAATTATTCTAAAATATTTTTTTGTATTTTAAATCATTTTTTTTTTTGAATAATTTGCACATTATAATTATAGACGGGACTGGGAGTGTCGTATGAGATATCTCGAAAATATTCTGATAACTAAGATTTTTAAACGATATCTCGTCTCAGTCCAATCACTAATTACAATTTCTGATAATTTTATTTAATTAAATATAAAAAAAAGTATTCATTAAATATTCATTATTCTGATACCATTTAATTGTTTATAAAAAAGTATTTAAATATTTTTTCTTTTTTTCTTTAATTTCATTTATTATTCAAAATTTTTTTCTAATTTGGCATTAATAATTAGATTATTATGCATACTAGCATTTGCCCTTTATTTGATAGACAATTAAGGACAGGTGAAAGTTAAATGTCAGCCTTTCTAAAAAAAATAATTTTATTAAAATTAAATAATTAATTGCTAATTCTAAAGTTAATTTAATTATAAATTACTTAAAAGTATTTAATATTAAAAAAATTAATATTTAAAAAATTAAAAAAAAATTATTAAACACGAAAATTTACTCTTTAAATTCTAATAAAAATATTGGATTCTAGAAGTTTTTGGGGAATTTTCGATAAATAGACCGAATTTTTAGTATCCAACTTTTAATAATAATTCAATCAAACCCCCTCAATTCATCGCCTAAACCTTACTTTTATTTAAATAATTTATCTGAATGAATATTTACATTGATTCTTCAATAAATCAAACGACTTTATTAAATAATTATGAAGTTCACATTGTTAGTATTTTTTATTATTAAATTTAAAAATAAAAAAATATGTATTCAATAAAACTAGAGGTGCTATAGTATTTGTTTTGGAAGTACAGTACTTACAAATCGACATTAGTACTTGAGAAATTAAAAAAAATTACTTATGTGTAAGTACGTACTTACAAATGGACTTTTTGTTTAAAAGATTAAATTTAACTTTAAAATTCTCAAAATTGTTTTCTGACGCCTTTGGCGCAGAAAAAATATTTGAAAAAAATTTTGCAGTGTACTTATATTTGAACAATTTCGATTTTTCGGGTTTATATGAATTGTTACCCACTTTAATTAATATAAAATAAAAATCAGCCGATGCTCAGCCCGATTGATTCGGCTAAGTCAAAAAATTCGAAAATTTAGGGTGAGGTTATAGTTATGTGGAGCAGTGTACTTATAAATTTTATACTTTTTGTACTTCAACTTAACCTTTTCTCGTTAGCAACTCTGAATAAAACAAAAAATATTAAAATTTAATTTACTAGCCAGGATTCTTGTTTTAAATAAAAACAAATTTTTATTTAATTTTCCAAAGATTTTGTTAACTTTATTCCAATCTTTCTCTAGAATCTAATAAAAATTTTGTTGAAGTATTAAATACAAAAATTATTTTTTTTTAACTTTAAAAGTTGTTTGAACAATATAAAAATGCTGGTCCAAGTTTTATATTAATTATTTCTGCTGTCCTACTGAATATTGTTGGGGTGCCAGGAATTACCTTTAATTCATTTCTTCTTTATGTTACCGTTAAAAACAAGTTTTTATTTATTTTTAAAAATTTCCTAATTAATTTATTTGAAGAAATTTGAGAGGGCCAACAAATTATTTATTGGCTTTAACTGCTTTCTTTGAAATTCTCCATCAGTCATGCCATCTTGTTTTTCTAGTTGTTGCTGTCAGTGGAATTAATTTTATTAATTATTCCACAGCTTTAATATTTCAATTACATTCAATTTTTGGTTTAACAGCATCACAGACAGCAATTTGCTCTACAGCTTTTGACCGTCTTCTCGCTGTTTCATTTCCAATGAAATATGATCAAATAAAAATTCGCCCTTATTTGTTTGTCCACACATTTGTTGCTTTTTCTTGTGGAATTTGGATGTCAATAAATGCTATTTTGTTTGCAAATAAATATCCTTCAATTAAAGTTACGGGAAATATGAGTGATCTTTTAATTTTGGATATGCATATCCTCCATTTATTTATGATGTCCCTTTGTTCATTAAATGTTATAATTTATTTACTTGTTTGGGTAGTTGTTTATTTCCATCAATCAAGTAATTTAAATTTAAATTTAAAAATTAAAATTAATTTTTATTTAAGCAAATAATATTAACGGAGCTCAATCTGATATTCAATCTCGTCTATTAAAATCTCTAATTCTTATATTTTCAATCGTTATTGGCGGTTTTGTATGTGGCACTATTTTGCGTCCATTTATTAATATTTTTATAATTCTTAATAATATACAAGTAAATTTATTAAATATTTTTTAAAAGAAAATAAAAATATTTTTTAGACTTGGTATGTTAAAGTTTTTGAAGGTATTTTAACAAATATTGGAGCTTCTGCAGAAACTCCTACACTCTATATTTTTAGGTTATAATTTAATTTAAAATAATATTGTCTTTAATTTTAGTAGTTTATATCGAGAAGCTTTTAATAAAGAATTAAAGAAAATATTTTGTAAAAATTATAATAAAAATAATGTAGTTAATGTTATTCCTGCTTTGGTTATCTCTAATTAATTGATGATTAAGAAAATCTCTTCAAAAGCATATTAAAAATGTAAACTAAAATATTTTTTGGAAATACATACCTCATTTTTGTATATATGTATATAATTTCGTTTTTATTAATCGAGTAAATATTGTAAATAATTTTAAATATATTTCGGATAATTTTTTTTGTTTTTCTACTAGAAATTGCCACAGTCGGATCTCACATTTACATTCAGAACCAAATAAACTTAACTGTAATTACAATTTCTTCGGCCTCGAAGGGTTGTGTTCTTTATCCGTTCTTTTTTCTTTAATACTATAGGTAAACTAGGAAAGGATAATCCTAAATTCATCTTTAACTACTTAAACATATTATGGCTAAACACAAAATTTTAATTTTTCTTAATCTGAATAAATTTGTTAAATAATTTAAATTAAAAAAATAATTTTTAATCAAAATACTTTTATATATCGAAAAATCAGTGAAAATTAAATTAATTTAAATTTAAAAATTGTTTTTTAAAGCTGTTCTGTAAAAAAATTTTACTTCAAAATAATTCACATCTCATATTTTTACTGAATATTCTGAAAAATAATTATTAAATTTAAAAAGTAATTTATTAAGATTTATATTTAATTAAAATAAAAGTAAAAATATTTTTTAATTTACAAATTTTTTCGTTTGGGCAGATTCAGGTTTAGGTGAATCTAATAAATCTGAGGGAATAAGATAGCTAAGATCTTCATCTTGAATGTCGTCATTATTATGATCAATATTAAACGAACTACTAGCCTCTTCTTGATCCAAATTATTCTTATGAACGTTTGAGAGATGGTGCAAAACTGTTTTTAAATGAGCAATATTTATAGGTAAAATTAATGGTTAGAATTTCTGAATGTTAAGGAAAGCTTTCCCTCTTTTTTAGAAACAGGAGATAATATTAGTATTATAAATAGAGAGAGAGAACCGTACGAGATATCTCAAAAATCTCGATTTAATAACCGAAATTTTTGCTAAGTCCGGTCTTTCTAATTATAAATATCATAAAGAAAATGTCAAATATCTATTATATTTCTACCTTTAAAATTGAATATTTCTTTTGGAGAGGATGGTTGGGATTTTCCTTCAAAAGTATTTTTGTTGTCTCTAAATATAATTGGGAATATAAAAAATAATAATTATTATCAAACTTATCATCATTTGTTGATTGATTATCTCCGTTTACTGATTTTTCTTTAATTTGATTAATAGGAATATATGGGTGTGCTCTTGTGCTCAACTCTCCTGGGACTTTGTAAAAATAGTTTACTGTATGGTAGGGTGGCTTTAGGTTTTGATTATATTGAGTGTGGTGGTTATTGTGAAAAAGTGGCTGATGATTCAAATGTCCCGTAGCATTTAGATCAGTTGAAAGGTTGTTGTCTTCACTCTTAATAAGTAATTTAAAAGTTGCGGAAATGTAGAAGGTTAACGGGAAAGTATTTGTAATTTTGAAAAAATTTTTAAGGTAATAATTTTAATTTTATATCACTTAAAAGTTTAAAATACCACATAATTTTTATGTGTATTTTTAAATATGTAAATAATATTTAATTATTTAGGTATATCTCACCGCTATTGTAGATGAAGTACTTTCCACACTAAAAATAATTAATTTAGGAGATTTTTTAAATAAATTTACAAATAATTGTTTGGAGATGACATTTCTTTTGCTAATTGTTTAGAATTATTTTGTTGAAAATCTTTTAAATCAAAAGATTTAGCATTTGGATTGAGTTTATGCTTCTTAATAAATTAAAAATTAAATTATTTCAATTAAAATAATTATTTTAAAAAATTAATATATTTACATTACCCCTTTCAAATTAACACTTTCATTATCTTGAATATAATTAAAAAATAAAATAAAAATTAAACAAAATTTTTGTTTTTTCATAATAAAACTTTTCAGTTTTTGTTTTTATAAATTTCTAGATTTAATAAATTATTTAAAAAATATTTTTTCTGATTTTTGAGAAATTAAATATTATACTACCTATTTAATTTTATATTTTAATTTATTAAAATTAAAATAAGTTTTTAAAATTATTGTCAAATAAACATTTGTAAAGAAAGAATGAAAGTAAATAAAAGTATTTAAAAAAGGCAGGTGAATGTCCTTATTTTATGTCTACATAAAGGATGCTTTGCGTCTTGCGATAAACAAAATTTCGCGCGACTTTTCTCTCCCTTTTCTCCATAATCTCTAATTAGACCTGCGATTTTTATTTATTTAGCATTGAATCACATGAAAAAGTCAATTAATTACTCAATTTATTGAGTGATTGTGAAAGACTTTGTTTAAAAAATTAAATTATTTAAATTTTATAACAAAAACTTTAGTTAATTTCAAGGAAAGTTATAAACTCGTTAGATATAAGATGAAGTAAGCTAAAAAATTAGAGAGGAGACGGGATTCAACTGTAGTACATATGTATCTTTAAAAAATAGAATGAATTTATTCTAATTGTAGGTCGATGAAAAGTGTATCTTTTAATAAACAGTTTTTTTCAAGTTTATATGTATATTTTTTGTTCTTCAAAATTTTATAATTAAATTGTACATATTTACGTGAAAATAAATTTTATATTTAGTATATAAAAATGACAAATTAAGAGAATATTTAAATATATTCTCTGGCTAAATTTTGAACAACGGAGTTAAAATTATTATTTGTTGGTTGTGGAGCAACTACAGCTGTTCGTAAATTTAAAATATGGACTGGCGAAACACCCGGATTTCCATCTCCATAACTTCCCACATATGAATGTAAAATATGAGGAAATTGTTTTGCATATGCTTGTCGATATTCATAACTTAAAAATTAAATTTTAAAGAAAAAAAATATTTTAAAAAAATACCTAAGCAGAAAAAGTACAGGCCCATTAGCTGCCATTGCACAAATTGGAAGAAATGAAAATGAAAAAGTTGTGTAAATTAATAATTGAGGAGATAAACCAATTAAGGGCAATAAAAGCCTTACAATACTATTTAATACCCAACAAACAATAATTAAACAAGTTAAAGTTGTTAATGAACGAAGAATACGGCGAGTAAAAATTGAAGTAGTTTGGGCTAGAAAAAAAATATTTAAAAAGTAAACGAATAAATATAATTTTTTGTTCTAAATTACCGATAATCTTAAGGGAATAAAAATAAATTTAAATTAAAAAAAATTTAGAGTAAATAGGGGACGTATTTTAATTTTAATTAAAAAAGTATATATTTACAAAGTTTGTTTTGATATATTTTAAAGACAATCCAAAGAATTATATATTCAAACAATAAAATAATATTTGCAAATAAATTCACAAAATAAAGAAATTTTCCTCTTTCGCCTTGCTGAACTTCTCCAGGGGATGAACAAATTACATGAACATATGGATGTTCAGTAGATATTAAAAAAAGTTGCCAAATTTGAAAACATGAATAAATTATACATGCAGACATTAATGAAAATAAATATTTGAAGGGGCGAGATTGGAGATTCCTTAAATTAAAAAAAATTAATGAAGATAGAAGGAAATAGAAGGAAGGGAAAAAATGTTGAAAAATATAAATTTAATATTTATCAATATTTTTTGAAAAAAAATTTAGTATTTTTATTTAAAATTTACATCCAAAAAGAAGCAAATAATATATTTATAACTCTATCAAAGCCAATAGCCAACATTGTTGCCAAAGTTAAATTTCCAAAAAATGCCGGCAAAAATTGTAAATAAAAGCAAGTATTCACTTTAATAAAATTAATTCCACTAATCGCAATAATTAACCCAATCGACAGTGTCGGTTCAAATATAGCTGTACATAAAGCATTGGTAGCTATTAATATATTACAAGTACTGTGTAATGATCTGAATTTTTAAATATAAATTATTTAGAAATAAAAAGGTAAAAGTCCAATGTTTATTTTACAGGTGTTATTATGTAATTGTAACATTCACCTGTGACAACAATTTTGTGTAACATTGTGTGTAATTTTAATTTAATTATTTTATAATTCTAGAAAATTTAAAAAAAAAGGGAAGAAAAAATTCGAAATAAAATATAAAATTAATATTTTTGAAGAAAAATATTAACTATTGTGAGATAACCCCTAAAGAATAAATTCTAATATTTATTTTAAATCAATCAAAATTTCAAAAAAAAATATTTATTTTAATTTACTTTGTTCTTATAGTTATATAAACTAAAGACAAATTAAGTAAACATCCAAACATAGAAACTATCCAACGGACAGTAATTAACATTACAAAAGTAAAAGGAAGTCCAGTTTCTTTAAAATTTTGATAAAACTATAAAATAAATTTAATTAAATATTATTTTAAATTTACAAAAAACATACTAAATTTGTAGTTCCTTCGTTGTAACTCATTTTACAATATTTATTTTAATTGAATATACTATATATTAGTGTTGTGGAGATTTTTGGAGATTTTTTTCTTTTGAAATAATTATAATTTGTGTCGATTTTTATGTTTAAATTTTAAATTTATTTCTAACAAAAATTTAAAAAATCATTTAGATAAATTATGAAAATTATTTTGAAAAAATTTTTTCTAGTCAATCCCTTAGAGAATTTATTAAGCTACATTTTACAAAATATTTTTTAATATTTAATGAAAAAATGAGTAATTAATTATTAAAATTAACCTTTTGAATTTAAATAAAATCTTAAACCTTTGGGGAATTAAAAATTTTTAATAAAATTTTGGTTGCCAGGGGTTGTTCTAAGAAAATTTTATTTAAAAAATTAATTTTAATTTAATTATTTCTTAATTTTATTTAAAAAAAGGAAATAAAAATTATTTAACAAAAAAAAATAATTATTATATTTACTGTGAGAATAATTCTAAATTTTTTTAAATAATTTTTTTGTCTTGAAATACTATAAAAAGTAAAAAAATATAAAGATTTTAAAAGTAGTACTTAGTATAGTGAAATTAAAAAAAGTTTAATTTGTATATTAACGTCAGAGAAATTTCTAAAAAAAAATTTTTTATTAAAAATTGTTGGGTTGTTAAAAATTAATAATAGATAAGAGAATAAAAAAGTTTTTAAGTCTGGGTTTGATTATTTTAAGTTTATCTAATTTATATACAAGAATATTTAACAATTAAAATTCATCTTTTCTTTAGAAAATTGACTAATAGATACATTTTATTTAATTATCACTTAATATAAACAAAGGAAAATGGAATAAATCATAGTAAGAATAAAAATTTAGAGTTAAAAATTCACTCAGACCTATGCAAAAAATTTACTCAAAAATTATAATTTTTGCTAAATATTTATTTAATTTAACTAAAAATTATATGGTAATTATTCAATAATTCTTTTGTACCGTCTAAATAATATGTACATACCACTAATTTTATTTTAGTTTTTTTTATTTTCTAGTACCTAATTAAATAAACAAAAAATTAAATAAATATTGTTAATTTAATAATAGCCAGACTTTCTTTAAATTAAAAAAATCTATTTTGTGGTAACAATTAATAAATAAATTATTTTCAAATAAATACTGTACTGATAATTATTATTTTTTATTTTAAAAAGTTTAATAAATATTTAATAGACAAAAAAATTCAAAAATAAATACCTATATTAAAAAAAGTAATATTTATATATCCATTATTTATAAAAAATTACTTTTTATTTTTAAAAACCGCGCCCTTTTAAAATAACAAAATATACTAATTAAATATTTATGCTCAAATAATTAATTTTTAAAAAGAAAAATTAATGAAACAATTTGGTATTTATTTTAGTACTGTTAGACTTGTTATTTTTTTAAATAAAAATGTTAAAGCTTCTTTAAATAAATAAATGAAAGATGTTTGTAAAATATAAGCATTTTTATATAAAATAATTTATTTTTAACACTTGCTTGATTAGAGAAAATAATTTTGAAAAACATTTTATAAAATATTATTTTTAAAAATAATTATTAAAGAGATTTCCCTTTATCTAAAATTTGTATTATTTTTAAAATATACGTCAAACAGTTTTATCCTCATCATCTCTGCGTAGAAGTTTTTTTGAGCTTTTAAATGATATAGTACATATTTGAGATTAATTTGTATTTTTATTTTTAAAAAAATAAATTCAGACATTAAAAACAATTAAAAATAAAAAATAAGTTTAGCATATAAAATATTTGTTATTATTATTACTTGCTTCATTAGTATTAGTTTTTAAAAATTAAAAAAGTAATATAATGATCCCAAACTTTCAAATTTAATTCCAAATTAACTCAAACTTTTTATTTAATAAATATACAAAATTTTGAAAATTATTTTATTTTTTGTGGATTTGTGAAAAATTTTAGAATAATAATTAGGTAATTCAATCAGAAATTTACTTAGTCTAAAATCAATTTCCTAATATAAATCCGATTTCTAATAAATATATACATACATATGTAATTTAAAAAATTACAATAAAAGAGCTATCTATAAAAATAATTTTCAAACAAAATTAATTTAATCATTCATATTTTATTTCTTTGTTGATTGTTTTGTTTTATTTACATAAATAACTTTGCTACTTAACATTCCACCAATATAGTTAACATTACCAGGACTAATCATAATTTTATTATTTTGAAATTTCTTGCAAAATAATTGTTTAAATTGTTTGTTGAAAGCCTCACGATAAATATTACTTAAATTAATTTTTAAAAATTATGTCAAAAATTTTTATTCAATTCCTTTTTATCGTCCTCTACGTTAACTCCCATGTCACAAAGATAAATAGGTAACTAATTTATTTTAAGTATTAAAGTTAACCCAAATTATACCCTAACGTTTAATAAGTGAAAAAAGAGTTATTTTTTGGAACAGAACAATCTTACTATAACAGAACCAAACAGAGCAAAATCCTCTGTTATCTGAGCTCCTATTTTTAAGTATAAACTATAAAGGGGTTTATTTTTAATAATTTTTTAATTAAAAATTAATTCTAAAAATAACCTAAAAATATAAAGTATCGGTGTTTCAGAAGAGGCGCCAATATTAATTAAAATACCTCCAATGGCTCCAAAAAACCAAATCTTAATTTTAAATTTTTTATAAATTTTATTAATCTTATTTTTTACTTGTATATCATTTAAATTAAATAAAGGTAAAATAAATTTCAGACATATACTGTTAAGTATATAACCACCAATAACAATTGAAACAATAAGAATGAGAGATTTAAGAAGATTGGATTGATTATTTTGAGAAATAATGCTTTCGGTATTTCCTTTAAAATATATAGTAAATTATTTTAATGAATAATAGAGGGAGAGAATATGTTAATGTTGGGGTTGGGAGATGGGATAGAACCATCGTAAAATGAGTTCAGACTGTAGCACATGCCTGTAATATTCAATTTCGTTCCCCCCCTCCTTTTTTCTATCCTCAAAGTATTAAAAAATGGTCAGTCTGACTTAAGTTATAGAACTCGTCGAGCTGAGTCGAATGACACCAAAATCAAAAAAAATCCGACTTGATTTGACCGAAATACAGACCCCTGAAAATTGAACAACCACAGGGGCGAAAAACCATAAAGACGAAAATTTATACAAATGATAGCTCATTCGAAAGAGCTCGTCGAGCTGAGTCGAATGACACCAAAATCAGCGCGATTGCACAAGATTTGACAAAGTTATGACATAAGTCGTCGACTCCATTAGGTCTACACTTACTGTCATAACTTTGTCAAACATGTCCAATCACGTCGTTTTTGGTGTCATTCGCTTCAGCTCGACGAGCTCTTTCGAATGAGCTATCATATGCATAAAAAATTTTTATTTTAAAAAATCACCCCTGTGGTTGTTCAATTTTCAGGGGTCTGTATTTCGGTCAAATCAAGTAAGATTTTTTTGATTTTGGTGTCATTCGACTCAGCTCGACGAGTTCTATAACATAAGTCAGACTGACCATTTTTTAATACTTTGAGGATAGAAAAAAGGAGGGGGGAACGAAATTGAATATTACCGGCATGTGCTTTATTATCACAGGGATTGTTGGATAAATACCGAACACGAAATTGAATATTACCCACATGCCCCTTGGATGGGTTATTTTTATTTATTCATATATTCTTTCTGCAAGTACAAAAGAATTACCAGAATTTAAATACCGAACACTTATCCAAACAAAAATATAAATTATAACATTTAATATAGATAAATACATAAAGAATGCAAAAATAATATCCATATCTGAAACAAATAAATCGCTAATATGTCCAGTCACAGGGATTGTTGGATATTTATAGGCAACGTTTAAAGCCTTTATTGACATCCAAATTCCGTTTGAAATAGCCAAAAATAAATGAAACCCCAAATAAAGGCGAATATTTAATTTAACATATTTTAATGGAATTAAAAAAGAAAAAAGTCTGTCAGCAGCTGTAGACACAAACAAAATCTGAACTGCCGCTATACCAAAAATTGAATGTAATTGAAATATTAAAGCTGTAGAATAATTAATTAAATTGATTCCACTGGCCGCAACAAATAAAAAAACAAAATGGGCAGATTGATGGAGAATTTCGAAAAAAGCAGTTAAAGCCAATAAATAATTTGTTGGCCCTCTCAATTTTCTTTAATTTTTAATTTTTATTTTTAATTTTTTTTTTAATTTTAAAAAAAAAACTTTTCTTTAATTGTTACATAAATTAAAAATAAATTTCCAGTAATTCCAGGTATACCAATTAAATTTAACAAAACTGCAGGAAGTAACAATAATAAACTTGGCCCCGAATTTTTATATTGTAAATAAAGCTTAATTTAAATTAATTTAAATTTTTTAAAATTAATTTAAAGAAATACCAAATGATGGGGAAGACTATTATTTAGTAATAAATCGTTTATTATTTGATTTGAAAAAGAATTTGTCAAATTTTGCATCTTTAGAGTATAATTAAATTTTTAAAGGAAGAAAGAATTTAAATTTAAATTGAAAATGATTTTAAAAAATATTTTTTCTAAATTATTTAACATTAAATTAAACTAAATTAAAAGTAATTTTTTAAAATATATTTGTAGTTAATGTTTCGATAAGTTGCGTGTAAATTATTAAAAATTAAAACAAAAAAGGAACTAATTTTAAATTTGTCATTTAAACAGAAAATATTGAAACAATGATAATAAAAAAAGTAAAGTTTAAAATTAATTTTTAGTAAAATAATTTTAGACTGAGATTTCGTGGTTTAAAATTTAAATAAAAAAATTAAAAATTTTTTAATTTGGTATAATTTCTTTAATTAATTATTAAATATATAAGCTTTCTTCTACTTTATAACTTTAATTTTTAATTTAAAGAAAATTCTGAATATTTAACAGTATAATCAAAAATTCTAAAATAAACAGATGGAATAAATTTTTAAACAAAATTAAAAAAATTTTTATTTAAAAATAGAAATTTACATGAAAACTAAAAATTACTCTTTGTTACGATATCGCCTTTTTATCTGTTTCTGTGTTTTCCCCCTTTTCCAGACAGGACTGTGGTACTGAAAAGGAAGAGCCCGGAGCCAACATGGAGCGTCTCCGAAAATCACCTGCCCGAAGCCGGAACCGGTGATTTTTAAATGCCGGAGCTAGTGCAGGAGAATATCCTAAATTTTGGTTTGGATATCTGCTCCGAATTTGGGTATCCGTGATTTACCAGGATCTGCCAACCATAGCCCATGGCTTTTTTAATTCCTAAGAGTTCAAGCAAAAGTTCCAACCGAAACCTAACATTACAAAGATCTACAAATTATTTTCAGTTTTTTTAACTTTTTTCGAGTTCAAAAATTTTAGAAATTATTTTCGATTTCAATATTTCTATACTTTTTTCGATTTGAAGATTTCTCTTACGAAGGAACAAATAAAATTACTGTTTTTGGCTCTATCTGAAAGGAGGTGCGGCATCATATTTTTTCCTCCTTCCTTACACAACCTTTCATTTTTCCTTAATATGAAAAAATGGTCAGTCTTTCTTCCTTCCTTATTTTACTAAAATTCCTTGTGGCATATTCAAATGAAAATGGTCATCATTTATGATTTTTGAATCGTGTCAGGCTAACTTACGGAACAGACAAGACACGGATCATACCAAAACTCGAAACAGACAAAACACCGTCTTACCAAATCAAGGAACGACCAAATAACAGAGAACCATAACACGGAATGACCAAAAACTGACCGAAGATCTGGTCTGTGATCTGGTAAGACGGTGACTTGTCCGACCTTTTTGTCGTTCCATCTCCTGTCTGTTCCGTCCTGACAATGGCAATGAGAAAAAATTAGTCCTTTCCTTATTAATGTCTCTCATTTCAATATGCCACAGGGAAAATTAAGAGCGTGGAAAAGACTGACCATTTTTTCATATTGAGGAAGAATGAAAGGTTGTTTAAGGAAGGAGGAAAAAATATGATCCCGCACCTCCTTTCAGATAGTGCCCTGTTTTTTATTAAGAAGGTTTTTAATCGAAGGATGTTTTAGTCGGTTGATGTTTTGGTCGGTAGGTATTAGATCATTTAGCGGATTTTTAATGTCTAGGAAAAAAATATTATTAATATTATGTATGAACCGTTTTAGGGTTTTCTAATTTTCTTTAAAAGCATTCATTCATTGACGAAAAGTCCGTTGACGTAAGGTCCAATGACGAAAAGTATTGACGGAAAGTCCTTTAACGAAAAGTCGGGGAGCCTTTTGGTCGTTTAGTTTTTGGTCGGATTGGTCGATGGAGTTTTGGTCGGAGGAATTCTGTCGGTTTTTCAATATTAGCCTGACTACTTTTTAATAATTAAATTTATAAATTAATAGAATGGACAGAGTTTATTCTTTAAGTGTTTATGAAACCCCTACACATTTTTATATAATTGGTTCAGATGCAACAGAAAGTATATTTCGAACACTTAAAATTGACAGAATTACACAAAATGAATTTATAGTTGGGGAGCCAAATCATGATTATACTAAAGGTTTTTTTGAAATTAAAAAAAAAATATTTTTAAATATTTTTTAGCTGATATTGGTGAACTTCTTGCAACAGTTTCTTCAAGTTCAAGTTATTTTTTAAAATAAATATTTTTAAAATTTTTTTTGCAAATTTAGTAGTGACACCAACTGAAAAATGGGGAAGAAAAAGAAATAGTACAGTCTCTACAGGAGGAGGGCTTTTACGGACTTTAGAGAAGGCTTGTGGATTAATTGGAGCTGTTCGGTTTTTACATGGATATTATTTACTTGTTTGTTTGGGGTTTTTGAAAATAATGCCTAATTCTTTTAAAGTTAGTCTCTAAAGCAAAACAAATTTGTCAAATTGGAAATCATTCAATTTTTAAAGTTGAGGATGTTTCGATGATTTATTTACCTTCAACTTCAACTCCTTTACCCCCAGAAGAACAAAAATATGCAAAATTATTTCAGGTTAATTTTATATTATTTTTAAAAATAATTTTAAAATTTTAGACAGTTGATTTTACAACAAATTTTTATTTTTCTTATACATATAAACTCAGCCGGACTTTACAAGAAAATTCTTTAGCAGAAAAAGGAATTAAATGGAATAAAAATAATTATAAATTTAACATGGAAAGTGAACAAAAATTTGTTTGGAATGATTTTTTACTTGAACCGTTCAGAAAAAGCCGGGTTTGTTAATTGGAATTTGAATTTTATTTTGAATTAAGGTGAATAAGAAATGGTATTTGGAACTTGTACATGGATATATTGGTTAGTTTGTTTTTTTGAAGGGACTTGAGTATTTCCACAATTTATTTAATTTATAAGTATTGTCTTTTAATATTTCCGTTAACCTTATTTTAACAATCCGTTTGTTAATTCGAATCCTAGTGTGCCGCCACGTTTTTTTATTTTATATTTTTTGGCCTTCAATTCCATGATTTTTTAATTTAAAAATTTATTTAATTTTTTAAGATATTCCCAATTAGATATTTCTTCATTTTTTAAGGTCATCAATTGGTAGAATTGCCCTGTGCTAAATTTGATTTAATTCTTTTGGCTAGACGCTCTGCTGAATTTGCTGGCACTCGTTTTTTAAAAAGAGGTACAAATTACAAAGGAGCTGTAGCTAATGATGTTGAAACTGAGCAAATTGTATGTGAAGTTAGCAATTCGGGAAGTTTAAATTCTGGAAAATTCTCTGCTTTTGTTCAACGAAGAGGGTCTGTCCCTCTTTTTTGGTCACAAGATTCAATGCATAGAGGGGCTCCAATGGTTAGTTTTTAAATAAAAAATTTATTTAATTGTTAGAAAAATTCATGAAATCCAAATTTCTCCAAAAAAATTTTTCTGAAATTTCTCTATACTTTAATTTTAACAAAAAATTATAACCCCTCTTTTAGGTTGTTGGAAAACCTCCAATAGTTATTGATCGTGTAGAACCAAATGCTTTAACAACAGCAATACATTTTCAAGATTTGAGAAGAAAATATGGCCATCCAATTATTGTTTTAAATTTAGTTAAAAGAATGGAACAGAAACATAATGAAAATTTACTTCACGATAATTTTTGTAAAGTTTGTTTTTATTTTTAATTTTTTAAAATCATTTCCTTCCCTTTCCTCCAAAAATTTTTAAAAAATAAATTTCACAAATTTAGACAATTCAATATTTAAATCAATTTCGGCATTCTGGACATTGTATTGACTATATTAGTTTTGATGTTAGTCGTTGTAATAAAACAGGTCGGGTACTTCAACAATTAGACCGTCTTGGTCAAAGAGTTGTTTTGGCTACTGGATGGTTTCAAGTAAAGAAATAAATTAAATCTTTAGATTTTTTTAATTTTTAGAATTTTCCTTCGCTTAAATTCCGAGATCCCTCAAATTTAAATTCAATTCCTTTTGGTGCTGAAGATATTGTTTATCGTTTTGAACCAGAAATGTCTTCAGATAATCGAATGCTTTTACAGCATGGAATTGTTAGATCAAATTGTGTTGATTGTTTGGATAGAACGAATGTAAGTATTTTTGTTTGTTTTGTGGGGATTTTTTTAAATTTTATTATAATATTTATTTAAAATCTAATAAAATTTATTTAAGGTAGCACAATTTGGATTAGGAAAAGCAGCTCTTTGTTGGCAATTATTCTCTATGGGTCTTTTAGACTCTCCATCTCCCCAATCATTGAGTAATGAATTTTGTAGAAGTTTTGAAGAATTATATGATGAACATGGGGATACTTTGGTAAATTTTTGAATTAAATTTTTGGAAATATTTAAAAAGATTGCCTGATGTGAGAAAAATTTTCTTTTAAAGGCTTGGCAATATGCTGGATCTCAACTTGTTCATTCCATCAAAACTTACAAAAGGACCGCTGTTTTCCAGGTATTTTAAAAATTATTAAAAAAAATATTTTTATTTTTAAAACAAATTAGGAAAGAAGTAGGGACGTATTACAAACATTGTCTCGTTATTATAGCAATACATTCAGTGATTTTGAAAAGCAAGATGGAATTAATTTATTTTTGGGGACTTACCGGTTGGTTTATTTTTACTTTATGCGAAGTTTGTATATATGGCATTTTTGGAATAATGGGACTTTAACTGTTAGTATCTATATAAATATTTGTATAGTCTAGATATTCTGTCAAATATTTTTTCTCCTAATTAATTATTGTAAGGAATTATTTTAATATTCCAATTTGAGTTATGAAACGAATATATGACTTCGGTGAAGGGAAACATTAGTATTGTCAGCGGACATATTTTTGTTTAAGGTTTTGCGACATAAGTTTTTACATTTTAAAAAAATAAGAAAATTTTTAATTTATAAAGCTATTTTTTGTAATCTTTCTTTTAAATTTAATTGTTGAGATTCGTCGGTCATTTGGTAAATTTACTTCTTAAGACTTTGGTGCCGCAGAATTGGCCTTTAATTTAGAATTATTTTTTTAATTTTTTGTCAAAATATTTTATATACCTTTGTTTGTGTCCCCATTGCTTTAACTTGACATTGTTGGTATGTGTCATACAGAGACTATTTTTTTAAATTATTCTAAGTTTCAATTAAATATATTACCAGCATTTGTTCATGCAATTGAACCAACCGTTGGGCATAACCAACATGACAGGCTTCCATAGCTGGGTTCATTGCATCCTCTTCTAAATATAAATTCCTTTTTACTTGCATAATTTTTATATTTTTTAATCATCTCCTCATTTATTTTTATAAGTTTTAACTTCACCCAACTTTTATTCTTTTATTTGAGTGGTTTACTTACCTCCACCCGCAAAAAACTCGTTGACTGGCCCTCGTGCTCCAGTTAGCGGAACAAAATCTGGAGGTGGGTGACGTTTTGTAGGTGAACGTAAAGCAAATGTTGAAGGTACTGAACGTTTGCCCCATCCATCAGAAAATGTCATTTGTGCATTTGCTGCCAACAAACATCCAAAACAGACTATTAGAATAACAATTGTAGTATAGGATTGCATTTGGAATGAGAACACTTTTTGTTTAATTTGTGAAATTTGATGATTCTTTGTTTGTTGTTTTTGGAATTAATAGCCTTTTTATTTAAACCTTTTTATAGAATTGTCTAAATTAAAAATATTGTTTAATCTACCCTAACTGTAAATTAATTTTTAGGTAAGCTTTGGTACTAACAAATAAGTAACACATTCTTTTCTTTTGTAAAGTTCTGTCCCTTTTTAATGGAAAATTCCTTTCAAAAATCCCTGTTTAAAAGTTCTCAGTTATATAGAAATTTTCAAAGAAATGTTTTAGATTTTTATTGAGATAAATTTCTGAATGGAGGAACGTTTAAATGTTTAAAGTTAAGTATTCTCTTAAATAATTTTAAGGCTTTCTAAAAAGGATTTAAAAAAAAGAAAAAGCATGTGAATTTAATTACACAGAAATATTTTAAATAAAATTATGTAAATTGTTAGAAAATCGCGCGCTTTTTTTTTAATTTTAATGGAATTATAAATTATTTTGTTGAAAATAGTAGGAGTGAACACACTCAGAAATTTGTTTTGTTTTTAAAATTGCTTTAAATGTCAAATTCTAAACATCCATTTAAAGTTAATTGGTGTTGACACCTTTTCCGCTTTTATGTCATTGTAAATATCTTAGCAAAAATACTCCTTCCCCCTCTTTTATAATTCTATTTGAATTTTTAAAAAAACGTTTCTGGTGTTTAAGTAATTATTTTTAGAAGTCTTTGAATATTAAATTTTAAGTTAAGTAGGGTGTGTGATGTGAGGAATTTTGTGTGAAGTTAGAGGTAAAAATAATTTAGATAATCTTATGATGTGTGTTTAAAAATATTTTTAATAACAATTCTAAAAATCCAAATTTTTGGTTCATTATTTCGGATTTTAAGAGTAAAAACTGTTTTAATGTTTAGGTAAATTTGAGTTTTAATTTTTGGATTTTTATAATGAACAAAAGTTGATAAAAATGTTAGAAATTAGAGGAATATTAAAAAATAAAATTGCCGAAAGTTAATATTTAAAAGGATTAAATTACGTCAATTTTTATTAAAATTGACAATAGGAAATAGTCTTTAATCCATCATAAATGTAGTATTTTCGGTTTTCCTTTTTTGTTTTATATAAATTAATATTTTAGGCTGTAGTTTTACTATACATATTAATTTGGAATAAATTTAAAATTAATTTTTTTTAAAATGTTTTTTAAGAAAATTATATTTTCCTTTCAAATTATTTTGAGAAAATTAGACAAAATAAAAATTTTGTGAGGAAAAATACAAGTAAATTTTATCATTAACAATGGGGCATTACTTAAAATATTTTGTATTTATTTTTATTGCATGGTATACTTTATTTGGAAAATATTTTAGGGCTTTCATTGTTTTGGACTTTTATTTTGTTACATTACTAAATATAAAAAAATATTTTTATGCTTTTTGTTTGTCTTATTTTTCGTGCAAAGCGTGCCAATATAAAAAGTGAATTTATGTATTAATTTACCGCGGCACGTTTAATACTATAAAGCTTTTTTATGTAGGGGTTGTTTTGGCAGAAAATAATGTTTTTATAAATAAAAAGGTGTGCCTAATAATTAAGGGAAAATATATATGAAAATCTGAATTAAAATAAATTTAAAACCAAGATCCAAAACTATTTACTCATCGAAAATTAGAAAAACACTTAAAATTTCAAAATTAATTTCAGTGTCCAAGCAGATCAACCTCCAATTTGGACTCTCGGTTCTGACCACTATTTGCATTTTCCTATTTCCTCACCTAAATCGAACGAATTTTTACTTTGGTCTGTTTCTGTCAGTTCAGATAATGAAGATGAGGATTGGGTGGCTGATTCTGAATTTAGAGATTGGGTAATTCTAAAGACTTCAAAGGATTTGGGTAATTTTAATTTATATTTTTTAATCCGGAATGAGTAATTAAAACTCACGAGATTTAAAAAAATCAGCAAATATTTATTAGAAAGTTTTAGAGAATAGGAGCAAGAAAGTGATCTTACCCTCTATGCTAATAATGAAATTGGAAATGATTTAAACTTTTTTCTTTACAAATATTTTTTTAAATTTCTGCCATTTAATTTAAAAATATATTTATTATTACAGTTAATATTTCATTAAATAATCTGGAAATAAAAAATGAAGAGAATTTTACAAATTTTGATGATTATTTATTTTCTATAACACATAAAACTTTTGAATTTACAAGTTTGGAGCAACTGTTACGTTTACAACAACAAATGCAGCAGCGGCGACCTTTAGTTTTGGATTCGTTGAGGCGAAGTCAGCAGGGAGGGGGATCTTTTATGTGGATGTTTAAGGTAAAAAAGCATTTAATGGGCTAGAAATAATTTTTTGAGGAAAAGATTAAAGGTTTTGGAAATTAATTTTTTTGTTTAAAAATTTTTCTAAATTTAGAATTTTAAATTTAAAAAAAAATAAATAAAATAGAAATGGATTTATTTTATTTTACAAAAAATATTAAATGGAAATGTAATAATTTTTTTGGATATAATTGGATATAAATTCTTTCTAAAAATATATAAAAAAATGTCTAGTAAAAATGTAAGATATTATAAGTATATTACAATTATTGGAAAATATCATTTTTTAACAAAAAATTTTAATGAGATTTATTAACATTTCCTTTTTAATTTTCCAAAAAAAATTTTTTTCAAATTAAAGAGTGAACATTCTCCTTCACCTCCACCTGCTCTATCATTTACTTCCAGTAAATTTAGTATTAATAATCGTCAAACAACCACAACCTCCTATTCTTCTTTTGCTACTGGCACAGCTTCAATTATACGAAAAGAAGAAATAAAAGAGAAAATAAAAATTAAAAAAAGTTTTGTTGATGAAGAAGGGCAAAAACCTTTATTGCTTTTTGATGAAAATGAAATAGCTGAAGAGGCAGATGAACAAAGAGTTGAAGATCAATCAGAGGGAGGTGAAGACAATTCTGGAGGAATTGAAGGAGGAGGGGGAGGAGGAACACTTTTGTTAATGACTTTAGATAAACAAAATGATAATAAACAAAATATTATTGGAAATTCAAAAGAAGAGGGATTAGCTATATTTTCTGCTGTTGAAGCTGAAGAAAGAACTTTTGAGAGTGATGTAATTATTTTAGAAGACAAAAATGCTCCTGAGGAATTGGCAAATGATCCTTTAAATAAATTTAGAGGTACTACAAATATACATATTTGTTTTGTATTTATTTTGGGTTGGTGAAATGCGAATTTTTATTCTAACTTCGAAAACTTTTGGATTCCTTTGTTTTTTTCGGATTCCTTTTTATGCTTTATGACATTTTTTACATTATGTTAATGTGGAGAACTTAAAATTATCCTATTAGGGAAAGTTTTAACCAAAATTTTATTTTGCTATAATTAGTTGAAACTTGTAAATATAGAATGGAATTTAATTTTGCTAAATTTATATTTCTTTCTTTAAAAAATTAATTTAAGCTTTATTAAATCACCAAATTACCCAAACGCCAAAAATTCAACAAAAACAGCCTTTTGGAATTAATACTGGACTTAAATCTCCTCGAGAAGTTTATTTTGGAATAAAAAATGGAAGGAAAAGTGTTTGTGGTGGTTATAGAGGAATTTTGGGTATTTCGGATGTGGATATGGCTTTATATAGTAAATACTCTATGGCAGCTTCGAGTGTTTTTGAAAGACACAATTTGAGGAGGCAAAGACAGCCAACAGCTTGGAAATTACCAAATCCTTTGAAACACTTACAAAAAGTAGAGAAGAATTTCTCTTTCTTTAATTTACCTTTTATTCTTTTTTAGCCTTCTTCAACATCAACTCCACCTTCTCAACAATTAAAATTTTCTCCTTTCGGCAATTCCTTAACTCGTTCTGCCCCAACAAAACAACAACAACAACGTAAATCTTCTCAAAAACACTCTTCCTCTACTCATTCTTCCCCAACAAATATAAAATTTCCTCAACCACAAACTTCCCCTTTTCGAAAAGATTTTTATCGACTTGGGCCGGCTTTTGAATTTAAACCTTCAAATTTTTCTAAAAATAATTCTTTCTCTGTAGAATTGGAACCAATATCTGATGAATCAATGTTAATTTATAAAAAGATTTTTGAAGAAAATTATTTAAAAGAGACTTTAAAAACTTTGTAGACTTTTATTTTTTTTATTTTTTTTCCATAAAATTGTTAACTTTAATATCTCTAAATTATTTATTTTTTGTCTTTGTGATAATTAGTAGAGAGCGGGATTTTCAATAAAATCTTGGCCTTGATCCTTGATTTCGGTTTGGTACCTTGACCAGATTCTTGACAATGAGTCAAGGGAAAATCGAGGATTATTTTTGCCTGGATCCAGGCCTTGTTTTTTTATTTTGAGGGATATCAGGAGATTAAGAATGTTGATTGTTAAATACCAAGAAATATCCTCCTTTTGTTTTGGCATGTATTTTTACTTGTATAAAATTAAATAATCTTTTTTGTTTGATTGTAGGCAAAAATTAGATTTGCAATTTTGCAAAAATATAAGGGAAAAATTGGGAGGAAAAAAGGGTGGTCTGTCCGGTTCAATATTCCGGACTTATTTTAATTTCTTTTCTTATCTAAAAAAATAAAAATAATAAATTAAAATTAATAACATAAATTTAAACATTCGAGAAAGGTTTGCCAAAGAGCAATTATTCTTAAATATTTTCAATTTTTTAGAATCACCCGGTTTTCACGGCGCAAAAGTCACGGAACCAAAGTCTGATATTTTCGTTAAAGTTATATAAAATTCAAGATGCGGTTTTCGTGAAATTTTAATAAAAAGATTAACAGAAAGGATTTCACTATGTTGGAATCACTGTTTTTAAATAATTGGAGTTCTGCAAGTTCTCCAGTGCCTCTCATATTGTCCCAGTCGTGCATTCTTAAAAATTAAGTATAGTATAATTGATATCTTGTCATTTACAATCTTCAATTCCTGTATTATTTTAAAAATGTCCACAATGACGGCTGACCTTTAACTACTTAAAAAGCCTGAATATCATTTTACTAAAAAAATATATTTATAATTTATTTAAAAACTTTTGTTTTTATGTGATTCAAAGTTTTCTTTTATTTTTCAATTCCCCCTTTTCTTTCTGTGATTCAAGCTTTCTTTCACTTTTTGTTTTGCACAAATTTTATTTAAAAAAAGTGCAATTGTATTAGTTTTAATAAAAATATAATCGAAATTTTGGGGGTTTTTGACATTTATTTTTTGAAAAGAGTTTTGAACAAAGAATTTTTTGGCTTTTAAAAATTAAAAAAATTTAGAAAAATATTTATCATCTTTATTTTTTCTTGTATTTTCTCTTCAAGTTTTTCAGTTCAATTACAAATAATTTTTTGTTTGTTTTAGTTTAAAGTTTTTTCCTTCCAAAATTTTAAGAGAAAAAAAACTTTAAAAACCTAAAACTTGTTGAAAATTAAGTACAAATAGGTAAGTTTTTTATGTTTATTAATTTATTTGTTTGTTCTCTTTTTTTTTGTTTAAATACATATTTGTTGAAGCTCTTCAAAGAAAAAATCTTCTTCCTCATTTTTCTTCTTTAAAAAACCGGTATATCTCTTCTGCTGACCAATTGTAAAAAAATTTATTTATTAAAGGATTTAAAGAATAATTTAATTAACCCAAAATATCGTCTTTATTTTTTCGAAATATTTTTAGGGAGGATTGTTTTCTGGAACAGAGTGATTTTTACTCTTATATGTAGATGTGTTATTTATTTGAGTTTATTTTATTTTTGATTTTTTATTCATCTATGAATTTTTCATATATTTTTTTATCCTCTTATCTTTTGTTAAACACCTTACCAACTTTTAATTATTTAGGTAATTTAAGGAGATATTCTTTTTCTCCATTTTATATCAATTTTGTCTTCTTCAAAAAAAGCCTTTTCTCCTTTTATTTTCTATTGGTCAATTCCTTCTTCTTTTTTTTATTTTAAATGATTCATTTTTGCGCAGAAAATAAAAACAAAAAATGTTTTATTTTGATGGACAAAAGAAAGAAAGAAGAGATTTGGAGAAAAAAATAAGTGCAAAGCTAGTTGTTGTGTTGGAGATAAAAATTAAAGGGGGAAAGATTCTCTCTCTCCTTTTATCGGACACATTTCCGCTCTATTTTTGTTAAAAAATAATCAAAATTTTATAATTAAAAAGAGATTTTGGAGATTTCTTCCAAGAATTTCTTCTTCCATATTTTTTATATGATTCTAAATTTTCATTAATTTAATCTACCCTAATTTAATTTTAATTAATTAATTTTCCTAATATTTTTATTATTCCCTTAATTGTTTAATTAAAAGAAAATCCTCCAATAAAAAATCAAATTTAATTTTTTTCCTCTAATATAAATCAAAAACCATCCCCTCATTCTTTTTTTCATTTTACTTTCACTGGTCAAAAAAATTTTTCAAATTCATGCATGATTAGCCACAGTTGTTACTAAATAAATGTGGTCATTAAATAAAAACTTGTTTAAATAAAAAAAGCTTGATTTAAAAATTAAATATAAAATTGTGTTTTTCCACAGGAATTTTTATTTAAAACTACCAAAATTCTTTAAAGCTTTTCCTTTTTTGTAAAGCTTTTTTAATCGATTATAATAATTAAAAATAATTATTAAAAAATATTTATTTTCAATCGGCGGCGGTTTCACTTAATTTTCAACGCCTTTTCTCTCTCTCCATTTTTTACTCCTTTTTCGCGCATTCATCCAAAAAAAGAGGAAATCCTTTATTTTTCCGTACTAAATTTAAAAAAAATTTTTTTATAAAAAAAAACAATAAATAAATAATTATTTTGTTATTTACTTGAATTGCTTGAATTAATGTTAGCTTAAAAAAATGCCAACAAAAAATATATATTTATTTACTAGTTAATTTACACTTTTTGGATTTTTTAAGAGATATACTCGATTATCTACTTTTTGGGAATTATTGTTTTAATCTTTTATAAGGAGGGGGTAATTAATTGACAAAATAAATGTTTTTTAAATTTATTTTTTATTGAATTCATTTTTAATTATTTCGAATAATTTGAGGTAAAATTGAAGTAACTAATTAATATAAATTATTCATTCTGGATCGGCTATAATTAACAATACTTTAATTTTAAAAAATGCCAAAAATACATTTTTTATTTATTTTTAATTTAATATTAACAACACATTTTATTAATTGTCAATCATTAGAGGATAATTTAACAATTAAAATATTAGAAAATAATTTAGTTGAAGAAACAAATAATTCTTTATTAAATGAATTTAAAGAAATTAATTTTGAATTAATTAATTTAAATTGGACACATGTTAGTGTTCCTTTTGGTCTTTCTCTTTGGGTTTTGTTGGCTAGTATTGCTAAAATACGTTAGTTTTTGTTATTTTTGGATTTTAATTTGGATTACTTCGATAGAAATTTTTTGTAATTTTTTTATTTTTGTAATTCCACGTTCCAAAAGGGGTCGAAATAATATGTGTCTAATATATCCAACAATTCTCAGACAAATATTTGTTTAAAAAAATAAAATTTTATATTTCCCAACCCCCTACCATCCTTCAAATCATACAGAGATTATTGTTGGCGGGAACTATGTATACATAATAGATATATGTATATTTTAGAGCTTAACCAGAAAGTTCGGTCAGTATTTTTCGATTAAATTATTGAAATCATAAATTGAGAGAGGGAGAGAGTTATCTCAAAATAAAAATTTTATTTTTAATTTATAAAATTCCAGTTTTCAATTTAAATAAACAAATGGCCGAAGCAATTCCCGATTCAGCATTATTAATAGTTCTCGGTTTATTATTGGGATCTGTTTTACGTTTTGCACAAGTCGATGAAAAATTATTTTTTTTACCTTCAGATACTTTTTTTCTTTATTTATTACCTCCAATTATTTTTGAAGCTGGTAAAAATATAATTGGGAATTTAAATAAAAATTAATTTTTTAAAAAGGTTATTTTATGCCAAATCGGGAACTTTTCGATAATATAGGTTAATTAAATAGAATTAATTTTGGAAAATTCGAAAAATATTTTTTACAGATTCTGTTATGTTATTTGCTTTTTGTGGAACAATATGGAATACATTAACTATTGGTTAGTTTAAGTGAATAAATATTTAAATTATTTTTTGAAGGTTCATCTCTTTTTTGGATTTCAAAATTTGGAATTTTCTCTGTTGGATTTTCTTCTTTTCAAATTTTGCTTTTTGCTTCTTTAATTAGTGCTGTCGATCCAGTTGCCGTTATTGCTGTTTTTGAACAAATAAATATAAATTCTTTTTTGTTTATTAATGTTTTTGGGGAAGCATTATTTAATGATGGTGTTAGTGTTGTAAGTAAAGAGATAGGGGAATTAATTATAAATTAAATTAAAAAAAGGTTCTTTATCAAATGTTTCGTAAATTTTTATTAATTGGTATTGACAATCTCTCTTTTTGGCATTTTATTGCTGGATGTGCTTCTTTTCTTATAATTTCATTTGGGGGTTTATTTATTGGCCTTTTATTTGCAATTGTGGCTTCTTTAGCAACAAAGTTTGCAACACGTATTCGACTTTTAGCCCCAGTTTTTGTTTTTGTTGTCCCTTATTTGGCATATTTAAGTGCCGAATTGTTTGGTCTCTCATCTATTTTGGCAATAGTTGCTTGTGGAATTGGAATGAAGCAATATGTGAAAGAAAATCTTTCAATAGATGCTTCTTCTTCTGTTAAATATTTTGTTAAAATGCTTGCACAATGTAGTGAAACGGTGAGGGAGAAGGGGAAGGGGGAATGAGGGAGGGAGGGAAGGGAGAGGAAGAGAGGAAGAGAGGAAGGGAGGTAACCATCCCCCAAAAAAGTGACTTCATAGGTTATAGGGAAAACTCATTTGAGGTGTACCCAAGGGGAAGGGATGGAAGAAGGGAGGGAGGGGAGAAGGGAATGGAGGGAAAACAGGAGAGGAAATTAATTAAAAGTTTTAAAAGGTTATTTTTATGTTTCTTGGATTATCAACAGCTTCACATAATCACCATTTTGATTGGGCATTTATTGGAATTACAATTGGGTTTTGTTTACTTTTTAGAATTTTTGGTAAATATTTTTGTAAATTTAAAAAAATTTAAAAAAAATATATTTTTGTATAGGGGTTGTTGTTCAATGTTTATTTTTAAATAAATGTCGGAATAGAAAATTCTCTTTTTCTGACCAATTTGTTCTCTCATATGGAGGTCTTCGAGGGGCAATAGCTTTTGGACTTGTTGTCTCTTTGGATGATAAAATCCCCGCAAAACAAATGTTTGTAACTACTTGTATTGCTGTTATTTTCTTTACTGTTTTTGTACAGGTCGAGAGAATTAAAAAATAAAATAAAAAATATTTTTTTTGTAATTTTTAGGGTATTACAATTCGCCCATTACTTTATTTTTTAAAAGTTGAAAAAAAGGATATCGAGAAAAAAGATACAATGACCGAAAAAGTTTATATTAAGGTAAAGAAGAAGAAGAAAATAAATAAAAATATTTATTTATTTAAGTATTGTGATTATATGATGTCTGGTTTAGAAGATATTATTGGATTTAAAGGAAAAAATTCTGTTAGAGATAAGTAAGGAGGGGTTTTTTCTCTAGAAAATTAAATTATTAATTAAATTTTAAGATTTGAACGTTTTAATGCAAAAACATTAAAACCAATTTTGACAAGCGGCAAAAAACACCCAGTGAATTTTGATACTTCCTATGTTGTTAGGGCTTATAGAAAAATAACATTAAATGAGGTGAAAATTGTTTTTTTTGGAATTTTTCTATAAATTAATTACCAATTATGTATTTAACGAGCAATTTTAGAGAAATTCTCTTTATTTTTACTAAAAATTTGTTTTTTCTTAAATTAAAAAACAACACATTTAATTATTTTTTAAGGCCAATCGCCTCGTCCGTGCAAGTAGTAACAATTATAAAAATAATAAAAATTTGAGGAGAATAGTCCCAGCTCCAAGTCCCTCTTCAGAATGTTCAACAATAAGTTATGGAAATTGTTGGACAGTTAATAGTAATGTAAAAGAAGAAGAAGGAGGAGGAGGAAATAATAATAAAAATAATTTAATATTAGAAGAAAATATAGAATTATTATATTCAATGTTTTCACGTTTATTGGATAGAAAAATTGAAGAAATTGAAAAAATAAAAGAAGAAAAAGAAGAGGAAGAAGATGATAATTATTTTAATTTATTTATTAAAGAAAAAAATAAAAAAGAAAATAAACAAAGGAGAAAAGAAAAAAGAAGAGAGAGAAGATATTCATTAAGTCCTTCTTTTGAGGTTAAAATATATTTTAAAAGTTTTTTAAAAATTATTTTGTAGCGCAATTTATATCTCAAAGGGACTAAAGAAAATAATAAAAACAACAAAAACTCCCCCAAAGAATTACCAAAAACAGCAAATTTAATGTCAGAAATACCTTAACTTTAACAAATTTTAATTAAAAAATTGTTCACTTTTTACGGAAATTTTAATTTAAATTAGAAACTAAATTTAAAAATTAATTAAAATCAAAAAATGCAGATAACTGACAAATGAAATCTCATTTTGGTCCGATTTCTAAAAATTTTAATTAAAAGTGAACATAATTTGTATTTTTGAAGTATTTTTACCCAAAGAAAATATTATCAAATCCCATAAACCTTCGTTATGTAAATAAAAAATTGTCAATATTTATTTTGAATTTCTTTTAATAAAAATTGAAAGAATAAAAAAATGTCAAAAAATATTTTTAAAAAAATTTGAAAAAAAAATTAAAGCGTCTTTAAATTTCATCAATTTAATAAATAAATTCTGGTCATCAAGTTTTTTAAGTAATAAATAAAATATAAATATGATTCTCCTTAATTTCGTTGATATGTAAATGCACGAGAAGCTTGCATGCTTAAACTTAAAAAAAATATTTTTATATAAATTTTAGAAAGAATAAATGGCTAAATTACTCCTAAATTTTCCTTTCGATTTTTTAAAGAATTTTAAGGATCAGAAAAAATCAAATATCCCTCTAAAAATGTGTAAAATAAAGGTAAATGTTAAATACACTCCTCCACAAAAGTATAAGTGCACCTGTATTTTCGCAATTTTTTTACTTCCAATGATCCAAATTTTCTGAAAATTTAGATACACACCTTTTAGTGAATAACTAACAAGATGTCAATAGATTTTTGCTGATTTTTTATCTAAAAAATTTTTAGACCAAAATTTGCATTTTCGGCCTCCACAAAAGTATAGGGGCACCTTGGAAAAAGATATTTCCAAGATTAGAAAAAATCTACAAAAATCATAGGGAACATACACAATGATATTATGAAAAAATAAAAAAGAACTAGACCCATATCTTTACCCGTAGCCGAGATCATGGGACCACGAAAATCAACGTAAAACAGGGTTTTTCAACTTTAAAAAATATTTTCAACCCCTTATAGATTACTCTAAATTTTGATTTTGGGCTCATTTGAAAGCCCTTGAAATTTGCTACAAGATAGCAATATTCTTATTTTTCAGAAAAATTCCATAGAGAGACACAAGACGATAATCTTCTGATTCAACAAAAAACGTCTAAATGCCCCATAAAATGCCCTCTAATGACGATTAGTAAGATTATCGTTCTGTTTCTCTCTATGGAATTTTTCTGAAAAATAAGAATATTGCTATCTTGTAGCAAATTTCATGGGCTATCAAATGAGCCTAAAATCAAAATTCAAAACAATCCAAAAGGGGTCGAAAAATTTTTTTAATGAGCCTTACCCCTGATTTACGTTGATTTTTGAGGTCTCATGATCTCGGCTCCGGGTAAAGATATGGGTCTAGTTCTTTTTTATTTTTTCATAATATCATTGTGTATGTTCCCTATAATTTTTGTAGATTTTTTCTAATCTTGGAAATATCTTTTTCTAAGGTGCCCCTATACTTTTGTGGAGGCCGAAAATGCAAATTTTGGTCTAAAAATTTTTTAAATAAAAAATCAGCCAAAAATCTATTGACATCTTGTTAGTTATTAACTAAAAGGTGTGTATCTAAATTTTCAGAAAATTTGGATCATTGGAAGTAAAAAAATTGCGAAAATACAGGTGCCCTTATACTTTTGTGGAGGAGTGTATATTCTTGTATAATACCCACATAGTTTTCTGTGCTTGCAAAATATCCAATTTTAATTTTGAATTTTGCGAAGCCAAAATTTCTTTCTCAACACTAACATTAATAAGCTCTTTCGTTTGTTTATCATATAAATTAGAAATTCTTTCATTCTCTTCTTTTAATTTATCAATTTGACTTTTCTCATTTAAAAATTTCTAAAAAAATATTTTTTTTCGAAAATAAAAATAAATTAATTAATTTACTTTAATTTCTTCATTACATTTGTTTATAATTTCTGATTTCTCCTTCTTCAAATTAAATATTATATTTCTACAAATAATTATTTCTTTATTCAATCCTTTATATTTATTTTGAATTTTAGACAATTCTATTGCTTTTTTAGTTATTTCTCCATATAATTTTAATTTTAAATTAACCATAATTTTAATCCATTTAATTTTAATCCATATAATTTAATAATTTTAATTTATCAGAATTGTATTCCTTTAAATGTTTTGACATTAATTGATTGACCTAAAAATAAAATTTTGTTTAAAAATTATAAATTAGTGCCTTTTTAAGTTGATCAGTTGCCTTTCTTTGAACTGTCTAAAATTTAAATTTAACCAATTTATCAGATTTCAAACCACTCACTTCAATTTCTTCATTAAAGTCATTTTCCAAATTTAACTTTTCACTTTTCATTTGAGCAATTACCTTTTTGATATTTTCCAAATTATTATTTAATTTTTTATAATCTTCTTTAATTTTATTTAATTCAGATTCTTCTTTAATTTTCGTCTTTTCACAATTTTTTAATTTCTCCATTTGTTCAGATAATTTGGAATTTTTGTCAACTTCTTTTAAATTTTCAATTAGTGAGTATTCCTAAAAATTAATTTCTTTTCAAAAAATTATCAAAAAAAACTTACCAACTCCAATTGGGATTTGAGTACCTTTTTGGCAAGCTCACTCTTTTCATTTTCATTCTAAAATTAAAAAAACAATTAAATTTTTATTTAATCTTTTACTTCTAAAGTCCGTAAACGTTTTCGACAATTTGCACGCTTAGCTTCCATAGACTCATTTATTGAACTTGAATTAAAAGTTTCAATGTCGTCATCATTCATTACTAGTATATTCTTAAAAAATATTAGTTTAATTATATAAAAATTTTAGTGGACAAAAATCGGAAGTCTACATTAAATTTTGGTAGACCCAATCTACAAAATTTTAGTTTTAAGAAAATTCAGTTAATTTTCCAATCAAAATCATTTAAACATTCAATAAAAAATTAGAAATAAATTATGTATAAAAAACATTAAAATGAAATAAAATTGCTAAAATATTTTTATTAAAAACAAAAAGTTAACATTTAACAAATAAAATTATAAATACTTTAATTAACAACTGGGACATTCATTCCTTTTTACTAGAATAATATTTTTATTTAGAGAGTCTCTCATGCATTCTTTCCAACATCCTCACGTAAAGAAACTGTTCTATTGAAAACAAGCTGAAATTAAAAATAATTTTTCACAGGAGATTAACCTAACTATAAGTTAAAATTATTTTTGAAAATTATCTTCGAATCAATTTCTAGAAATCCCTAACAATTTTTTTATATTTACCTTTCCATTGGCCAAATCATTTGCATCGACACAAAAGAAACCATTCCTTTCAAATTGAAATCTATCATAAGGTTTAGCTTTATTTGCAATACTAGCATCAACTAATGATTCTGTCAAAATAGTTAAAGAATTTGTATTTATATCTGTTAGGAATCCACCAGGAACTTGAACAGGATCTTCTGGATTTTTGTGTAAAAATCTAAATTTATTTAAAAAAAAATTAAATTTAATTCCTAAAAAAACTCACAATTTCTCGTAAAGTCTAACCTGACATTTAACAGGTCTAGCCACCCAATGAATAAATGCCTTTGGTTTATTAGAAGCATTAGCTGCCATTTCAGCATTAACAATAATTTGTTTAATTTCCCCATTTGTTGCATCTTTTTCAATACTATCGACTCGAATAATTAAATTAATATGACGCAAACCAACTGATTGGCCAATGGTAAGGCGCCGATAGCTTTTTTCTGCCTCCTTAAAAGGAATGAGATAATTAATTTACAAAATTTTTAAAAAATTCCTACCTCTCTAAAATCCACTCTCTCAATAAATATTTGTTCGTCAAAAGCAATTTCCCATTCGTCAGTACAGTTTGGATCAGCAGGAAAATATTTAACCTTCAACGAATGTCCGGGAAGAAATCCAAGTTCAGCATAATTTTTAATTTTTATTTTTAAAGGTTCTAATACAGCCATTGTCCTTGGAGCCGTTATATTTAAATAATCACGACAAAAAGCATCTAACATAACTGGATCAATTAAAGTTTGAGCAACAGTAACACCCAAACTTTCAACAAATTTGTTGATAACTTCTGGAGGGATGCCACGACGTCGAAGGGCGGTAAGAGTAAAGAGACGAGGATCATCCCAATCACTAAAAACCTTTTTTTAATTTTAAGTTTATAGAAGTTTTAATAATCTAATATTTTTCTAACTTAATTCATAAACGAATAAGAATTATTAAAAATAAATATTTAAAGATTAATTAACCTAACAACTCCACTTTGAATCAATTTAAGTAATTTTCTTTTAGACACAACTGTATAAGAAAGATTTAAACGAGAAAATTCCCATTGAGTTGGGCAATAAACATCTAAAGAATTACAGAGCCAATAATAGGAACTCCTTCTAAAAAATAAAAATTTAAATGTTTAAAAAAATTCCAAGGCTTTCTTTTCAATCTAACCTTGTTTGAAATTCTTTTGTACAAAGAGAATGAGTTACTTTCTCTATACTATCACATAAACAATGAGTATAATCATATGTTGGGTAAATACACCTGTCAAGAAAATAAAATAAAAATATTTTATTCGCAAAAATACCATTTGTCTTTAGTTCGATGATGAGGCAAAAATTTTATACGAAAGGCAACCTAAATTTTTTAAATATAATTATAAAAAATATTTTGAAAATTAAGAATAGGTAAAGTCCTTATTCTCTCCTACTATTAATTAAAGGAATTTAATATTGAAAAAATCTTATACATACTAATTTACGAAAATATAAAACATTTTCTTTTTAAATTTATTATTATCATAGATTACTAAAAAACTTAAGAGTACAACCTCCATCAGATAATATTTCCTACTTAATATCCTCATTTTCTAATTTTCAAATACTCTATAAATCTGCCTCTTGTTTAATTTTTCTATTTAAAATTTTTTATATTAAATCCAAAAAATAAACCGGATCTTGTTTGCTATCTTCCATTGTCAATTTTAATCTAAGAGTTGCCTCTCCTTCATTAAAAGCTCCATTCTTCATTGCTTCAAAAAGTTTAATAGACTCTTCGATTGGTCTGTCACGCCAAGGTGATGGGGGAGGATCAAAGCCTCTCATTTCTTCAATTCCTTGATGGCAAACATACGCCAAACCTTTATTAATTAAAACATACGCCCATTCATATAATTGATCAAAATAGTCAGAAGAATGTGTAATTTTATAAGGAGTAAAGCCAAGCCATTTAACCATTTCAATTATTTCATTTACATAACGCTCCTAAAAATTAAAATTTAAGGCAAATATTTTAATATGTAATAAAGTGAAAAGAGAAGATAAAGGACCAAATCTTAAATTAAAAAATCCTTCATCATAATTAAATCAAAAACAACAAACATCTTCAGCTTCAGGATTTGTATCGTCAAGACGTAAATAAGTAATTCCACCTTTAGCCTGAAAATAATAAAAAATATTATTTTCAAGGAAATGAAAAGTAAAAAACAAACCTTTGCAGTTCCAAAATCAATATTTATGGCTTTTGCATGCCCAATGTGAAGAATCCCATTAGGCTCAGGAGGAAATCTGGTCACAACTTGATTAAGTCCAAGAAGGAGGAGAATACGCATATCAAGTTCCTTGCGAATATCTTCCGGTTTAGCATTTGGTAAAAGCTTACAAAGTTCGTCTAAAATATGTAAAAATAATTTAGATAGGTTTAATTAGTTACCAAAAATTGGCTCAAATTCAAAATTGTAGCGTAGCCTCAGAATTTCATTTTTGTATTTTGCCAAAATTTCATTTACCTAAAAATTAATTCTTTCAATAATTAAATTTTTGAAAAATAATTGCAAGCCTATAACTTAAAGACAAAATGAATGTGTGTGTATTCATTCACCAAGATTAATCCAAATACCAAAATAGTTTTCAAAGTTATTACAGAATTTTCACTTAAAAGTTAAGTAAACCCACATTAATAAGATGAAACAAACCTGATCTTCAATTAACTCCGGAGATATTGAGACCATTTATTTACTGTTATTAGATGAGAAATAAGAATATTAAACAACTTTTTTAATTGAAAAATATTAAAAGTAAATAACAAAAAAAGATTAAAATATTAAAAATTCAAAAATAGATTTATTCACAAATGAAAAATTTTGATTTTCTGCGGAAAATTTTTCAGAACAGTTGGAGATAAATAATTTTTAAATTTCTCTTTACAAAAAATAATTTTCAAAAACAAAAATAGTTTAGTTTAAAAAATGAAACCAGAAAATTGTTCAAAAACATTTAACAAAAGTCACAAAATTATGTTGAAATGGCACTAAGCGGAATCTTTAGCTGATCAACCAAAGCATGTAATTTAACCAAAAGTACACCAAGTGGAGCATCTTCAGTCCCCAAAACTGCCAAAAGCATTGAGGCTACTCTGGTTAAAACAACTGTTCCATTTTCACAACCAATAACAACTTCTTTTAGTTCATCCCGAACTCCTAAAAATTAATTATTTTAGAAATATAAAAAAAATAACCATGACGTTCAAATGTTTCCCATATATTCGCCAATAATGCAGAATAGACATTGCCTCCACCCCGAGAATTGTCAAGTGCACGTGAGACAGTTAATCCTAAAATTAAAATATAAAGCCATTTAAAAACTATTCGCCAAAATACCCATACAGAAAAAACTAGCCACCCCGTTTCCAAGATTGGAATAAATTAAAAACTTAAACTAAAAATTACAACCCTCAAAACTTTTAAATAAAATTTTAACAAATTACCATCTTTATTGAAGAGTACAATGCCTGCTACACCTCCACCAACTACCTCGCCTAAAAATGCGTCCAAAGCACGCGTCTTTAACATATAAAATGAAAATTTTGAATTAATTATTTAAAATATAAAAAGGTAAAAAATGAATTAAACAAATTGAAAAAAATAAAACTTTGTAAAAATAATCCATAAAAAATAAAAGATAATGCCCACAAAATCAAATATCAAAAACAAATTTAATCTGTCCATCGATGGTGGCATCCAGCACAAACAAAATAAAGACGCATTTCTTCCTGATTATAAGAAAATTAATTTAATAAAAAATAAAAATATTTTACTTCCGCCCGTCTAGACTGCGCCTGAAAAAATACAGCTTCCCTTTTAGCACATTTCGGACATTCGTGTTCTTCAGTTCTGGGTAAAGTTGGATCGTGAACAACATCAGCAACAATTTGGGTAAGCTCGCTAAGGAAATTTAAAATTTCAAAAAAAAAATCTACACAAACTCGACTTCATGTGTAAGCCTGTTGACATAAATACAAGGATTGTCAGCAATCTGACTATGCTCACAATTTCGACAAACATACATTAATCGACGAAATTCTTTATTTTCACGAGGATAGAGCATATTGTTACTAAAAATATTTTAAAATTAAATTATTAAGAAAATCAAAAAATACCATTCTGGACAGAATTTTATACCAACAAAAGATCCTGAACCCATCAAGATTTATGAGAAATAAAATTATATTGTAATTATATCCTTGAAAAAGATTAAAATAAAAAACAAATTTTAAAAAATTGATTAACTTGGTTTTGGCTAAAATTGGTCAAAACGTCACTTAGCCAGAAATCTTAAAAGATCGACAGGCCAAAATGGGTCAAAACGTCTATTCATTAAAAGATCGATCTGCCAAATAGACAATACAAGCATAAAGAGTCTAAACATCGGCTGCTTTGTTCGCATAAGTGCAAAGAATTAGGCTACCGACTAAAATGGCCGTTCAGCTGTTTTTTAGATAGGCGTTTTCGGAGCAGTTCAACTGAGTCCGCACGATTGAGTCCCCACGATTGAGTCCGCACGATTGAGTCCCCACGATTGAGTCCCGGCACAATTGAGTCCCCACGATTGAGTCCGCACGATTGAGTCCCCGTTGTATATACCTCAATTGAGTCCCCGTGGATTTAATTTTAAAAATTCCATATCCTGCATTAGAGATCGGCAAAATCGCATTTCCGGGATCCCGTAACGGGATTGAGTTTGAAAATATCGAACGGGAGGGATCCCGCGGGATTAATCCCGTTAATCCCGGAGCCGGTAATCCCGTTCTCAAATTTACCGGGATCCCGCGGGATTCCGGGATTTTAATTTAAAAAATTTTTTAATTATAAATATGTTGAATATCGTCGGATTTGGAAATAATATCGGTGGATTTCGACAGATTAAAGGAGGAATTAATAGATAACAGAGGATTAAGAGGGATATCAGTGGATTAAGAGAGATTAAGAGCATTTTAATGCTTATAGGTGGATTTAGGAGGATATCGGTAAATATTTGGAGAGATAAAGGGTGATTTGAAGAACGGTGGGTTAAGGTCAAAATAGCGGATTTAGATGGCTCAACTAGATTTGAATATGTGGGTAATTTTTCATATTTTAGCGCCGCAGGCGAAAATTTTGAGAATTTTGGAAGGCCAGGAAGCCAGATTTCTTCCTTTTTCAACGCCGCAGGCAATTTAATGGAGTAATTATAAATCCCGTAAATTTGAAAAAAATTCCCGGGATCCCGTAACGGGATTGAGAGAGACCCCAAATACCCTGCGTAGCAGCACAAAAAAAAAGTTTCCATCGAAGATTCAGTTGAATAATTATGTTCAATATCATCCAATCGAGCTGATTTTGGTATCACTCAACTCAGCTCGTCGAGTCCTTTCGAATGAGCTATTTTTTGTTTATTCGAATGTTTAGCAACAAAAATTCCCCATGGATGACCATTTCGAGCCCCATATCTCGGCGAGAACTTGTTCAACCATGTTGATTTTCGAGTCATTCGACTCACTACTTTCGAATGAGCTGTCATTCAAAAAATCTCTCGATATCCCTCCTAATCCCCAAACCCACAATATCCATCCTAATCTCTCCAAATTTGTTGATATCTACCTTAATTCAACCGATATCCCCGCTTAAATTTACTTATATCCCTTGATATTCACCAATATCCATCTTGATACCTCGATGTTGCATACAAGTCCCCTGATATTAACATTAATCCCTCCAAATCCACAAATATCCCTCTTAATCTTTTTTAATATAATTAAATCCAGGGGACTCAATTGAGGTATATACAACGGGGACTCAATCGTGCGGACTCAATCGTGGGGACTCAATCGTGCCGGGACTCAATCGTGGGGACTCAATCGTGCGGACTCAATCGTGGGGACTCAATCGTGCGGACTCAATTGAGGTGTACCGAGGCGTTTTAACCCTTTTAACCGTGACGATATGTATTACTTAAAATCTGTATTTTTCTTTTAAAAAGAGGGTTTTAATCTAAAGTTTTAGCTAAAAGTTTTAATCCAAAAATATTTAAATTTTCTTTCAAAAAATTTTGCGGGATTTAGAAGAAGCTTTATTTTGAATTTATTTTTTAGTTTAAAATACCTAACAAATTAAAATACCTATTTAATTCAATGCCTTCAATTGTGTTTATTTTTATTATTTTATTTATTTCCACGTCTAAAGCAATTTTAAATACAACAAATGATTATTTTTCTACGACTGAAGGAGGTTTTGAATGCTTTTTGTTTTTATTTTTTTTAATTTCAGATTTAAACGAAACTGACTTTATCAACAATTTTGACTTGCTGGATACTTTAACTTTCCTTGATTTTAATACAAAAGAAAATTTGTCTTCAGAACATTTAATTTTGAAAGACATTCAAAACAAAAATGAAGTTAATGAGACAAATGTTTCAATGAATACGGAGGAAAACACGACAGACTTATCTGAAGAAGACTTTGCTTTTGACAATAAGAAAAGTGATTTAGGAACAGAAAATACAACAAATATGGGTGTCCCTGGAAATGACACTAATTCTGAAGAAGACAATGCATTTACTACTCCAAAAATTAAAAATTGTGTTCCTCGTTCTATTTGCTACAAAGATGAAGATTGTGGTGAAAAGAATGAAAAGGTTATTTGAATTATATTGTTTATATTATTTTAATTTTTTTAAGTTTTTACCCGTTAGATGGAGAATATTAAATGGGGAAAGGGAAAGGATAATTAACTGAGGGATATTTAAAAGGGGGAGGGGTAACTACTGATTTGTCTTTTTCTGGCAATTATTCCATCAAATCTGGTTATATTAATTTTTCTAAATTTCTGGAGAATGCAAAAATTATAATTATTTTTTATCCTTTAATACTTCCAAAAAAGATTAAATAACTCTTAAATAATTTATTTTTAAATCCAAATCTTTAAAATTTTCCATTATTTCATTTAATTTTGACTTTTTTAAAGACAAATTCACGTCCCCGCTGTTTGGGAATTTTTCCGGGAACTTGTGACTGCACTGCTTGTATTAGTGGACTTCATTGTTTGAATCAAACTTCTTGTGGTGGACTTTACAATTCTTGTGAAAATGAGACTGGTATTTGTAAATGTATTGAAGGTAAAAGTGAAATTAATTAACTCGGAGAGGTTGCGAGATGTCCGATCTAATAACGGTCGGGATCGGCCTTAGTCGATAGAAAATGTGCCCTTTCTAGCAAGGATTTTGAGCAATACGGGCAAAAACGACTCAAAATCGATGCTAGAAAGGGCACATTCTCTATCGAATGAGTCCAATCTCGAACGTTTTTAGGTCGGACACCACGCAACCTCTCCGTATAAGTAGATTAGAGGGATATGTAGATGTTCTAAATAATTTATTTTTTATTTTTAAAGCTCATAAACTTAATGGTTTTGCAAATTACGGGGAAGCATTACTTAAATTTTGCAATAAGCAGAAATGTAATGGAGAATTGGATACTTGTTTTGGACTTCCATGCAGACGCGGCCGGTGTTTTTGTTATTAAATTTTTGGGAATATAAAGAAAACTTTAAATTAAATTTAAAAATTATCTTGTTGAGGCTAAATTGTTTTAATTTTTGGAAAATATTTTTTAAAATATATTGAGATAAAACTAACATCAAAATATACCATCAGATTTTAATAAGTAAAAACTTTTTGAAAGATTTGGTATAGATGTCAAGTTAGTCTTTTGAGGGACAGGTACACCTTACCGGGAGATTACAGATATGGGCAACCTATATGTCAATCAAAACATCTCGAGCTAGGTCAAATTAGCTATTATTTGTATAATTAAATTTTTCGCCACAAACATCAGCTTGCCCCCCTATGATTTTCAATTTTCAGAGGGATGTATCTCGGACCATAAATTTTTTCTTCGATCTACATAATCCTTATTTCGATCTAATTCCATTCGACTCAGATCGACGAACTCCTTCGATTGACATACAAAGATTGTTCATATCAAAATCTCCTTGTAAAGTGTTTAATTTTTTAGATTAGTCCTCTTAAACTAAAATTATCCATCATAAGAGAACTTAGAAATTTACAAGGATCCGTGTTTTGATTAAGATTAATTGTTCGTTAAGCACTTCCAAACATCGTTTTCTTGCTAAAAACAATTAATCGATTGGCGGCAACATTAAAGCCAAAAAAATTCTTCAAATTCATAGCCAGTCCCTGGTAGTCCCGCCCCTATTGCCCATTAGTGGAGAAGGGTGTGGACGTTTTTAATGCAGCAAACAGAGTCAAGCACACACCCAAGGACGCCCATCTTTTATTCACTTTAATATTATTTTCGTTTAGGCAAAAAGGTAAAAATTATATAAAATAGCCTGTGCAGTAAGTAAAGTGGAGTGGTTGCCTTGTCTTTTTCTCCTCTGTTATTGTTTGGTGGCTGTTGGATTTTCTCAACAGAGAGCGCCTATTTTTATTTAACGTCGTTGTCTCTCTCCCATTGCTAGCCCTTCTTCCCATTACACACATTCGTCGATGACATTTTTTCCTTTTCATCCATCCATCCATTCAGCCCATCTATATATTCTCATTCGTACAAACAAAATTTTTTTTATTTTTTCCACCCAATCCTTTAAGTATATGCTCATTCGATTTTCCCATTTTACTGTTTTGTCCTTCATAAAAATGTGATTTTGTCCTCAAAGCTTTAGGAAAGATTATTATAACGGATAGAACTTTTTGGGTCATTTTGGCGCGATTTTTTCTAAATTCTTCAATTTTCCCATTAAATTCTTGTTTTTCTTCTTCTTTTTCGTCTTTCTGTTAATGGCTCTCACAGCTGGCATAAATTAACAATAAACTAAATTCGAGACAATAGCGTTTTGTCCCATTCTTCCTCAATTCTTTTATTTCCTCTTTTTCATTGACTTGTACATACATATTTTAGTTTTCCATCCATTCGCTAGTAGTTTTGGGCCGCCTTTGCATGAATTCGTTGATTGGATGTGCGTGCGTGCGATGAAAATATAAAGAGAAAAAAACAATTTGAGTGGCAGTTATTTCTTTATTTTTACATCAAATGAGCAGCTTATAACCAACCATTTTTATTCTTCATTTATTATTTAACCATTTAAATTGTCCAAATAAAAATATTTCCCTCAATGGTTTCTTTTTTAAGTACTATTTTTCTTTTTTTTCCCTTCATAGTTTCAATATTTTTAAGAGGGTTATTTCGACGCGCCACTTTTTTGGCGCAGTGCATTTTTCTCTCATTTGTTTAAAGTTTTAACAATAATTAAAAATGTGGCAGATTTAGTAGAATAAATAAAAAATATTTTCATTTTATATTTTTTACTTTTTATTATTCTCTCTTTTAGTTTTCAAATAAATTCAGCCGATGAGTGCACAAAAACCAATAAATTGTCAGAATGGTCAAATAAACTTTGTAGAAATGACGAAAAATATTCCTTCCCCACAGGAAGAATATCCTCGTTCGTCTCCCTCCTTTGTTCAAAATGGTCAAAATATTCAGAAAACGAATAAACAACAGACAATAGTTGAACAAGATCCACAGCCACAGAGGGTTTCAAAAACCAAACATTTCCATTTAATTCCCAAAATCCAAATTTTAGCAATATTACCAACTTGTTCAAATTCCCGCTGAATCAGCTCAAATGCTAGGGGTTGACCCTTCCTCTTTTATAGGCAATGAAAAAAGCCTTCAACAACAACCTCAACAACATTATGTCCTTCAATTGCCTCAAGGAATACATTTGGCTAATAATGTAAATAAATAATTATCTACACATGCCCCGAATAAATTATAGACTTGAGTATTCTCATTAATTAAAGATAAAATGAGAATAATTAAATTATGATTAATTAAATATTTTTATTTGAAAATATGTATTTTTTAGCAAAGCGGTGAAGGAATATTAAATACTTCAAATAATAGTAATGACCAGCACTTTACATTTTCATCAGGGCAGCAAGCAATGATGCCTTTTCAAGTGATGAGTCTTGGCGACGGAAGTACTGCACTCATACCATTGGGCACATCAATTACTGGTGGACAGGTGTTATTGATTTTTTATTTAAAAGAAAATTAGCATTTTGGATGAAAAAGAGTCAAAAATTAAAAAGATATATTTTTCAAATAATTTTCTACAAGACACGTAAATAATTTAAAATTTTAAGTTTTTTCCATCCGCTTTAAATAATAATTTTACTGAAAATAATAACAATGTTCCCACAACTTGTGATCAACAACAACAACATACAATTGTTAATGTTCCTTCAACTTCTTTTGATTCAATTGAACAAAATGAATATTTTATAAATAATGAATCTATAAATAGCCAAATTTCAACAGATCAAATAGAACCAATTTATGTTAATGAGAAACAATATAATAGAATTTTAAAAAGAAGAGCTGCTAGAGCTAAACTAGAAATGGAGGGAAGAATTCCAAAAGAAAGAAGGGTGGGGGATTTTTTAAAGAAATTATGGATATAGTTTAGCTGGGGAAAAGAAAAAGGGTCCATAGGCGCGGAAATTCCTGTGGACCGAGATTAAGAGCCCTCGAAAATTGAAAACCATAGAGGAGGGTAAGCTCATTTTGGGGGTAAAAAATTTGAGTACACAGTTATGATTGTTTGTTTTTTAGAAATATTTACACGAGTCAAGACATCGACATGCCCAAAACCGAGCAAGAAAAGAAGGTGGAAAATTTGATTCGGGTGGTCAACAAAGGGCTGGTTCATCTGCTTCAGCTGCCAGTTCTTCTGCTCAATAATTTATGTGATATTTGTCAATTGAGATTTAAAATTTAGTTTTTTAGAGGACTTACAAATATCTGTATAATCTACAATGTTAATATTTTTACAATAATATTTTTTCAAAAACCTAAATACGGTTATATCTGTTGTGTATTTATTTGAAAAATAAAACTTTCAAATTGAAAAATTTTTCGAAAATCATAATTAAAATTTTATTTTTGAGTTTGTTTTTTTTTCAAGTATGTAAATTCAAATTTTCCAGTTTTTGTTTTATTCAAAAACGTTAATTTAAAATTCACGATTTTATTGTTAAATTTTATATTTTAAAACAGAAACATAACGGCCCTATCGCAAATGAGGTGCGTAATCATATTTTTTTTCCTTCCTTCCTCAAGTTAAAAATGGGGAACTTTTTCCTTAGTTTTTAATGTATGCCGACTGAAACTGACTGAAAAACCGTTTTGACTGAAAAAAGTCAGAACAGGACAGTTTTGAGACACGGTCAGTCAAAACACGGGTAGAAAAGAAAATGAAAAAAATTAATCCTCTTACATTATTTCTCCTTACTAAGGAAAAATACTAAGGAAAAACTGCCCCTTTTTAACTTGAGGAAGGAAGGAGAAAAAATATTATTACGCACCTCGTTTGCGATAGAGCCAACATAACAAAAAAATATTTCAAGTGATCTCAATCCTCTGTTGTTAATTTTTTAAATTTTTCATTTGATAAAACTTTTATTGCTGAAAGAATATAGCCACCAGTTACCTACATTTTTAATTAAATTCGAATTGAGAATGTCACTTTTTAAATTACCGTTTGTTGCATTAGTGGATGAGTCTGATTAGGCAATATTTGATGTGTTCGGCAAAATTGTTCTTGTATTTGCATATCAATAAAAGAATTTGTTGAACGGAGAAAACTCCAAGCTTTTAAAATGTGCTAAAAATTAAAAGAAAATTTTTTTAAAATTAATTTTAAATTAAATGCCTGTTTAATTGGGGAATAAACAACTACAGAGCCAGAAAGCCGCAATCCATCAATTACCTGTTTTAGAACATCCACTGGATCAAATGTTCTTAAATAAATTTTGATAGAAATATTTTTTATTAAAATTAAAAATTAATAAAAAAAATCATTATCAGAACTCAATTTTATATTTGTCAACATAAATCCCTTCTGCCGGGGAAAGAAGACATTAATTGAGTTTTCATCATTTAATGCACCCAAAGACAAGAATTTAACCAACTAAACCATGCATACTTATTCCTAGGCTAGAAAATCTAACAAAATAAACTTAATTCCCCCAAAATGTTTAAAAAGTTTTAGACAAAAAATTACCTTCCAGCAAGTAGAATCCCATCCAATTCTCCTTCATTTAACAATTCATCTCCATTAATTGAATTTTTAGATAATAAATTCAATGCTCGTTTCTCTTTTTCCCGTCGTTTAACTCTTCTTTCAAGCATATTTTGTAAAGAAGTATCTTCTTCAAGTTCATTTATATCATCACAATTAATTGTTGACTTAATAAAAAAATTATACGTAATTGAAAGTTTTAATTAAATAGGTTAACGAAATTCTTCCCGAGTTTAAAGAAATAATTTCAGAAAAATGGAAATAATTTAAAATAAACTTATTATATTAACATAATCAGGCAAAATTAAAAAAGAAAAGTTTAAAAATTTAGAATAAAACTTCTCTTAATTACAGGTTTATATTTTGGTTAAAAAATTAACGTTATTTTGCATTTCTTCTTGAGAAGTTAAATTTTGCCGACGTTGAATTTTTTGTTGATCAGCTTCTTCCTCGTCTTTAAGAAGATCTGGTTGTAAAAGTGTAGTTATTCGTAAAGGAAGAAAATTGTTTTGATTCTAATAAATTTAATTTAAAAATTACATAAAATAATAATTAAATATACACGATTATTCATTGCATCAATACAAGGAATTGATTGGGGCCAATCCCCACGATGTAGAAAAATACAATTGCCTTGATTATCTAGTCTTTCCATTACTGCAGCACCCAACAAACCCAATGTCTGAAATTTAAAATGGATTTATAAAAATTTTCACAAGGAGACAGTAGGGACCAGATCTTTGTAAAAAAAATTTTGTTGTAAAAAATCTTTTTTTCTACAGGCTAGTAGTAGCGAAAATTGGTTTTTAAATCTTTCTTAATTCAAGCATTTTTCCAAGTTCATTTTAAAACAATTAAAAAAATATTCTTACATTTTCATATACAAATATATTACATCCACATGAATGTATATTTAAAAATTGAACAAGAAGGGCCAACTGATCCAATCTTTAAAAAGTAGTTTTTTACCTTAAAATTTTACAATTTAATCTAAAAAACCTCAAATGTGCTAATCGTTCTGGATCTTTATAAAAGTAGGATTGACAAAGAAGACGAATGTTTGGACGAGAAATCATTACTTTTCCCTGACAAAATCAAAAAAATTTCAATCAAAAAATATTCGGCCCTATCCCAATATAAGGGCGGAATCGTTTTTTCCATTACTTTTCATTACTTTATAAAAATGGTCAATTTTCCTTAAAGTTGATGTATGTTGATGTTTGCCTTAAGGAAGAATGGAGGACGTCTGTCCGAGACTGCCCGTGTTCGTCCGAGCTTTGTCTGTTTTGTCTGTCCGTGTCCGTCCGTGTGTTGTCTGTCCGTGTCCGTCCGTGTGTTGTCTGTCCGTGTTTTGTTTGTCCAAAACACGGACGGACTCGGACAGACAAAACACGGACGAGCACGGACTGAAAAACACGGGCAGGCTCGGACAGACAACACACGGACGTACACGTCCGTGTTCTGTGTACGCCGTGTTTCTGTAATTGTCTGTCCTCCATTCTTCCTTAAGGCAAACATCAACATACATCAACTTTAAGGAAAATTGACCATTTTTATAAAGTAATGAAAAGTAATGGAAAAAAAACGATTCCGCCCTTATATTGGGATAGGGTCAAATATTCTTACCGAATGTTTTTTAGTCATTTTACGGACATATTTTTCTTTTGAAAATTGTGAACGATCTTTGAAAGAAGAATTGCCATTGACAAGTTTTGATACCTAAATAAAAATTAATTAAAAATTATTTTAAAAAATAAAAACCAAATTTTCAGTTGATAATCCCTCAGCTTTTAGTTTTGCAATATCATCGGCATTCATTATTTGCTTATGATCTAAATACACATTTATTTTTTTATTTGATAAACGCAACCTTTTTGTTTAAAAATCAAAAGATTACTTAATAGCCAAAGAGAAAATTTTATGAATTTTTGTGAAGCAAAAACCCTCTACAAAACAAGAAAAATTGTGGTCCTGTGAGTTCAGGTATCCTATCCCCTCCCCATCTTTTACCATTGTAAAGACTTAAAAGGCCATGGAAGACTATAAAACTAAAACAAAACCATTTACAGAAGAATCTAAAATAAAATTATCATTTTGTTGTAGTTTTGATTCACAATGTTCAATTTGATGAATGTCACTGGAAGATTCGTTTTGGCTCAAATCAGTCGATGTTTTGCCATTAGAGCAAACCTAAAGGAAGAAATTATAATTTTATCTTGACAAAATTTAAAAATTCTGACAAAATTTTAAAAATATTACAACTTCCAAAATCTGAAATTCCTTTACAAAAAACCTCAAAAATTCCAAACGGCTTTCCAAAAGCAATTTTCGGGTCAAAACTAAGCTTTTCAATAAGTGCACGCTGTCCACTTAAAAGACGACAAGGTCGAAGTTGTTCACCTCCAACTTTTTGAAGAATAGAGTAATCACCATCACGAATAAATGAATCTTCAGAAATCATTTTAAATCCAACTAAAAAGTAAATTTTAAAAGGATATTATGAATTAAAATCAGGACTGTAACGTCGGGACTGAAACGTTCTCTTAAATTTCTATTTTTTACATTTTGCCAAATAATTGCCAATTTAAATTTTTTATTTGATTTTATTCAAAGTTTTTAATTTTATTTACTTTTCTTAATTTTTATTTACTTTTAATATTCACATGGATTTTTAGAAACAATGGAATGCGAAGATGACATAATAAATCCAGATTTTAATTCTTATGATAACGAAGAGACCAATTATGATGAAGTATATTTAGAATTTTAAAGATTTTTGCTTTTCATTGTCTTTTAGGTTCGTTCTCCACATAAACAACTTGTCAATAGTGGAGGTATTAAAATGCCTGTCTTGGTGAAGAAATTAGGCCCAAGTCTAACTTGTCCTATTTGCCTGGATCTTTTGAGAAATACAACTGTTACGGTGAGTTTTTATTTGTCCAACAAAGCTAGATTTGCTATTTTTTGGCGCTGTAATTGAAAATTTTTGGTCTTTCGTAGGCTAAATCGTCATTAGGGGTTGTATTCTGGTGGGAGATAGTCAAAAAAAACGGAATACGGGACAGCCAAAAAAAACAGAATTAGACTGAAAGTGTAATAAGCAACATTCCTTATACATTCCCCTTTTCTTTCGGATCAGTCATTTTTTAAATATTAAAGTAAAATTAAAAATCACAATTTTAAATTTATTTTAATTAAATACATGCTTTTCTGATTTCTAAATTATTTTCTAGAGAAATATGTTTATTTCAAATATTTTTACAGGAATGTCTTCATCGATTTTGTGCTGATTGTATTAAAAATTCTATTTACAAAACAAATGTATTTAATTATTTTAAAATTAAAAAAATCAAAATTTCAGCGTCAATGTCCAACTTGTCGAAGGAAAATTGTCTCAAAAAGAAATCTTCGTTCAGATCCAAATATTGATTTACTTATTGACACAATTTGGCCCGATCGTAATATTTATGAAAAAATTCACAATATTTTGATGGAAAGTACTTGTAAGGTAATTAAAAGGTTAAAGAGAACAAAGAAATCTTTTTTTAGTCCCCAACAAAAATTAGAGATTTAACTGATGAAAATGATGACAATTTTGATGATTTTTCATCTTCTGAAAATGATTTTCCCAGCAATGATGAAAAGGAAGAATATGACTTTTCCAGCTCTGATAATGATGAATTAAATGATTTTGAGTAGGAAATAATTTTTAATTATTTAAAGCCTTGACTGTTTTTCGAGATTATTGTCGATTTAAATAATCTTGAAAAATTGAAAGTATTTTTTCGTATTTTTGATTAAATTTTGAGAAAAATGTAAATTACTGGATTTTAAGAAATATACTGTAAATACTGAAATTATTTCCAGGGTAATTATTGTTTCAATCCCTTCGCTAAACTGGGTAATTATTAGGGAATAGGTCTGGATTTGGAGTGAATGAAATTGACAACAAAGTTGATTTTTCTTTAATATTTTTATTAAAATGTTTTGATATTTTGAGGTGGTAGTTAGCAAAGAGAGGGGGTAATTATTTGAGCATTTCAGTTATTTAAATTTAAACCACACTAATTTTTTATATTTCAAATAATAATTTTTTTAATTTCAGTAAAAGTTCTTCATTTAATTCTTCATCAGACTTTGAAAATGAAAATAATTTTATAAAAAATAAACGTCAAAAATTTGAAGAAGAAAATATTCCAAAAACTCAAAGTATTAAAGAAAATATTAAATTATTACCGGAAATGGATATTTATTTAAAAGAATATGTTAAAAATACTTTACCTTTGGGAAATGTTACAATTTATTTAAAGCCTTTATTAATTAATTCACAACAATATTATCGTGTTCGTTTGCCTCATTTAGCTACTGGCAAGTTTATTTTAAATTGGAAATTAAAATTTTTAAGTGTTTACCTCTCTTCCTTTCATCTATCAAAAAACAAAAATTATTAATTGGATACAGGCTTTTTGACCCCGTTCGTCTGACCTAGATAGATTCCATTTAGGACTTTATGAGTCCTTCTTTCTCACAAACCCGAACCTTCAATTTTTAAGCTAATCTGTGGGAGTTAAGCTATTTTACAATTTATTTTTAAGTTGGCGATCTTCATACAAAATTAATTAATTCTGATATTCTTACTTCTAAAGAAATGTTTAATGTTAATAATACAAAATGTTCTCTTTGTTTATATGTTGAGGTGAGAAAATAAAAATTAAATTTAAATAAAATTTTTTAAAAATATTTTTTAGTCTCCAAATGGACAAATGATTAAATTATTTAATTTAGATTCAATTTGTATGGTTTTGGGGTTTTCTAAAAGGAAAAATTTTAATGATAATCCAATTATTTATTATTCTTTTTAATTTTAATTTAATAAAATTAATTAATTTTAAAGGAAAATTATTTGACAAACAAATTATTAACCATTTAACTTTAAAAATTTAAAATGACCACACTGGTGGTATTTTTATTGTCAAGCATTCTTTGATTAATAAATTAAAATTTAATAATTTTTTTATAAATCTCCAAAAAAATTAAAATAAAATCTAAAAAACAAACTACAAATTAATAAAAAAAAGAAGTTTTTCAAGTGATTCAATATTTGCTTTTTTGAATTAGAAAAGTAAATATTGGGTAAAATATTGTCAACTTAAGCAGACTAAATACGTAATTCTTTCTCTCCCTTTCTCTTCTCTTTTTTTTTATTTCTAGCATTAAAAATCATTAACTAGTAATTTTAAAAATTTCAATCCCAATTTTTAATTTAATTTTTTTAAAAATTCCCAAGTATTTACAATCCAATTTCTATTTCTGTTTTTTGTTTTATTTTCCAAGTACATTAAATACATAATAGTTTGTAACTTGTGATTTAGTTTTTTTATTTGTTTTATGAATAGTAATCTCTAAAATTAATCTCTTAAATATTTTTTTACTTTAATTAAAAATTCAGAAAATAAAATATATTTTTTTTCAAAATATTAGTTTAAAAAATTATCTAATAAGGGGCACCAAAAAATATTTTTATTTAATCGTTTAAATATTTTCTTTTTTTTTTTAATTTAATCAAAACAATCTAAGCTTAGACTATTTGTAATTTTGAAATTGAAAAATTTAGAGAAATTAGAGTATTTTTTCTATAGATATTTTTTTATTTATTAAACAATTTTTTCTAAAATATTTGTCATCATTCTTTTTCTTTTTTCGTGTGTTTAATATTTTCTATATTTTATTTCATAATGATAAACGAAGAGAAAGGAATTCCTCCCAAATATCTATAATTTTTATTCATTTTCACCTTCAACTTTTTCTTATCATCCCCCTATCTATTTGATAAATAAATATTTTTATTTTATTTTTATCAGAAGAAAATATAAATATATATTTAAAGTTAAAATATAAATATCAAAAATTTTGAAATTAATAATAAATATTTGACTCTCAAAATTAAACTTTCTCCGTTCTTAGAAATCCCCATAATTTAAAAATTGATATTTATTAAATATTTGATTTTGTTTAGCCAATCTCCGGCTGTATTTTTTTAAATTAAAATTCAATTAATTTTCAGATTTTTTAAATTAAATTTTTTGCCCTCGCAAGTCCTCCACTGTCGACTTGTGTGCGGGTTTTACATAAAAACAGACGGGGAATAGCCGATATCAAAATCGGCTCAAATAATTTACTCGTTTCGATTCGCCGCAGAAGCTTAGGCAAACATTGCCGGCTCTGCTTGGGCGGTCCTCCTTGGATTTTTTGATAAAAATGATTGGAAATTTTGAACCTGTTAAATTTGGAATTTTGGCTGGAAAGGAAATTGGAATTTATGAACAGTCATTAATTGAAAATGATGGAGAAATTGCTTCTTTAGCTATTGCTAAAAATATAGCTATGAAATTAAATGAAAAAGTAAAGAATATACTATTTTTGTTGGGAGGGGGGGGGGGAGTATCTCTTTTTATTGATATGAAAAAGGAATTTCGGAAACTACATAGAGGGAACCTTTTAGGTAAGATAGATCGAGATTTTGTTTTTTCCTTTATTAAAGTCTCCCCTTTTTTAAAAAATTATTTTTTATTTTAATCAGAAAATAGACGATGCATTTTCTATATATAATTTGGATGTAGTTGTTCAACGATTATTACAATGGAGAGAAATGTTACCTCAAATAAAGGTTACCCCAATAATCTCGAAAATTCCAAAATATTTTTTAGCCATTTTATGCTGTTAAATGCAATAATGATCCAATACTTTTGAAATTATTGGCTGACCTTGGATGTGGTTAGTTTTTAATTAAATATTTATGTAAAAATATTTAATTTTTAAAAAGGTTTTGATTGTGCTAGTAGAGGGGAAATTGATCAAGTAAATAAATATCTGATGTTTCTTTTAAAAAAATAAATTCTTTAAAGATAATCACAAATGGATTAACAAATGCTGATAATATTATTTATGCAAATCCATGCAAAACACGTAAATATATTCAACATGCTGACAAACTTGGTAGATTAAAGAGACTTAAATATTAACTCCTTTCCCCCAAATAGCTCAGAATACAAATTAATGAAAAATAACTTTTTCAAATTCTGATACTTTCATTTAATTATTAGAAGCCGTCGCGAAACTCTAACTTCGTTCACAGTTTTTAATCCCGGACGTATTTAATATAGTTTGCTTTTTGGATTTAAAAATAGTATGAGAATAGTAATTTTAATAATCATTTTTTAGGTGTTCGTCGAATGACCTTTGATAGTTTAGAGGAATTGATAAAAATAAAAGAAAATCATTCTTCACCAGAGTTGGAAATTTATTTAAATTAATTTTAAATATTTTTTAAGACTTATTTTACGTATTTCTGTTTCTGATCCAACAGCTCAATGTCCATTAGCTACAAAATTTGGTTGTGATCCTTTAATTGAGGGCCCTAATTTAATTAAAAAAGCTAGTCAAATGAAGTTAAAAATTATTGGAATTTCTTTTCATGTTGGAAGTGGTTGTAGAGATCCAAAAGCTTTTAATTTGGCTATTTGTGCTTGTAAAGAACTTTTTGATTTTGGAACTTTGGAGGGACATTCAATGAATTTATTGGATATTGGTGGGGGGTTTCCTGGACAGGATAATGAACAAATAACGTTTTTTGAGGTAATTTAAATGGAGATTTTCTGTATAAATATCAGAAAATATTAATATTAAAACTAGGATTTGGAAACAGAAAACCGGAAATTCATGAAAATGAGTGATTTAAAAAAAACAAAATAAAACTGGTATTTGACCAAAACTCAAAACCAAAAACCGAAACCGGGGTTATCAGTTAATAACCGGTTGTGTTCTACCCTAATTAAAACTTAAAATGATCCCTTTTTAAATATAATTCCTTTATAATTTTAATTATTTTCCAGATTGTAAAGATTATACAAAATTCTTTAAATGAATATTTTCCTGTTAGCAATAATATTGAAATAATTGCTGAACCGGTAAAAGATAAAATAAAATTAAAAAAAATTTTATTTTAATTTTTTAAGGGCCGTTATTTTGCATCTTCCCTTGTCTCTCTTTGTACAAATTTAATTTCTGTTACTAAAGTATCGGCATATAGAGTAACCAAAAGAATAAATGATTTAAATAAAGAAGGACAAATGTATGTATTTTTGAGAGAGAAAAAATAATTTAAATTTCTAAATTTAAAAAGGTTATATTTAAATGAAAGTGTTTACGGCTCTTTTAATTGTATTCTCTTTGATCATTTCCATCCTTTAGGCAAACCTTTATTTCAAAAAGAGGAAGAGAATGATAATTTAAATTTAATTCCAACAATTGTTTGGGGACAAACTTGTGTAAATTTTTAAATTAAAAAAATTAAATAAAAATTAAATTTTTGAAGGACGGCTTAGACCAAATTGAAGAAAATACAAAAATGCCAAAAATGGAAATTGGGAATTGGTTATTTTATAAAAATATGGGGGCATACACAAGTGTTGCTGCTAGTAAATTTAATGGATTTGATATTCCAAAAAGAAATTTTTATGTTTTTAGTCTGAAATTTTGGTAAGAAAAAATAATTTTTGAAAGACATTAAAAAATTCCTTATTTTTAAAAGGAATTTTATTTATAATTTTGAAATTGAAAATAAAAAAGAAGAAGAGAATAATGATGATGATGAAATGATTAATAATGAAGGATTTAATAATGATATAATTAAAAATGTTTGTCAAGAATGGAAAGAAATTTTAACATTTAAAAATTTTATTTGTCCATAAATATTTTAAAATAATTAATTTAAATAAATAAATAAGGATATTATAATCAAAAATAATTTTAATCAAAATTCTCCTTTTTCCTTAATACATCTAAACCATAGCTGTTGATGTTTAATAAAGATTAAACTATTCATAAGTTTGTTCAGAATCATCTAATTTATTTAAAAAATGACACTTTTGTTAACTTGATTTTTTATTTAAAAATTATAAAAAATGGAATGCATACCGTATTTTCTCTAGTAATCCCCCAGGGGGATTATTGTTTCAACCCATTTCTAGAGTGGGGAATTAATAGAGTGGGGTAGAAAGAAGGGGGATTATTTTTCAACCCATCTCTAGAGTGGGGAATTAATAGAGACTGGGGAATTAATAAAGGACTGGGGGATTATTAGAGTAAATACGGTATTTGGTAAATTAGAATAATTTAAAGCAACTACACATTAGTCTCTCTCATGCGTGATATTCTTTCCAGCGAATGCTATAAAAGCCAGCCTCAAAACGTAACCCCAACCAACATTCAACTCAACCGACTTCCATTCTTCTAAACTTCGCTCGTCTACACTACATGACCAGCCGCAACAACCGCAACATCGTCACTGCCGCCCGAGGAGACACTCCAAGAGGACGCTCATCTTCCGGAAGCACCCCAAGGACAACTCGTCAATCGGCTGGGCAGCGAGGCAGCAGCGAACGACGACGTCCACAGAGCCGCGCAGGTACTACTCGACAACAGGGAAGACCACCACCCGACAGACCTAAAACCGTCGAGGACAGCAACGAAGACGCAGCGTTCATTGAGCAGCTTCAGGCCTGGGCCCAGGAGACTTCGCGGAAACAGCTGACGGATCTGGAATCTGAGTTCGAGCGTCTTCAGAGCCAACCGCGACCGGAACCATCTGAGGAATTTGCACGGTGATTTTTTCTAGCTAAGTTGTTTTTAACGCTCACTTATTTCATTTTTGTAGCAATCCAACCCTGAACCGTTATCGAGATGTCATCTGCGTCGAGAACAACCGAGTCGCTCTGACAAACGGACGCTACATACACGCCAACTGGATTGATAGCCAAGGTGGAATTTGGTATGTTTAAAACAAAGCAAAACTCTTTTTCAGGTGATCGGCGATACATCTGCACGCAGGGCCCTCTTCCGCAGACAGTTGGCGACTTCTGGGAAATGGTTCTGCAGGAGAAAGTTGAGGCGGTTGTGATGTTATGTGACACCGTTGAGCTCAATCGTCCCAAGTGTCACCAGTACTGGCCTAAGGATAATACACCAGAATCGGTTAGCTTCTCTGTAGATTCAGGCATAAATTTAATGCTTTTGTTTTTTACAGGCGATCACCAGTCGGGACGGCAACATAAGAGTTCGGTTCGTGGACACGGAGGCACTGGACGACAACCATCTTATTCGGACACGCCTGCAGGTCACCAGCGACAATCCAAAGCGGCAAGCGAATGTTCGTCACTTCCATTGGAGACGTTGGCCCGATCGTGGAGTGCCTATGAACCATCTCGCGGCGCTACGACTGCTCTTCTACATCGGGAAATACAAGCCAATAGTCGTCCACTGTTCGGCAGGTGAATGACCACAATAAAAAAAATTAATTTTTGCCCAATTTTTCCGGCTTTTAGGTATTGGCAGGACCGGGACTATCGTCATGATCTACTTGGCTCAGAACACATTGCGCTCTGGGCAGCGTCTGGACTTCTACGAATTGGTGGCAGATTTGCGTCGTCAACGGGCAGGCAGTGTGCAAACCCTGGATCAGTACCTGTACATCTACAGCGTCTTTCTTCGGTAAGAGAAAAGCACACCTTACAAATTTCTTAAAATTTCAATTTTCCTTCACAGGTACGCGAAGAACAAGGCTGATGCGGGCAGGTTCAAAGTGGACACGGAAGCAATTGACAAACTGATTCAGGCCATATCTAAGCGCATCTACAAGCAGACTAAGCGTTAGTTGGGACAGAGGAATGTTCTGCTGTGATATAGTGATATGTTCCTGTATATTCATTGTTGTATTTTGCTTGTGTATTCGCTTGTATGTATTTGTATGTTGACCTCATAATTGTATATATATAGTTGTGATTATGTAAATAAATATATGTATTTGTGTTTTTTGTTTTGTTTATATCATAGGGTCGAAATAAACGTTTGACTTTGTGTTAAAATAGGAAAAAAGCTGGGAGGAGTAAGGTAGTCGGATAAACTGAATTCTTGACTTGTTCTAAAGTGTTGTAGTTTTTGTTAGGGACATGAAGTGAGAACTTAACACAAACAAAGTTGATGTAATTTTATGATTGTTTATATTTATAATAAAATCAAAGCCTTGGTGTAAAAATAAAAATTTAGGGCATAAAAATTAGCTTGACCGTTTTTTGAATATAATTATGATAATTTATGTAAATAGGTATATTAAATGTTTTCAAATGTATAACCAAAGATGAATAATCAAAAGTAATTTTAATTAAATTCCATAACCGGAATTGTTATTTAGTAGATCAGGGATTCCTCCTATTAGCGCCGTAAGTGAAAATATTAATGGAAAATCTTCAGTCAGAAATATGCTTCAAAAATTATCCAAAGTTTTTACAAAATTTCGGAAATCGGAATGAAAAAACGGCGGAAACCGGAATTCCGATTCACCTCTGCTCCTTAGTAGCACAAGATGTCTAATAAAGACTAAACTATTCATAAGTTTGTTCAGAATCATTTAATTTATTTAAAAAATGACAATTTTGTTATTAGGATTTTTATAAAAAAATATTTAAAAATTACAAAAAATGGAATGCATATTTGGTACATTTAGAATAATTTAAAGCATAAAATAAGAGATTTAGAAATTGAGAAATACTTTTTTTTAAATATTAACAGAATCTCAAGACTTTCCCGATCTCTATAATTTAAAAAACAAAAGGTAATACAAAACATATCAGTTGCTTTTTATAAAAAATAAATTGATATGGCGAAGGACAAAATACTAAACACCGGAATTAAAATAAATAAAGTAGAAAATTTAAAAATAATTTTTAAGCAAATTTAGGCCTTTACAGTAAAAAATCTTTTAGTTCCAACTACTTCCATCCCTTCCGGATCATCGCTTTCATTTTCTGATGAAAGAAATCTGTAAAAAAAAAATTTTTACAAATTAGTATATTTTTCTTTTACCTTTCAGAGGCATCTTTGTCAACAAAAGATTTTTCTCCATTTCCATTTAAAGGTGGGGGTGGTGAACGTGTTATATTTCCTCTATTTAATCTTCCAAACCATCCTCTTTTCTTTTTCTTTCCTCCATTCTCTAACAAAGAAAAATCTGCTTCTGTTGCTTCAATTAATCCCTTCTTTTGTTTTAATTGTTGTCCTAACTGCATAAATCCTTTATATACATTCACAGTTTCTTGACTAGGTAATTTCTTTTTATAACGTCTAAATTCTGCATTGGACAGAGAACGTTCTGTTGGTTTTCTTTAAAATTAAAATATTTCTTTTTTCTAAAATAAATTTTAAATTTTTGTCCCAATTATTTAAAAATAACCTAATTAGGTCATAGTTGAAATTAACTACTGGCTTACAAACCAGATTTCCTATCTTATACCTTTACTCTTGCAAAATGCCATTTAGCAGCTTTAGCTCAAATTATCAAGATTGCCTTTTTCTTACAAAATCGCACAAAGTCATAATCCCAAAATAAAACCTGCCATATTTTGAAAAAAATTGTTTACTTAAAATTATGTAGCATTAAAGAGCTAGTAACAACAGATACAGAAGAAAGAGCCATTGCTGCTGCCGCCATCCAAGGTTGAATATAAAAACCCCAATGCCTAAAAGCTCCAGCAGCAAGAGGAATACCAATAGAATTGTAAATAAAAGCAAAGAAAAGGTTAATTCTTATTCGTCGAACAACTTTTTTTGATAATAAAATTGCTCCAACGACATCAACCAGATTATTCTTTTAAAAAATATATTTTAAGTCGATTAATTTGGGTTCAAAGAAAAATATTTTTTCGTTAAACTTTACTATACCAAAGACTTTAACAGACAAAAAATTAATTTAACTAAACTTAACAAGAACAATTCCAGCACTTTCAATAGCAACATCAGAACCGTGTGAAATAGCTATACCAACATTTGCTGCAGCCAATGCTGGACTTTAATAGAAAAATCTCTTAATATTTAATTTAAGTTTCCTCCTTTCTTTTACCTATCATTAACTCCATCTCCAACCATTGCAACAATATTATCATTAACCTTAAAAAAGTAAATATTATTTTAAACAATTAAAAACAATTTCTAAATTACTTGGAATTGTTGAATTTTATCCTTTTTTTGATTTGGCAATACTTCGGCAAAAACTTGATGAATCCCAATCTTAAAATTTTAAATTTTTCTTTTAAATTTTCCCTTCAAATTCTATATTTTTCCCGTTAAATCGTTCTAAAAACAAATTTTTCTTCCAACTTTATTTTTATTTTAAAATTTTTTCATCTATTTTTCAATTTTATTAATTTTCCCGCTAAAATTAATAATTAATTTAAAATAAAAATTATTTTTAAAAATACTTTTCTAGCAGTTGCCTCAGCTGTTTTAGAATTATCCCCAGTTAACAAAACAACATTCATTCCCATTTTCTGTAATGCCCAAACAACTAATGCTGCTTCTTTTTTTACTTCATCTACAATTGAAATAACTGCTGCAATTCTTCCTAGAAAAATTAAAAAGATTTTTTTTTAATTTTCTCAAAAAAAATACCATTAATAGCACATAAAACAGAAATATTCCCTAATTGCCTTTCATTTTCCAAACTTTCACGAATTGAATTATCTATTTGAATATTATTTTCAGACATCCAACTTTCAGTTCCAATAACAACAGTATATTGCTCTAATGAATTCCAATCTTCAGATATTGAAAGTATCTAAAAATATAAACAATTTGTTTATTCCTTTCTCTTATTAAATTAATACACTTGTAAATAAAGATTTAATTATTTATTTTTACCTTATTTTGATTAATAGAAAGAAATTCAACATTTTTCTCAACATCATTTGTCGAATCAGAAGAAAAAAGTCCTGTTAATTTAACTCTTGGCCATTCATCATTATCTTCTGATGGCTGAGAAATAATCGAAGCCTCTACATTTGTTAAATTAGATACTTCACAAGAAATTCCAGAACCAGCAACAGCTCGAAAATTATAAACAGTTGCCCAATGTTCATTTTTAAGAAACTTAAAAAAACAAAATGATTTTTCTAAATATTTTTATTAAAAAACATTTTTAGCAAAAGCAACAATTGCAGTCCCTAAAGGATGCTCACTACTAGATTCTGCAGTTCCCATCAATAAAACAAGACGTCGAAGAGAAAGATGTGTTCGAGGAAGTGTTAAATATAAACGAACAATTCGAGGCTTTCCTTCCGTTAAAGTTCCTGTTTTGTCGAATACAACTGTTCGAATCTGAAAATATAATTTTTATTAAAAAGTATAGGAGATATTCTGGACGGCCATAATATTGTTTTTTTCACAATCTGTGAAACAAAACAACACCTTTTCTTGAAAATAGATTTGTATATTAAAAAAATTACCTTATGTGCCTGTTCCAAAGGTTCACCCCCTTTTAATAAAATTCCATTTAAAGCACCAACACCAGTTCCAACCATTATAGCTGTGGGTGTAGCAAGTCCTAAAGAACAAGGACAAGCTATAGCCAAAACAGTAATTGCATAATTAAAAGCTATTCTCAAAATAGATTCCCAATCAGTTATTGATAAATTATTTGAATTAATTGATGAATTTTTGACAGAATGGCCATGATTATTATTAGAAAAACTTGTATTATTTAAACCAACAAATAACCAAACAATAAATGTTATTATAGAAAATAATATAACTATTGGAACAAAATAACCAGCCAATTTATCTGCCATTTGTTGAATTGGAGCCTAAAAAAACAATTTTTCCTTTTTGATAATTATTGAAATTAAACAACCTTAGAAGACTGTGCCTCTTCAACTAAACGTACAATTTGGGCTAAAGTAGAATCTTTACCAACATGAGTTGCTTTTATAATTATAGGTGTTGATTGATTTATAGAACCACCAATGACTGGAGATCCTATCAAAATTAAAAATTTTTTGAAAAAATAAATTAAAAAGTGAAAACCTGGTTTTTTAATCACCGGCATAGATTCACCGGTAATAAAAGATTCATCTGCAGAGGATTTCCCTTCAAAAACAATTCCATCTACAGGTATTTTCTCTCCAGGCATAACTTTTATAAGATCATCTCTTTGAACAAATTCTGTTTCAATTCCTCTTTCTGTAATTATTTGACCAGTCTTCTCATCAATTGTAACTAGAATGGCTACTTTTGCCTGCATTGACATTAATTTACTTAATGCTTCTGATGTTTTTCCCTTTAAAATTTTTTGAAATTAATTTTATTTAATTCTAAATATTGTTACCCCCGGACTCGAGACTCGATACTTGCCCTTTTCATCAAGTCTTGACCCCGACCATATTTCCCATAGTTGTTTATATTTATTTTATATTTATTCCTTCCCATCCTATCTTTACACTTTATCTCTTTTCTTCTCCATTATTGTTCACCTTCTTCCGTTCCCAACATTAATCACAATTACATTCATCCTTTTGTCAACAACTTTATACACTACCTCCCATCTTTCCCAAACACATTTTGTCCTATCAACTTTGTCATATCCCTCCCACTTTCCCTTCTATTTAACCACTTAATTATATCCTCATCTTCAGTTCAGTTCAGTTCAGTTCAATTCAGTTCAGTTTATTGCAAATCCCAATATTAATGTCCATATATTATCCCTTATCAAAACACTACCCATTTAATTGTATTTTAAATGGAAATAAATATTATGAACTATTCTTTTAATTATTTAATTTAGTCCTCTGCGCCTCCCTATCCCAAATCTCCCCCATACATATTCGGCGCTCTGAAGGTGCCTGGACCGGGAAGGTCCAGCGCATAACTGGTAGCACCGGATGGTTTCAACCCCCTCTAGGTCTTGGGCATCCCGGTTTCTTTTCCCTATAGATTTAATTTGTCCATTCCCTATCCTAAATTTTTGAATTAAATTTAAAAATTTCCTCCTTACCTTTATTCCATTCTTACCCTTCCTATTCTTATTTCCCTTTCCCAAGGTTCATTTCCCCTCCACTCTACCCAAATTTTTTCAATCCATATTCCATCATATTTTTCAATATATTAGCATTTTCCAATAAATTCCCTTCTTATGTCCCATACTCTTCCAACCAAACATTACACATTGGCGTTATAAAAAACACCAATGTTTTGTCTCCTATTAAACATTTTTCTTTCCATTCAATTTCTCTCCGATTTTTCCTCTTCTATTTTTTCTCCATTTCTCTCCCATTCGAATTTTTAATTAGCATTCCCTTCTCTTCCCCACCAGAAATTTAAACATATCTCCATCCTGTAAGGATGAAATTTTTCAAAAATCTAAATTTTCCATTAAGATTAGTATTTTCCAATGGACTCTCATATGTCCGAAACTTTTTCCCAGTCAAGCATTACACAAAACATTGGCGTTATAAAAAACATCAATGCTTTGTTTGCTCTTAAGCCCCTACCCCATTAAAAGACATTTTCCTTCTATTCTTTATCCCGTACGCGAACTAATAATTTCATTTCACTACCCATTCCACTCGATAATTTTTAATTCCTATTCTTTCCACTTTCCCACGAAAAAATAAAAACATATCTTCATCCTATTAGGATGAATGATTCTCTAAGTCCCAACTGATATAAATTCCAATTAATATTTTTTTCAAAAGACGACATTGGTGTCGAAAAACACCAATGTCCTTATCTCCGTCCTTATTCCTTTCCTCCTCCCCACCTATAAAAAAACATTTTTATTCATTTTTAAATGAACAAAATGATTAATCCAATATAGTCAATATTTCCCAATAAATTCCTTTCCTATTGCCCAGACTCCTCATTACAATCCATCCAATCCCACAATTTCTCCCCCTCTGGCTCTTGGGACTCCACATCTCCTTTCATTCCCCCGGGCGTTATCCAATTTTTTTCTCAAAATTAAATAAACTTTATCCCGGATTTTAAAGATATTTTATTCATATAAATTAAAAATCCGTGTCCATGTGAATTGTTATTTCAATTTTTCCCCTTTATTTCCGTAGTTAAATACCCTAAAGCTATTAATCATTGAAATTAATCACTGAAATTTTGGACGAGGAAATCCTAAACTCCTGCCTCTTAATTCTCTCCAAAAAGAATGAGAGGAAGAACTCCCCACCCAAAATTTACTAAAATCCAATCAACTGAAGCCCCCATTTTTATTATGTCTGCTTAATCAAATGTTCAAGTGTACTTTTTAAAAAATCAAATCCTTAATTACAAAGTCCAGGATAAATAATTAAAATAATATAGTCCAATGTGCACCTAAAAATTAAATCCCTAATAATCATTCATGAAACCAAAATCCAGGAAATCAATATAAAATAGTCCAAGTGCATTTAAAAATTAAATCCTCAATATTCATTAAAAATTTCATGTCCGAGGATAACAAACAAAAATAGTCCAATGTGCACTTAATAATCATATATAATCTCAAGTCCTTGATACAAAAAAAAGTTCAATGTGCACTAAAAAATCATATCCTTAATAATCACCCAAAGAAATCAATGTCCTGGACAAAAAAAATTAAAACAAAATAGTCCGATGTGCACATAATAATCATAAATTAAAGTCCAGTACAAAAAGTTAAAATAAAATAGTCCAATGTGCACATAATCCACATAATCCGTCCTATCCTTTATGATTAAGTAGAACATAAAGGCTTTTGATTAAGCAGACAATAAAGGCTCAAAAACTAATCACTTCCTCAAAAAGGTTTTTAAGACGATAGTAATTTAAAGCTAGTTAATTTTAAAATAAACCATTAGCATTAATTCAAATTAATCTAATCGTGAAATATTTTACACAAAATCCAATAAAAACAATAACTCAAGGATTAAAAACCTTGGGCTCGGTTATAGTAACCATCAATTATTACACTATACTAACACATTCAAATCTCAATTCATCTTTTATTAAATTTTTATATTAGAATAGTTGGTCCCCAATTAAACGTGTATGGTTCATTCCCCTCAGGCCATGGTTAACCCAGTCCTTCCCTTACAAATTTTCTAATGGTTCAAATGCCCTCTAGGTATTGGTCACCCCCGCCCTTTCCCCTATAATTTCTTTTAAAAAATGTTTTTCCCTCTAGGTCTGAGTCACCCCAGTTTCTACCGTATATTTTTCAAGTAAGGTTCTCCCTCCTCTTTCCTCCCTCAATCTCTTCTAAATATTTAATTTTTAATTAATTTAATTTAAAAATTATTCCCGCTCCAATCTGTATTTCCAATTCCATTCCCTCCCTATCCCATAGCTCAGAAAGAATTAAGGCAAAAAGCGACGCTAACTCTGTTCGCTTTTGCCATAAGAATAGCTGCTTACTTTTCCACTTCACCATTCTCAATCGATCTTACATTTCTTCCCCTCATAAAACTTTTTAAATAAAAAGAAGGAAATGCACATCTTCACTTCTTTTTTCCTATATCCTTTACTCCTTCCCATTCCTTTGTGTTCGTAAATATTTTTAAATTTAATAATTATAAAGTTAAATATAAATTTAATTACAAATTATATTTAGGAATTTTTAAAGATCCCCCTCTCTTCAAGTAAAGAAATCCATTAGAATTAATTTGAAATTAATCATAATTAATCTAATTGAGAAACAATAAATCCCCTCCCCCTTCCCAAAGCTCCCAAATCACTAATAACTTCTTGAAATGACTCCTCCAGTCCTACACTCATCCCCTCCCTCCCCCTCCACAATACACATTTTTCGCATATTTTTAATTTAATTACTATTTCCTACTCAATTATTAACTACAAAAATACATCAATACTCAATTATAACATCGTCTCATCTACTACATATCGCTGGATGCTGTGAAGTAAATCAACACATATCTTTATCAGTAAAATGGCCGTAGATAAGTTTACCAAACAAAAATCTGATTACTCCCCTTCCAATTTTACCCCTTCCAATTGTCGAGTAACTTAAAACTCAAGAACCATAAAATATTACTTCAACATAAAAGGCCTTAGGGAAAATAATCCTTATTTATTATCCCTGGGAAATTAGAATTAATAATTAGTCCCATCATTCATTAACACTTAAAAATCCCATCACCTTAATCCAATTTTAGGGAAACCCTCAAGGATCATAATGTTATTACATAAAAGACCTTGAGGGAAAACATAGAAATAATAATCCTATCTTCTTTAGTAAATTCGAATCTTCCCTCAGTCCCATTATTCGATTAACACTTAGAAAAGCCAATCCCATTTAGCCCAAAAAAACCTCAAAGACCAGTTATGTATCATAAAAGGCTTTGAGAGTAACTAAATATTAGTTTATCTATTCCTGGAAAATTTGAATTATCATTAAATCCCACCCACCATTCAACTAATTCCTTTAATCCAAATTTACAACCCTTCCAAATTTACAAACCAAAATTTAAAAACCAAAAGAGACGCAAATATTTTACTTCAATTAATCCAAATTCTCCATCCCGACACCTATAGGTGATTCAAATCCCTAAAGTACCCTAAATAAAATATTTTCGAAATTATTGAGAGTACTTAGTCAAAAACTCAATAATTTTCGGACAACTATTAATTACTTTCCTAATCTCCTCTAATACCCAAAGATAAACACACAAGTAAGTTATTATCTTCAATATCAATAACTCACTTCAACACTAATATTAAAATTCAGTCTGAACTCGAATCCGTTCCCAACACAATATGCATCCTCAACCCAAAATGCCTCCTCAAAAGAATATGCCTTTCTCAATCTCTTTTCAACGACAATATGACATTGCTTTCTCAACTCAATATGCTTCCATGAACACACAACTACTTTCAAATTCAATCTGAACTCGAAAGTGCTCTGACCTCAAAATGATTTTGACCGAAGAATGGAAAGGATGAACAAAAACAAATTCAATCACATTCTCATTTTTTCAAATTTGTAATTTACAATTTTTCACTTATCTCCCTTTAGTTTCCATTTCAAAATATTTAATTCCAGATTTTACTGTTACTTCGCCTCATTCATCTATATTTTATTTTTGGTTCTGATTTTCCTTTCCCCCTTATATTTAAGTATCGAGTCTTTAAAAACCATGGGGAAATAAATATTTTAGAACAGAACAAAATCCCCTTTCCATTAAGATCAAACGGTGCTGAAATAAGTAAGTACACCATTTGATCACCAAAGCCCAACGTGAAACTTCCAAATAAACATACACCCAAAGGCCCAAGAAATGACGGAATAGACAACCATCATTTCTAACTCTAACAAATCCAAAATGGCGGCCTAAAAATCCACCATTTACCATTGGCTCTACAAACAAAATACTAGAATAACCAAAACAAAAATAAACCCCACTCCCAAAAATGTCGGACTTAAAACCCAACATTTGATCCAAACTTCACTGAAAATTAAGAAAATTTTAATGGCGGACTAAAAAACCACCATCAGACTCAATCTTCCTTTCCCCTCCAAAAGAAACCAACTAACAATCCATAAGCGCAGGGTCGCGCTTATTGGCGGCAGGGAGATGTTACCCCCGGACTCGAGACTCGATACTTGCCCTTTTCATCAAGTCTTGACCCCGACCATATTTCCCATAGTTGTTTATATTTATTTTATATTTATTCCTTCCCATCCTATCTTTACACTTTCTCTTTTCTTCTCCATTATTGTTCACCTTCTTCCGTTCCCAACATTAATCACAATTACATTCATCCTTTTGTCAACAACTTTATACACTACCTCCCATCTTTCCCAAACACATTTTGTCCTATCAACTTTGTCATATCCCTCCCACTTTCCCTTCTATTTAACCACTTAATTATATCCTCATCTTCAGTTCAGTTCAGTTCAATTCAGTTCAGTTTATTGCAAATCCCAATATTAATGTCCATATATTATCCCTTATCAAAACACTACCCATTTAATTGTATTTTAAATGGAAATAAATATTATGAACTATTCTTTTAATTATTTAATTTAGTCCTCTGCGCCTCCCTATCCCAAATCTCCCCCATACATATTCGGCGCTCTGAAGGTGCCTGGACCGGGAAGGTCCAGCGCATAACTATATTTATCTATGATCAGAAGATGAGAAAAATTTAGAAACGCTTCTCTCTATTCAATTTTTATTTTCAAAAATAATTTAAAATAGTAGTTAAAAATTACCTTAGCTTTATATTCAAGCCATCTTCCAAGTGAAATAAAAACTAAAAGCATTGGAGGGACATCAAAAAAAGTCATCGGACTTGATGGCCAATTTAATATAATACCCATTAAAATAATGAACACAGAATAAATATAAGCTATTGACGTTGCTAATGCAACTAATAAATCCATATTTGCTGTTTTATGTGAAAGTGCACGCCAACAATGAGAATAAAAATTATAACCTCCAAAAAACTAAAATAGAAAAATAGTTTAAATTTCGAAATTTTGTTCGAACAACAGTGAGAGATTATAAAAAAATTTAAACCTGTACAGGAGTAGAAAGAACAAAAAGAATTAAATTATCCATAGACAAAGCTTTGACAAAAATTGGAACTTGTCTTTCTGGATGCATAGGTGTTTGTAAAAACCAATGAAAATAAATCATTAAAGCCATTACTGGAACGCCAAAAACTAAAGAAATGAAGAAAGAAGCTTTCCATTTAGCTATATCATCTGCATGCCCTAACCGTTTTAAACGATCATCATGTGTGGCTAATTCAGCACTATAACCGAGTGACTAGAAATCAGAAAAAAGACAATTATAAATAATTTCCAAAGTTCAAAACCTGTATTCTATCAACAATATCTCTTAAACCAATTTGTGCAGTACAATATTCAATTATTGCAATTGTTGTTTCAAGTGAGACTGTGCAAGATTCAACACCTCTCATAGCTATAACATGTGATTCAATTCTGTGTGCACAAACTGAAGAAGTCATTCCACCAATCTAAAAATTAAAAAATTTTGTTTAAACGAGTTTAGTCAAATCAAAAATAATTTTTATTAAATTATTACCAATAAGTGTATAGTTTCATTAATATTCGCAGAATCAGTAAGTACTTGACATTCAAAACCGAGATCATCAATTTCCTGAGCAATTTTCGAGGCATTTATTAAAGAGCTATCATAGATAACATGTGCCTTCATAAACATGAGAACAACAGTAATTGAATGAATACCTAAAAATATAAAGTATTCTAGATTAACAGAGAGACAATAGAAATTTCAGACATCGATTCTAAAATCCCATTAAAATAAAATTTAACCCTACCACCCAAGAAATTTAGAAAGTAAAAAAAATTAAAGAAAATTAACCTTTTATTTGCTTAATAGCCTTTTCAATAGAAACAACACAAGAAGAACAAGTCATTCCCTCAACAGAAAGTGTGCATTTCTTTAAATTTGAGCTTTCATTTTCATTTGATTTTTTGGAAATTGGAGGTGAAAGTGGGGGCATTTCTTCTATTAATCGTTGATACATAATTATTTTTGAAGTTTAATAAATTAATTTAAATATTAAAACAACTAAATGTTTTTTAAATTAAAAGAAAAAAATTGCCAGTAAAATAAATCTTATAATTTTTATTCTAAAAGTTAAAATAAATAAAATGTCGAACAAAAAAGTATTTATCGTTTTTAGAGTATTTGAACGAAAGATTTTGTTAAAGGGCAAGCTTTAAAGTATATTCTATCAATTATATTTATAAAACTTGACCAAACAAATCGTTTCGCCGAAAAAATTAATTTATATTTTTGCTATATTAATCAATAATGATTTTAAATATCAAAAGTATTTTGTAAAAGTAATCAAAAAACACAAAGACACGTAAAAATTGGGGGAAGAAACGTTAAAAAATGGACACGTATGTATGAATTAATTTTTAACCATTTATTATTTAAATAAAGCCCCTTATACCTGATAAATTGAAGAAAAATTTTTTAGAAAAACTTCAAATGAACTAAATTTCATTAGAAATTAATTTAAAAAAGCTTTTGTTATGTGTCAATAACAAAAGTTCGCTAAAAACATTGGAAGAAAATTACGTTTCAACCGGTTCCGGACAGTAAAACCACATTTTTTCACGGGAGAGATGGCAAAGGTTTGGGGGCTGTTGGCGAAATAAAAAATATTTTTTATTGTGGTACTTACTTAATAGAAAAAAAGTGTCGCGCGCAAAGGGCGAAATGCAGGTGAAGTAATTAGTACCTTATTTTATTTTTTAATTGCTGTTAGGGGGAATAAATGTATTGATAAATATAGCAAAAATTTTTAGGATTGAAAAATAAAATGTATGGGGAAGATAATTAGAATAAATTCAAAAATTATGGCAATGTTGTGAATTTTGATAAACAAAAAAATATTTTCTTATCTAATTTGTAATAAGTAGATGAGAAAATTAAGGGGACACTGTTTATTTCAAAATGTTACTCAAAATAATTGGATAAAATAAATTTTAAAAGATAAAATAATCAGGAGTTTTAGATACTTGGCTTGGATACAGAAGTAAAAATGTGTGGAAAAATTCTGGACAATATTTCTCCTTAATGATAAAACAAAAAATAATAAAGTGTCCCATTAATTTTCGGTCACCTTGTATTAGGTGTGATGAGATTTTTATGATAACAAGTGAAAAAATGAAGATAAAATGGGAAGAAAGTATCAACAATTTTTTTAGTCTTTTTTGAAGTTATTGCTGTGACATGAAAAAAATGACATTAAATTTTGGGAGACAAGGTAATTGGGGAAAGAGTAAGAGGAAGAAAGAAAGAGGTATTTGGGTGGGAGAATCAATTATAACGAATAAAACTTTTTGAGAGAAGAAAGAAAAATTATGCACAGAATTTGTAATAAAATGAATTTTTGAAGAAAATTTTAAATCGGGAAACCAATTTTTGAAGAAAAAGTTTCTTTAATAATTTTGGAAATTTTAAAAATAAGGAGTATTTTGCAAACGAAAAAATTTTAACTTAAATGAAGTTAAAAAAATATTTAAATGAGATGAAAGAACAGAAAGAACCACGTGGATTTTTCCAACAAAAAAAGGTTTATAAAATTCCGTGCATATTACATAATTGATAGAATTTTAGGGGAATTGAAAAAAAAATTCCAAGCAATATTACTCTTGTTTCAAAAATATACCTAATAATTTCTAACCATCCACAATTTTAGCCAATTGTCGCTCCAATAATTCAGCTTTAGCATTTTCTTGACGAACTTTTGCCTCTTCCTGTAATAATTTTGCCTTTTCTTGCAATAAAATAATTTCTTCTCTTTTGATTTGTAAATTAATTTGTTTCAATTTTGCTTCTTGTATTTCATCCTCAATCGACTTTGTTGCAATTATTGAAGAAGACGAATGTTGACGTTTACGAACATTGTCAATATTATTATTATTAGCAGTTGATGATGTCGAAGTAATTACACCGCTGGAAACTGATGGACGTATTTCCTCAGAATTTTCTGAAATTAATAAATTGCTGTTATTATTTTGAGTAGATGCTTCGATTATACGTTGAACTAATAATTCAGCATTTGTGGCATTGTCTGGACCATCAGTTATAATTACATCGTTATCTAAAATGAATTTAATTATACTATTAATAAACCAAAGGTTGGGTTAAAAATGTTTTGCTTGTCTATAATTAAAGTAGTTGTCAGGGAAGTATTACCGATATGTGAACAAAGAAATATAGGAACTGTCTAAAATTTAATTAAAAATCAAAAAGAATTACAAAATAGGCTTTTAATTCGCTAAAAATGGATATCTAAAAAATAATTATTTACTCAACCTTTGCTTTTATCCGTTATATGATTCTCATTTCCATTATTTTGAGGGCTTTGTTTGGCAGATTGAGAACAAAAACGTTGTTGTTTGCGAAGTGGCTGATCTCCACGTGGTGATTCAATTGGTGAACTTTGTGTTTCCCATGATGTTTTTCGACTTAAATATGAAGCGCTCGCAGCCAACGCAGAGCTCAGGAATGTATTAAGTTGCTGCTGATCTAAATTATTAGAAATATAGTTAGAGTATAAGAAATATCAGGGGGGGGTTATTAAAAATTCGGTAACAAAAATGAAAGTATAAAAAATTTTTTAAATTTTGACAATGGGAAAAATACGACAAGTTTTGCAATAATTATCTAAAAACTAAATCAACAAATTTCAATAAGTAAAAACTTAATCTTATAAAAATACAGTCTAACAAAGCTCGTTAAATATAAGTGACCAAACCTGTTTGCACTTGCTCAACAGCCGGAATATTCAAAGTGGACAAAAATGAAGAATCAGCACTGTCAGATCCAGCATGTTGTTCCTCACATTTTAACCAGTTGAAAGTGGCATTAAGTGCTCCATTCATAGGGTCAAATTGTGCTGACGATTGAAGAACCTCGTTCCCCATTATATCGAAAACAACCTTGTCAACCTTTTATAGATTTAAATTTAAAAAAATTAATTAAAAATGAAAAGAATTACAAAATCAAAGTTTATAGAATTTCTAATCTAACAAAAATAGTAATTTACCTCACTATAAGGAATCTCTTCGACACCAGATTTCTGATTATGTTCATATTTAGCTACAGCTGATCTACGCAAATATTGCCAATCATGATTTCTAACATCTCTCCAAGATTTTCGTTCAAAATTTTGAAATCCTTGTTCAATCATTTCAAGTCGAACACCCTCCCAAGCATCTTCTTTTTCTTTTAATGCTTGCGGTTTAAAAACATTTTCGCTTGAACCAAAAAGAATATCTTTTCTTTCCAAAATTGCCTTTGCTAGTACATAAGTTTTTTGTCTCATAATTGTAGCAATAAAATTTAAGTAAATTTTTAAATAAAATAATTAATGAGTGTAACACCAAATGATAACCTAAAAGATAAAATAATATGAATGTTTCTACGAAAAAAGGTAAAAAAAAGAAAAAAGTGCCTTTAACAATTTATAATTGGCCAAATGAATTTTACATTTCGACAAAATAATAAATCTTTCAATTTGGTAACTCCCCATATTACCAATTTTTTATATGGGTAAATGACAAATTACCTAATTCTGAAAAGGTCAAAATCTGAAAGGGTCAAAATTTTTTGGCGGGGAGGGGGCCAACCCTATTACCTAGCTCACAATGTTTTTTTAATTTTTATTTTTGATTTTTAAGGTTTTTTGTTAAATGTATCTTACAATTAGTAGAAATCTACGGCTATTCGAAAGGCATAAAAAGTTTTATTTTTATCGCTTTATTTCTGATGGATTCCGTCAACCTGATCTTTCTGGTCTTGCTTATGTTTCTCCTGTAGAAAAAATAAGAAATATAGGTTAATTATTATTTTTTTATTTAATATAATATTTATTTTTAGGTATTTCTGCACATATTGATTCTGGAAAAACAACAGTAACTGAAAGAATTCTTTATTATGCTGGGAAAATTGATGCAATGCATGAGGTTAAAGGAAAAGATAAAGTTGGTGCCACTATGGATTTTATGGAATTGGAACGTCAACGTGGAATAACAATACAATCAGCCGCTACATATGTTGATTGGCATGGAACTAATATAAATATTATTGATACACCAGGTTAGTAACCGTTTAGAAACCTCGTTTATTGTTCCTTGTGGCGGGTCAAAAAGAGAAGAGAGAAGGAAAAAGTCCGCCACAGGGAAAAATAAACCTCGAATTAAACGGTCTCGTGCTACCCTAGTTAGTATTATAAACTGAAAAGGAAAAAACGACTTCTCCACCCTTTAAATTTAAAATTCCTTAGGTCACGTAGATTTCACTGTGGAAGTTGAACGTGCTTTAAGAGTGCTTGATGGCGCCGTTCTTGTTCTTTGTGGTGTTGGAGGTGTTCAAAGTCAAACTTTTACTGTCAATCGGCAACTTCGGCGATATAATGTCCCTTTTATTTGTTTTATAAATAAATTGGATCGTGTCGGTGCGAGTCCTCAAAATGCTTTGTTGGGCCTTCGATCAAAATTAAATCACAATGCTGCTTTTATTCAAATGCCTATTGGATTAGAATCACAATTTAAGGGAGTAATTGATTTAATTGAGGAACATGCTGTTTTTAATGCGACTGATGATGGTTCTGAGCTTAGAGCCGAAGAAATTCCAAAAGAGCACAGAGCTGAAGCATCTGATTTACGTCAACAATTATTAGGTAAGTATTAATAATTTTGAACTCTAGTTTATGGCGCAGAATTTGCATAAATTTCGATCGGCAGATGGACCCCTGACATACTTTGTACCATTTAATTCATGACCCTCATAAAGTTTTTTCTTAACATATATCTTAATTTGTTCAAAAATGCAAAGCTAGGTAATTAAACGGGCCATCAGGGTTTTTTAACTTTTGATTTATTTTGTAGAAATTTTTATACATTTATAAAAATATTTTTCAGAGTCCCTTTCAAACTGTGATGATTTAATAGCTGATATTTATTTACAAGACAAAATTCCTTCCTCAGAAGAAATCAAGGCTGCAATTAGGCGTTCTACTATTAATAGAACTTTTGTTCCTGTTTTAATGGGGTCAGCCTTGAAGAACAAAGGAGTTCAACAAATGATTGGTCTTTAAATACATGTTAAAATTTTTAAGTAATTTTAGATTCTGTTGTCCATTATCTTCCAAATCCTTCAGAAGTTAAAAATTATGCTAATTTATACGAGTTTGTTTCTTTATTTGTACATTTTAAATATTTTTAGCTCCGAAGAAAACTTTGAAAAGATTTTTATGTATCCAGACAGAATATCAGATCCAAAATTGCTGAAGCCATTTATTGGATTGGCTTTTAAATTGGAGGTTCTTTAATTTTTTAAATTATAATAAGATTTTTTGATTTTTAGGCTGGACGAACGTTCTTTCGAATTTATCAAGGACGTCTTTCCAAAGGCGATACAATTTATGCAACCAGAGATGGAAGGAAGGTTAATTTAAATAATCTATGTAGAAATAACTTTTTTTAGGTAAAAATATCCAAATTGGTTAGAATGCATGCTAACAATATGATGGAAATTGATGTAGCATATGCTGGTGATATATGTGCAGTTTTAGGATTGGAATGTGCTAGTGGAGAAACTTTTTGTTCTGATCCAAGTATGAATGTGCATTGTGTATGTTTAAATTTATTATCTTTATATGTTAGATTATCTTTTTTCTTTAATTGAAATTTAAACTACTAATTTTAGATAGTTATTTTTTCTCGAATTTTTAGGAGTCAATGTTTATCCCTGACCCAGTTATTTCAATGTCAATCAAACCTACATCTAAAGTTATCTCTGATACGTTTCTATCGGCTTTGAAACGTTTTTCCAATGAGGATCCAACATTTCATATGGAATATCGAAAAGATCATCGCGAAACAATTATTAGTGGAATGGGTGAATTACATTTGGTAATTTTATAAATTATCCTTTTAAGGATTTAAGGCTTTTTTGTATTCTCTTTATATGTTTTTTTTCTCGTTTATACTTTTTATTTATTATAATTGTTCTTTGTTCCGATAAATCTTCCATAATTATTTTTAAGTATTTTTAAGGAAATTTACGCTCAAAGAATGAAAAATGAATTTGATTGCCCTGTGGAATTGGGACAACCAGCCGTTTCTTACAAGGAAACATTAAAGACTCCATACAGGTTAGTTGTAGGAATAAAAATATTCCAAAAAATCTATTCAGGTTTAATTTTCGTCATAAAAAACAAACGGGCGGACATGGTCAATTTGGAGAAATTGAAGGTGTAATTAATCCGCAACCTCCCGAAAGAAATACAATTGTTGAGTTTACTGATAATTCTGTGGGTGAAGGAGTTCCAAAAAAATTTATGTCTTCACTTCGAAAGGTGTTATAGCTATTTCTAAATTATGCCTATTTTCTTTTAAAGATTTAATTTTTTTAGGGCCTAGAAGCGATTACTAAGGAAGGTCCTTTAATTAAGGCTCCAGTAACTGGGATTGAAGTTATACTTCAAGGTATTTTAATTTAATATTTTTGTGTTAATATTTAAGAATATTTTAGATGGAAAAACACACATTGTGGATACTACTGATATTGCAATGATTGCTACAATGGTGAGTGATATTTTACACTATTTTTGTTCTTATAGTTTTGATTTGAAGTAATAACGCCTCTAGAATTTCAGCTTTTTTACATTTATTTGCATAATTTACTTAAAAATTAATTTTTATCTTAACTAGATGAATATGATGAGAGAAGCATATGAGCGGGCCAATTGGATGTTGTTAGAACCTGTAGTTAAAGTTGAGTGTGTAGTTCCAATGGAATTTGAGGTTTGTAAAATTATTTAGAAAATTAAAAACAATTTTAAGAGTCAAGTAGTCAAAACATTAATTGAAAGAAAAGGGATTGTTACTGCTACAGCTACTGGTGCTGAATATTCTACACTTGAATGCGAAGTTTGTTTGAACATTTTTTGATAAAAATTTTGTTTTTCAGGCACCTCTCCGTGAAATGTTTGGTTATAGTACAATATTAAGGACACAAACCCAAGGAAAAGGTTTTAAAAAATTATTTTATTTACGATTTAATTTTTTAAACAATCTGGGGAATCCTTTTCATTGTCAGCTTAATTTTTTAAGAAAAGCCCATTCTGGTCTGACCAAATTTTTGTGAACTGAAATTTAAATTCAGTATTATTTTTCAGCTTTGTAAATTTCTAGGTGAATTCACAATGGAATTTAAAAGATATACACCTGTAGAGCCATATATTCAAGATGAAGTTGTTTATGACTGGAAGGTTGCAAATGGTATAATTAATCCTGAAAAGGAAAAGAAAAAGCAGAGGAGATGAAAATTAATTTTTGTTTTTGTTATTTTTAGATTTTTTGTTTTGTTTTTTTGAATAGTTTTTAAAATTAAAAATTTATTTCGTTGTTTATTTGTTTTTATCAAAATATTTTTTATATTTTTTCTTTTGTTTTTCTCGCCCTTTCTTTGTGCTTTACGTTGATAAAAAATACTATAAATATTCAGAAGCCTTCTCCTAAACTTTATTCTCTAATAATTTTAAGAATTAGATTTTTAAACTACTATGGATCAACCAACAACTTCAAATGTTTCTACAACAACTGCAACAACAACTAATATTAATTCAACACAATCATCATCTACTACAAATACAATTAATACAAATCATACAAATATTTCAATTTTAAATAATTTACAAAATATTATAACAACTCCCTCTTCAACACAACAACAGCAACAACAGCAGACAAATACAAATAATTTAATACAAAATACCCCTACAACAGCATTAGTTCAACCAATGATTTTTAATAACCAAACGACATTAAAATCTTCAACAACAAATATTTGTCAACAAAAAATGAGAAAAGAAATTTATAGATATACTTGTGAGGATATGCTATTTGCAGCTGCTTGGTCAAATAAAATATATGAAGATAGAAGGTTTAGACTTGTAGTTGGGACTTTGTTAGATGAAGAAAAAATTATGAATAATAAGGTTAAATAAATTTTAGTTTTATTAAATACTCCTCAAATATTATAAATAATTGTATATTAAACGCTAGATTGGGAAATTGGGTTAGGTAAAAGATTTTCTTTATTAGCTGTTGAAATAAGGGCATATTCGAATTTATATTCATTTATTCTATCCTACTAATTTCCTACAAGTAATTAACTTCAATTTACGAGTATTATGTATGGTCAAATAAGCAGCAATTAAGAGAAATCTACCCATAAAATAAGAATTAAAATATTCATAAAATAATTTAAAAATTTTATTTTTTTTATTTTAAAGGTATTTATTATCGAATTAGATGAAAATATTGGGGAATTAGTTAGAAGAGCTACATTCCCTCATGGATATCCAATATCTTCAACAAAATTTATTCCAAATCAGGCAATCTTTATTTTTGTTAATAAACTCTAAAATTATTGTTTTAGGACCCATCACAGCCAGAATTATTTGCTACTACCTCAAATTATTTACGTATTTTTAGATATCATCCAAATAGAGATTTTAATCAAATTCCAATTACATTGGAGTGTGAATTATATTCTGTAAGTTTTTAATTGAAAATAAAGAGATGGAAAATTTAGAGAATTCTTTCTTTTATTAAGAACTCTTCGAATAATTTATTTATATCAATTAAACTCTATTCAAAACTTCCCGCAGACTAAAACCTTAATTTTGTTTAAAATTTTAAAAAATTATAGACTAATAAATCAAACATTTATTCTGCACCGTTGACGGGACTTGACTGGAATGAAGTAGATTCAACATTGCTTGCTACATGTAGTATTGATACAACATGTACTGTTTGGAATGTTGAGGTTTTGTTTGTTTTTAAAATATTTTAACATTAAGTAATTATTTAATAGACTGTTCAACAAATTGGGCAAATCAAGGCAATTGAAGGTTCACAAAAAACCCAATTGATAGCTCATGAAAAGCCTGTACATGATATTGCTTTTGCTAAATTGGATAGTGGGGGGAGAGATCAATTTGCTACTGCAGGTTTGTCGTAAACTTTATCAATTGGTAAAAAAGCGAATTTTGACAATTTAGCTTTAGTCATAGAGGGGTTTGTTCACATAAATTATTTTCTGTGTTATTTGGACGGATACCCTATACGGGGAACAAGCCAGTGCTCGAGACTTTTTTTGACTCTGGTTCCCATCTTTGTCAAATATTTTTTAAATATTCTAATTAATATTTTCTATAAAAATTAATTTTCAGGTGCAGATGGTAGTGTTAGACTCTTTGACCTTCGTTCACTTCAGCATTCTACAATTTTATATGAAGATCCAGAAAAACGAATGTTAAATCATGTGGCTTGGAATAAACGTGAACATACAAAATTGGCAACCGTTGCACACGAATCTTTTGAGGTAAAATTTTTTTTAAGTGTTTGGATTGGCAGTGGAAATATTTTATATTTTCTTGTCTTTCAATTTTTTGTTGCCTATAACTCGGTCCAGAATCATTTCATAAAGTAGTGTTTCTTGTTTTTTTGCGGCTTCTATTTAAAAATAATTTTTAGGTTGTAATTTTGGATATACGAGTTCCTTGCAGACCTTTAGCTCGTTTTGGAAATCATAGAGGATTCATAAATGGAATAGCTTGGGCACCTCATTCAACAGTACATATTTGTACAGCTGGTAGTGATCGACAAGCATTAATTTGGCAAATGAATCATTTTAATAGAGATGAACCGATACTTGCATATACGGCTGAAGGAGAAGTAATTAAGAAATAAAAATATACTTTTTTTTAAAATTTGATTTTAGATTAATCAAATTCATTGGTCTAATAATTTTCATCAATGGATTAGTATATGTTTTAATAAGAATATGGAAATTCTAAGAGTTTAAAATTATTTTTGATTTTTTAAATCTAAAATTTGTCATTTTAAATGTACATACATATATTTTTAATAAAAATAGTTCTTAATTTTGGAAGCTTACAAGATAAAAATGATTATTGCAATCATTAAAGGATTACATAAAAATTTTCAATATTATTTGAAATTTTCAATATATATTGAAATTTCTTTATTTGAAAATTTCAATATTATTTGAAAAAAAAAGAGAAAAGAGCTCTGGACATTTGTCTGCGTCGGTTCGAAAGACATGTTTTAACTAGGTTAGCACCCCGAAACCCGACGAATTTTTAGGTAAAAACCCCGACCCGAAGGCTCTACCCCGGCAAACTCCGAAACCCGACACTCCTGCCCCCGAAGGCTCGGAGTGCTACCCTAGTTTTGACCCTATTTGGAGAGTGGGCCCTCTACTAAACTATAGCCCAATAATTTTTTCTAGCACCATTTTTACTTGGAATTTTATTCGTCTTTAAAATTTTTTCCTCCTAAGAATTTTAAAATTTTATTTTATTCAATAATTGTTTAAAATTTATGGTCACAAAAGTACAGAAAATAAATGGTGAATTAAAATCAAATAGTCAAAAATAAACAAAGATAAATCATGAGGAGAATGTTAAATGATTTTTTGAGATCGGTCTAATTCTTCATCATTTATTTGTTAGGTTGCTTTTTCTTCTTATTGGTAATAACAAAATCATCATCATCGTCATCCTCTATTATCTGGCGCCGTTTTTCTTTCTTCTTCTTAACAACTACATCAGGATCAGGTTCATCATCATCGTCAACTATTTGTCGACGTTTCTCTTTCTTCTTGACAATAAAATCAGAATCCGAATCACTATCATCTTTGACTTGACGCTTTTTTGCCTTTTCCACCTTCATTTTCGGTTTGATTTTCCCGGCATTTGCTTCTTTATTTTCCTTATCTTCCTAAAATTATAAATTTAGAAAGAATTTTTAATTCAAGGGAATTCAAGAAAAATATTTTGTTAAATACCCAACCTGTGCATCCAAAGCATCCAAAAATGTTTTCAAGTCTTCCTCGTATAAATCAAACCATTCCTTTCCTTTCAAAATATTCAATTCCTTCTTTTTTGCTTCACTTTCAGCTAGCAATTTATCTTTGTCTTCCATAGATAATTTCCAAATAGCCATTCCAACTAAATAATCATAGTCGGAAACCTTCTTTTCAAGTTCGACGTTGACAGCTTCATTTTCTTCAGCCTCGTCCTAAAAGTAAAAAATAGTTTAGTGATGAAGAATTTTTAATTCAAGGGAACTCTTCCTCATCTTCGGTAAGATGAACGATCAAAATCGTCCCAATGAATTCGAACCAAATGACCTTTAGTCATGGTTAATCCAAAAATCTAATGACATATGTGCCATACCCAGGCTGTCCCCATCAATTTATAATTACTATCGATAGTAAATCAATTTGACCCAGGTAATTAAATCTTTATAAAAATATTACCTCTTCCTCATCTTCGGTAAGATTCGCTTCCCCACACATTTCCAATTCCTTACGTTTTTGTTCCTCCTTCCACTGTTTTACAGGATCTGGCTTGAACTTGTTTTTCTGCAATTGTTCAATAATTGCAGACTTTCTTTTATTCTCGATATGGATTTCGCCGTTAATTTTCATCATAATAAAGCGAGCCTTTTCAGAAAGCTGGTTACTTTGTGCTTGCAACATTCCTTCAAGATACGCCTTCCTCTTCTTATACAATTCCTTTCTACAGTCAAAGAATTCTTGGCATATTTGTTCAGGCGTTTCAAATTTACGTAGACAACCTGCTGCATCAAACAAAACCTTTAAAAATTTTTAAATTAAAAAACATAAATAAAAATAAATAACCATATTCGAAGTATTAATACTTGATTTAAGCGAGAACACATCGTACAATCCTTTCTGTTCTGCTTTTGCCATGTCATCAGGCTTTAATCTACAAATAAAATGCACAGTAGTGTCTGTATGATATTCTTTGTAGTCTTGAAGTAGTTGCGGTTTATTCTTCTCTGAACCATCAAACATTGGTTCAATAATTTTCTCTTTGTAAGTTTGTGTCCAAGTTTTGACAGGAAGTTCAGTAATTTCAACTGTGCCATTCTCAATAACATTAATAATGCCACGAGATTCAAATTTGCCATTATTGTTGCTACCAACTATTTCGCCAGTAAAACCTTTATACCATGGAATCTGAAAAGAAGTAAAAAATTAAAATTACACAACCATTAACTTTATAATTTAACGAAACAAATTTCCTAGATGATAGTGTCCCACGGAAAACAAAAATTAGAGCTAAAATTTAGGTCGATTTTGGTCTTTTCTGGTTCAGACCTATCAGCCAAACTACAAACAAAAATATCCCGGAAGCTCCCCAGGCGGAAACTCAAAGATCCATAAATGCCAATGATACATTCAAAAACAAAAATTATTAACCATAGGCTGAAGAGGCTCTCCTTTGATTAAACGACGCATTTGGTCGACCAATTCACGAGGATTGTAATTTGGAACTACTGTAGACCATCCAGTTCCGATACCTTCAGCCCCATTTGCAAGAACAGTTGGAATAACAGGACAATACCATTCAGGCTCAATTCGTTGATTTTCTTCATAAAGGAAACGAAGAACATTTTCATCAGATGGAGGAAAAAGAGTTTTAGTTACAGGACTAAATAATGAATAAGTAATTTTAAAAATATTCTAATACATACTTAAGTTGAGTGAAAATATAACGAGGCGAAGCATTATCTTTTCCTCCTTGTAATCGAGTACCAAATTGCCCAATTGGCATTAATAGATTGATGTTATTAGAGCCAACATAGTTTTGAGCCAAATTCACAATTGTTGACATTAATGATTGTTCTCCATGATGATATGCTGACATTTCACCAACAGCACCAGCCAATTGTGCAACTTTGACTTCTTTTTTATCGGCGCGTTTGAAACATGTGAAGAGAACCTAAGAAATATAAAAATATAAAATAAGAAATATAAAAGAAAAACAAAAGATAACCTTCCTCTGTCCAGGTTTCAATCCATCTACCAAACTCGGAATGGAGCGTTCATTGTCTGTATTCGAAAAAAGCACCAATTCTTTATTAATAAATTCCGAAAAGGTAACACTCCGAGTATCTTTATCATAAAGATAGATATCCATATCTCCACGTTCACGGCGTCGTTTTCTGTCCTAAAAATAAAAATTAAATTTTCCATAAATTAAAACAAACCTCCATCCATTTTGTTAACCAATCCTTTCGATCTTCAATTTTCTTTTTGGAAAAGGCTAATTCAATTGCACTGTCATCATCTTCATCTCTATATTTGAAAGGAATGCGATGACGAAGCATATTTGAGAAATATTCTTTTGCTTCAATGGATGTTGAAGTACCCAATCCTCAAACAAAAATTACTTAATAAAAAGAAATTCCAGTAATTACCCTTATAATATTTTATTTTCCAGGATTTCCAATTATCAGTTGATTTTCTCCATTCAACATATTCAGGGATTGAAAAGAAACTGCGAGATTCCTTTCCTTTAGATGCCTTAACAATTGGAGTAATAAATTCTTCAACAAAGTTACGACGAATTAAGGAAGGCCAATTTGAATGAATAAAGTTGATGACCAATCCTTTGATGTGAGAACCATCTTGATCCTAAAATAAGGAAAAAATTAATCTTTATCCTTGGTGAATATTGGTGTCTGTAAGTATATTCACACATTACAAAACAAAATTACACTTAGGTTCCCCGCTAATAAAACCTTATTTAGAGAGGATTTATAAAGATAACGATATTTAAAATAACCTGATCAGCCATTATCATAATCTTTCCATAACGAAGAGAATCCAAATCAGCGTCAACATCATACTTCTTTTTATATTGAAGACCAATAATTTTAATCATATTATTAATTTCAGCATTGTCCGTTATCTAGAAAAAACAATTACTAAAAAATTATCCAGAAAACACAACCTGTTTATGATTTGCATCTCTAACATTTAAAAGCTTTCCACGAAGAGGAAAAACACCATAAAAATCGCGACCGATGACTCCCAATCCAGCAACAGCCAAAGTTTTGGCTGAATCTCCTTCAGTTAGAATAAGCGTACATTTACAAGAATTACGAGTTCCAGCTTCGTTCGCATCTTCCAATTTGGCAACTCCCTTAAAATAAAAATTAAACTAACAAAGATTTAAGAAGAAACCTTAAGCTTTGCAGTTTTTTTCCCTCCAATTTTATCTTTTTGCTGATTTTGCTTAAATTGAACCCAATTCAAAACAAGATCGACAATTCCACATTTTTGTGCTTCTTTCAAAAACTTTTCACTCAATTCACACTTTGAACCAAAACTTTTTGCAGGTAAAGTAAGCGTTTCTTTTGTTTGTGAGTCGAATGCAGGATTTTCAATTAAGGAATTGACAAAAACCCACATATGATTCTTTATTTGTGCTGGTTTAACTGCCATATTATTCTTTCCAACTTTCTTCTTTACAATTTCAACAAGACTGCCAGCAATTTGATTAGCAACTAAATCAACATGAGTTCCTCCCTTAAATACAAATTTAAAAAGATATCATTTCCAAAAAAAACCTTTGGTGTAGAAATGCTGTTAACAAAAGAAACTTGTTTAAAATTTCCAGTGTCAGAAATACACAAAGCAACCTCCCAACGGTCACTAACAGTCTCAAAGGAAACTTTGACAGGAGTACCATCATCATTATGCAGTTGACTGGTATATTGTTCAACATATTGTTTAAAGCCTTGACACTAAAAATTTTTATAAAAAATTTAAAAATGAAAATCAAACAGGGATTTTCTTTCCATTCAGAAAAACTTTAACTCCGCGAGTTGTCCCTGCCATATCATATGCTCGACGTGACATTAATCCAATAATATCGTCATCCAATTCTTCCATTTTGAAAAGCTTCAAATCTGGTTGAAAAACAACTTTTGTGTAATCATCCTTTGTACTATCCGAAATAGTTGCTTCCCCTTGCTTTTTCATACTATTAACCCAAGTCTTAAAAAGGAAAAATAAAGCGATTAAATACAAAGAAACAGACCTGTTTGAATTTCCGACCATACTCAGAACTAGAAGTTTCAACAGTAAACTTTTTGCTAAAAATATTGGTCAGCTTAGCCCCATAACCATTTCGACCACCAGTTGTTTTTTTCTCGTTGTCATTGTAGTTAGAAGAGGTAAGCAACGTTCCGAAAATCATTTCTGGCACATACATCTTTTCAACCTTGTGCATAACAACAGGAATTCCACGACCATTATTCCAAACAGAGATGGAGTTATTTTCCCTAAATATTTCATTGAAATCAACTTCCAAATAAGGAAAACCAAACTTGTCAATATCAACTTTGATTGTATTCATTTTGGGATCTCTTTGTTTATTGTCAGCAGCATTTACCAGAATTTCATCAAAAATCTTGTACAATCCAGGCACATAAGATATTTCTCGATAAACAAGTTTATCGGCTTCTGAATCGTAGACCCAAGTTGACTAAAATAATAAATTAAACTTAAATCTTTTACAAAATTAGATATTTAAACACACCGTTTGTGTGTATTGAATAGAGCCGATATAAGTATCAGGACGTAGAAGAACGTGTTCAAGCTGCGAGACTTTCTTATAAGTTGCCTCAATATCCACAGACATTGTCCGTTTTTTCCTTATTGAATCTCTAAAAATAGATAAAAATTAATTTAAAGAGATAAACATACAAAACTACTTTCCTACAAAAATTTAATAATTTTAAATGCAAGTTGTTAGGTGAGGTATAAGTAGGAAATATATTTTTAAAAATTTCTTTTGAGATTCTAAAATGTTTTCTGAAAATAAATAGAAACTATCAATAAATTTATGAAAAATAATAAACAAAAAAGAAAAACACGAAAAAAATAAAAATGAAGAAAATTATGCATAAGAGAAACTTATAAGTATTCACAAAAATACAAGCCAAACAAATTCAAAATAAGATTAAACTTGGCGTAATGGCGGGTTAGGGGACGTTTGGGAATATATTCTAAAATACTAAATGTAAACTGAGACAAAAATTAACGAAAAAATTAATAAAAAATAATAAAAATACAACAAAATGAGAAAAATCATGCAAAAAAGTCTTATAAACAAAAAAATTAAAGCGTACTGATTTGAAAAAATTCAATTTGGCATAATGATAGTAAAGGTCGAGGGTACGGCCCAAGTAGGCGCGGGCCAAGTAGGCGCGACCGAGTAGGCGCGACCGAGTAGGCGCAGGCTAAGTAGGCGCAAGGCCAAGTAGGCGCACGGCCCAAGTAGGCGCAAGGGCAAATTTCTTAAATTTTACCTAGAATTTTCTTTGTTAATATTCAAATAATTTGTTAATTAGTTAGCTGAATAATCAAGTAACTTTATTTTGACACTGGACTTCTTCCAAAACTGCCCTCCTTATTTGTTAGAGCAAAAAATTTATTAAGTGAAGCCCGGTGATGTTTTTATTTTTTGATAAAATTTAAGAAAAATCTTTTCTTGTAATATTTTTCTCATAAAAGCTCCATACTTAGCTGTCGATAAGTTTTGGATTACTGGCTAAGTTTGTTAATTAGTGAAAGCCATGCTGCTTTGATAATTCCTGTGGCTTACCAATGTTATGAATACTAACTAGTTTTAGTTTAAGGGGGACTAACTAGTTTAAGGGAATGTTATGAATAAACAACCTGTACTAACTAGTTAGCCTTTAAGTAGTTATCCACCCCACTTTGTTCCCCCGTTTACCGCACATTCTTAAAGGATGAGGAGGGGTCCGCAAATTTTCCTAAAGGATTTGAAAGGGTTGGGGGCGTGGTCTACCAATTATCCAAAAGGATTTGAAAGGGTTGGGGGATTAGTCCGCTAATTTTCCAAAAGGATTTGAAGGGTTGGGGGAGGAGTAGGCAAATTACAAAGATTTTCTTTGTGACAGCAATCCCATTTTGTTCCCCTTTTGATGTGCCGAAAAACCTTTTCTTTTAAAACCCAGATTGTTCCCTTCTTTGATGTACCGAAAATCCTTTTCCCGCAAACCCATTTTGTTCCCTTCTTTGATGTACCACAAATATCATTTTGATATTCCGAATTCATCAAATCATTCATCATCCAATCAAATAATGATTGATTGTTACAAAATTTTTACTTTCCTCTGGAGTAATTGAACTTTTAATTTATTTTCTGCAATTTTTATTTTTAAAATATAAACTCCTGAAAATATTCGAACCCTTGACTTTTTCACTATAGTCAGAATCACTACCAACTGACACACTGAGAAGCTTATTTTATCTTTTTTAATTTATTTATAAACCAGCATTTTTCAAGTCAGACATATAGAGTACAACAATCTTTTTTCTTCTCTCTTCTATTTTTTATCGTTCTTTTCTTTCTCTTTTTTGCATAAATAGTGTTTTGGCATGTTGCCAAATAAAGAAATATTTAAATTTTCTTCTACCGCATGAACTTTAAAATTTTTTTCTTTTTTTTCTGAACATCTGTCACTTAAAGTATGTCAAATAATTTCCTTCACATGTTTCTACTTAAAAATTTAAATTTTCTTTTTTAAAAAATTTTCGCAGAGCTGTCACTTCAATTATGTCAACATTTTTCCTTTGATAATTTAAAATATTTTCTTTCTCGTAAAAAATTTAAATTTTTCTCTTCTTTTTCAGAAACATCTGTCAGTTAATTTAATTTTTAGTTTTAAAAAATTAAAAAAATTTTCCCTCGTATTAAATTTGAACACTCTTTAGTGAATATATAAATGAATATTAAAAAAGTATAAATACCCAAATTAAAACATAAATATTAAATTAAAAATGATTTTTAAAATTATTTTAATAGTAGTTTTAATTTATAATGTTACGAGTAAAGATTTAAATTTATCTGAATTTAAAATATGGCAGTGTGAGAAAGCTATAACTATATTCCGAAGAAAACCTCCTTCTATAAATTTCAAAGAAGTGTTAAACATTGGCGTACCTAAAGACATGGAGTCTAAAGAAATATGGACCCCGTACGGTCATCATTGGTGGGTTTGGGATGAGAAAGAAAAAGCAATTATACCAATATATTATGGACCTCCGTCAAAACCAAAACCAACAAGTGAAATCGACGATGGTATATTACATTCAGGATGGTTAGCTGTAAAAGAAGCTTGCTCATCTATTATTGAATTTTTCAAAACTATTTTCTCTCCTTTAGCTGACCTAAAATTTCAAAGAGGCGTGTTTAAAAAGTAGTATAAAAAGCGAATTCTTCTAGCAGATTTTCATTTCCTTGTCTCATTCATCAAAATTATTTTCAAATGAACAATAAGATTCTCACTCGACAAGTTTTACCCGAGGTGGAAATTAGTATAAATTTGAACGGAATAACAATCTCAAGTGCACGTCTAACTCCTGCTCGTTTTGTACCATATGATATAGGTGGAAAATGTCGTGAATGTAAAAGTACAGAAGCTGAGGTGGATTTTGTTGTAACAAAGGATGGAGTTACTATTTATTGCACACGTATTTCCGGAACACGTTATGTGCCATTTGATTCAACTTATGACCTACCAGGAATATGTTTCTTTCGGGTAAATTTCATGTTTCATTATTTAATAATTTTTTCAATTTAAGGTAAAAAACAAAGGCCGTGTTTTCAATATTCCATATGGCTCAGTGAAACCAGAACATCCTTCTCCACCACGACCTCCTCCTCCAACACAAAAGGATATACAATACACAACGTCTGAATTACAGAACAAATCAAATAATTCTAAGAGTTCACAAAAATTTACGAAACATACAATTGAAAATATCCTCAAAGACAAAAGTAAAGAAAATAGTGATAATGTTTTGCTTAATGAATTTATTGATAGCCTCGACGCAGCCACAAGTGGACTTCCTTCACAAAGTGACAAAGTGAATAATTTGAAGAAACAAGCAAAGAAGATGGAAGAAGAAGAGATGGCCGCTATCGAAGCAATATATAACATACCCCGTTAATTTTTCTTATTTAAACTAAAAACTTTTTTATTTTTTCAATTGATTGTAAATGGAAACTTTAACATTCTCAGATAAAGATTTAAAATTTAAAATTCCCTTTGGAATGATTATTTCTGGTCCTAGCTCCAGTGGAAAGAGCACATTATTATTAAAATTTATTTCCGAAGCGTCATATTTAATTGAGCCCAAACCTAAAAGTATACTCTATTGTTTTGGTGAAATGAGCAATATTGTTCCTACTCTACAGAAATCTGGTGTCAGCGTCTATTCAGGTGTTCCTCCTGAGGATTTAATTAGGAAATATGAAAAACCGTTACTACTAATACTTGACGACTTGCTTATGTCAATTGATGAAAAATATTTGTCCGAGCTATTCACAAAAAAATCTCATCATCAAAATTTTGCTATTGTTTTTGTTACTCAGAATCTATTTGAACGAAAAATTAAAGTTGCTCGGCAAAATGCTCAATATATTATTATTATGCGTTCACCTAATTCCGTTCTATCTGTTCGTAATATAGGTGTCCAACTGTTTCCTAGAAAACTTGACTATTTCCTCGATGCTTATCGACAGGCAACAGATAAACCTTATGGCTATTTAGTTATTGATATGCATGCCTCGTCAGATCCAGGACTGAGACTACGCACAAGTATATTTAAAGAAGATGAAGAAAAAATAATTTTTATTCCAAAAAATAGAGCATAAATAAAAATATGGTTAGTCAGCTTATTAAGAAAAATTCAACATTTTTACAAGTTCTTGCCAAGACAAAATCTCAAAGGAAGTTGCAACATTTGTTAAGACTCACAAATACAGATCAATTATTAGCTATAAGTGAAATTTGTTTGAATATTATAAAAGCTAGACTCAAACTTACACCTCGACAGAAAAAACGACTAATCCCATATGCTGACTTTGTCCGTAAAATGAGTAGGATAAGAAGCGAATTTGGTGCCCGAAAAATTTTAAACCAAAAAGGAGGAGGTGTGGGCATGTTTGCAGCATTATTGACACCTGTTCTCATTGAATTAGCAAGATCATTAGGAAATTCTATAAAAGCAACTAATCGATAAACAAAAAACAATAAAAATTATGGCGAACAAATTTATTCTTGTTCCTCAAGAAATCTATAAAGGGCTAACTACTTTTGATACTGGGGATCCTAATCTCGATTTTATTAGGAAAGATCTTGAAAAAATTAGTAGAAAGAAAGATAATCCAAGTGCAAAAAATGTAAAATATAACCAAGAACTCAGACGGTATTTACAAATGAGGAATGAACAACAGAATAAACCCATCAAAGTAGAAATGGTAGCTACACCTAAAGGTGCAATTATGAGTACAAATTCTACACACCCATCATCTAACATAAACGAAGACGATGATGAAATTTTGACAACAGATGATATTTCCCTACCATCTTATCCTCAATCTTCTAAAGACATAAAATCAATAACAGATTTCAAACCCTCAAAATTACACCGTCCTATTTCTTCCTCATCATCATCCTCCATTAAAACCAGTTTTAAAAAATTCAAAGGAAGCTCACCACCTCCTCCGCCAGAGCCTACTACAAATCTTAAAATAATAAAGAAGGAAATAGAGTCTGAGCCAAGGAAAAGAATTTCTAGACGTAGAAGTACAAAATATTCAACTTTTAGTAGAACAAAACAAGACTCAATTGTTCCGTTAAATGATACATATTTAATTCCTCAAAAAGTTATTAAAAGAGAATTAGAACAGGATGAATTTGAAAATATAAAAAGGAAAAAGAAAAATGATGCAGAAATTGACCAAGAAGTAAAACAAAGAGTAAGAAAATTAAAAGAAATAGAAAGAGAACGTTATGAAAAAAGACAACAATTATTAGCAAGACGTCGAAAGTCACAGAAACTCAAGGTTCCCTTAGACCCTTATATTATCCAACAAGTGCGTAATAATGAAAAGAAAGGATTGTCAAAAAGTTCAAAAAGGATTTTAAGAGAGGGAAGATCACCTTCCCCGCCTCTGAGTCGCCAGAAAGTAAAAAGGAAAAAAGAGTTTGCGACAGATGGACATACAATAGCAAAAATTCAGAGGAAGGTTACGAAAAAACAATCCGAAAAAGCTTCAAAATTGTGGGTTAAAAATCTGAAGAAAAGAAATGTCCCTTTTCATCCATATAAATCAAAAAATAAATGGGCACCAAGAAAACCAACACAAAAAGATATAAACACTTTTAAACCTTCTCTGTGGTGAATAAATAAATTAATGGCGGATTATACTAATTTTCTTGATGATTTATACAACAATCCAGAATCCCCCGCAGCGTTTTCAGGAGTTGACCGACTTTGGTATGAAGCACGTAAAGTTCTCAAACATATACCAAGAAAAGCTATTCAACATTATTTAGAAGGACATAGAACATACACTCTTATGCGACCTAAACGTATTCATTTTAAAAGATCAAAGACTGTAGCAGCTGGATTTATGACAGATGTTCAAGTTGATTTGGCAGATTTCCAACAGTTATCTCGCCATAATAAAGGAAATCGTTATTTGCTTCTAGGTGTTGATGTTCTTTCTAAACAAGTTTTTGGTGTACCAGTAAAGTCTAAAAAGACTGAAGAAATGATAGAAGCTTTCAAAAATTTAATTTCACAAATGCCGATGAAACCTCAAAGAATTTTCTCAGATAAAGGAACAGAATTTAAAAATAAACAAATGAAAGAATTTTTTGAAAAAGAAGGCATAGAAAAACATGAGCCAACACATTCTGTTGTCAAAGCTTCCGTTGCGGAAAGAGCAATTCGCAACGTTAAACAACGACTTTACCGAAATTTTGCTCAAAAGAAAACATTAAACTGGATTGATGTCCTTGAAAAAATCTTAGTAGGAATAAATAAAGCAAAAAGTAGAATACACGGCATGCGACCGATAGATGTCAATTTTGATAATGCTCAAAAAGTATGGAAACGGATTTATGGAAACATATTTTCTTCAAATAATAACAAAATAAAACCAAAACTTAAAAAAGATGATTTTGTTCGAATGAGTGTAAACAAAGGCGCTTTTGAGAAAGGATATATACCAAATTGGGGGGATGAAATATTACAAGTGGACAATATAAAAGAAACACCGTTACCTGTTCAATACAAAGTGCGAGATGATAAAGGTGAAAAGTTCAAAGGTTCATTTTACAATGAAGAGTTAACTCGTGTAAGAAAGGATGCTGATACAGAATATAGAATTGAAAAAGTTGTGAAAAAAAGAAAGAGACCAGATGGGACTTTTGATGTTCTTGTTAAATTTATAGGATACCCAGAACGAGAATGGATTCATGAGTCACAATTAGTATAAAAGGAAACTTTTTTTTTCATTATTGTAAAATTTTTTATTTGTGATAAAATTATGTCAAACAGCTTTTTTGTCTTCCTCCCTAGTAATATTCCCGATTATCCTGATAATCGACCAAATAAATTTCGAGTTCATTTACCAAAACCACTCTATTTTTCTGGTAATTGGGTGTGCGGTTTACATAGCATAAATTATCCTTATTCCTGGGCAGCAACTATTGGTACACTAGATGATCAATGGATCGATATACATTTCAAAGATAATCTTGGAATGGCTAAAGTTTTAAGAGTTCCCGTTCCAAAAGCATCGCATACTACTGTTGAAAAATTACACGAATTTTTAATTTCCACACTTCAACATCAAAGCGAAACTTATGGAGCTTCGCCTTTGGAAAAACCTGAAGATTTAGTTGATCTGCCCTCACTTAAACGCCCAAGAAATAAACGTTCATTAGAAGAGTTAAGGCAAATTAGAGTGGGGATCATTCCTAAAGTTGATGAAGTGTTCATAGATTATCCTGATCAATATTGGGACCAAATAAAAATTTTAAAAGATAAACTTGTAGAGGATTCAAAATCTTTAGATGAATTTAAATTAAGAACAGATCAAGAACAAGATGAGACTATTAAAAGTGAAATGACAACAACATTTTGGAACCTTAGTTACAAAAGGAGTGCCTTAGAATCTCGAATTAGAAAATTGGAAGAGGAAGCAAAAAGAAGAGATTTTGAAAAAAATAATTCCGATGTTAATATTGTTGTAGATTTTTTCGAAACCTACCCCGAAAATTACAATGAAATATTGATTATAGACCATCTCAAACTAATAGCTCTCTTCATAGAAGACAGAAAGGAAAAACACTTACAACTAGAGGGGTTTTTACCAAGATTTAAAAAAGAAATTGAAAGAATGACTAAGAGAGTAAATTTACTTGATGCTGCTGTACTAAGAAGGGACAAACAAAAAACTGTTAAACAATATAATAGAGAGAACTATATAACCCATAAAGATTATGTTGATAAATTTTTCAGCGATAACCCAGATTACTGGCCAGCAATAAGAAGTAATTTTTACGGCTTGATTGCTACATATCAGGAAATTTCTCATACAAAAACTTTGTATGACGAGGAAACAGATGAAGATCGAAAGAAAGAATTAAATACTAAAATCGATGGACTCAAACGGCTTGTCAATTATAGAATGGATAGATTTAGGGCACTTGAGTTTGAAGGTATTGCTAGAGACAAAGAGGCAGAAGATGAACCTTACAGGCCACCACCTCTACCAACGTATACAGACATACACCCTCCAACAACACCATCAACTCCCCCTATGCCTACTCAACAAACTTCTCCTTTAAAGTCTCTACCAACTTATACCTCTCCAACCAAACCCGTTTCACAAGATCAACAAAAAGGAGATATTTCAGAACGACTCCCTCTTCCACCTGTTATAATTGAGCCTCCTAAATCTACAGATATTTCAAAACCTTCCGTTCCAAAACCTGAAACAACAACTCCTGTTCAACCTTCACGACCTGAACCAACTACTGAGGATCTTTCAAAACTTCCTCTTCTTCCAACCCCTGAGGAAACATTCAGTGATCCATTATGGACCGAAGAAATGGAACAAATATTAACAACTATACTAGGGAGAACACCCACTCGCCAAGCCCGAATAAATTATTTACCGAATATGCCCGCTCTTTTACGACAGTATGGACGGTTAAAGAAGGATAAAGTTGACGCTTCAGTTCAAAAACAAATAATTGATTCTATCGAAATATTATACCACAAGGATTTTGAACGTTTTAAGGTACAATTTACTCATACCAGCATTAAATATCTTTCTTTTTCTCCTCAGCTTGGATATGTTTTGGGGTTTGAAAATACGAATATGGTCCAAAATAGAGAAATTGCAAAGTATGGGTGTGATTTAAGAGGTGGTTTTTCTAGTTTTGCTGTATATACGAAAGGGCTAACAGAAAATATGATTATTGGTAATTCACTAAGTTCACTTCTACGCGTAGTCTCTGTGGCAGGTGCAAAACCTGGAGAATATAATGAAAACATTTATGATTCACCAATATATGCTCGTGTTTTACCAAAGGAAGTTAACGAAATTGAGATAGAAATAAGAACGATGGATAATGGTAGACTAGTACCATTTTCGTTTGGTACTGTACTCATTGTTTTGATATTTAAAAAAGTGATAAATTTTTAATTTTCCTCTCAAAAATCTATATAAATACTAGTTGTAATTATTTAAAAACCTAAAATAAATTTTATTTATTAAAAAATGGTGCATGTTATTTTTGACACAAGTACAGTAGGCTATGACGATTTTGTCCATAAAAATCCTAATGAAATGTCTGGGGGCGGGGAAATATCATATGACTATTTTCGCGGATCTTCACCTTTCCAAAGAGGATATGGTATTCAAAAAGGAGCAGGTGTAGGCGATGTTATGCGAGGGCTTTGGCGTTTCTTTCTTCCTGTTCTTCGCAATGTTGGAAATACTGTAAAGTCAGAGGCAATAAACACAGGACAACGCGTTCTTGAAAGAGTCAGTCAAGGGGAGCCAATCAAAGAAGCCTTCATCAGTGAAGGAAAGAAGGGGGTTGATACTGTATTAGAGAAAGGAGGTTTACCTAAACAGTTTGGTTCTGGATTTGCTAGAAAAAAGGGTATAAAAGGGAGAAAATTACCAAGTTATCAAACATTAATTGGGAAACCTGTTAGAAAAAGAGTAAAATCAGACGTTTTTGGTCTTTATTAAAATGGCCTTTCACAAAATTGACAACGATAGCATCAACTCTATTACAAATGCTTTGGATTTTTTCCAAATTCCCCCTACAAATGTTAGTATTTCATCATCAAAAGTTTTTGAAATTCTGACCAGCAATCCGCTCACCGATACACCTTACCATTTTAAAATCCATGCAAGTCAAAATTATATTGATTTATCTAAATGTTATTTATTTACTGAATTTCGCATACGAAAAGAAAATGAGAGTGGTCAACTGGTAAACCTAACTGTCGCAGACAATATTTCTCCAATACAGCTTATTGGTCAGACATTTATTAATAATATGCGAATAAGTATTAATGAAAGAGAGGTATTCAACTCAAATTCTCTTTATGCTTACAAAACTTATTTTTCACATGAGCTCTCATATTCACAAAACGCAAAGAGCTCACATTTAAACGCAGCTGGATATTTTTTCAATAATACTACAACACAAGAAGGAGGATTGGATTCCATTGAAAGGAAAAGATTGTTTGAAAACAGTAAAACAGCACAATTCATTGCTAAACTTGATGCTGATATTTTCAACCAGCCACTTTATTTAATAAACCATTGTGAAGTTGATATCGAAATTATACCAAACGATTCACGTTTTGTTCTAGTAACATATGGACTACAAAATGCTATGGAAGTACCGACACGATATCAGTTTGAAGTAGTAAATATGAAACTTTACGTTAAAAAAGTAGACTTAATGGACGGACTAGCCTTGGATATAGCAAAAAGACTTGAAACTAAACCTGCCCGCTACTCAATAAGAAAAACAATGATGAAGCCTTTATTTATTAGTCAAGGACGCTATGAATTTAATGCAAACTTATTTATGGATCAAATTCCTAGAAGAATTACATTAGGGCTTGTTTCTAATTCAGATTATGTAGGAGACATTAAACGAAGCCCATTCAACTTTCACCATTTTAATGTTCGCGAAATTAGTATTGTTGCAAATGGTAGAAATTATCCACAAGCGCCATATGATTTTGACTATGAGAATGGTAAATATATTCGTGCTTTCAATGATATGAATGAGGCAATAGGTTTAGCAAATTCAACTGAGAGCAACGGAATAACTGTTCAACAATATGGCAAAACACATTGTATATATGTTTTCAATTTAACAAACAGTGGAGAAGATCAAGGGGGAACTTTTGACTTAATTAAAAACGGAACAACAGCCGTAAATATCAAATTCAGTAAACCCGTACCTGAAGGAGGAATAATGCTTATAGTAATGGGCGAGGCAGACTCTCTTATAATGTTAGATAGAAATAGAACAATTGCGAGTGATACCACAATATAAATTTTAATCCTTCATATTGTATTTATTTTAACATGTAGATTTAATACATTTCATAAATTTCTGTTAAGTATTTAAAAAATTCCAAATAAAGAAAAGTATAAATAGAAGAAAAATTTTGAGAAAAATCATTTAAAAATATGAATACTCTTTTGAAAATAATTACTCTAATTAGAATTTTTATTCCACCAGTTGAAGGATTATCAACAGATGGTACTGTAAATCTGGAAAATATTCCAGAATATTCTGAACTTGTTAAATATTACAGAGGTCAAAATATTTCAAACGACCCTTTGTTGCCTTCGAAGCAAAAATTTGTTGCACCTTTGCCAAATTTTAGTAATCTTGATAATCTCCCATCACTTTGCAAGGAAAGTCCAAAAGACAATAATTTTTATGGACATGTATTCTGCTGGGGAATGATATGTTTGTATGCCATGTTATTGGCTAGTCTAATTATTTATCAACTTCGATCAGTACTTTGGTTCAGATTCAATTTTAATAACAATAATGTACGCAAGTCAGATTACAAAAATTCTGAGGACAAATCACCAAACATCACAAATCTTCCTAGGATGTTTTCCTTGTAATCGTCTACCTAATCCTACATCGTCAAAAGGAAAAATGCTAATTGCCAACTTGGACCCTTTTGGATATGAAGGCTCTCACTGGGTTGTAGTTTACATAAGAAATAATAATGAGGTGATTTATTTCGATAGTTTGGCACTACCTACAAGTATGTGCATAATTGATACTTTTCTTAAAAATTTTTCCAAAATTTCAAAAAATTTAAAATCTTTTTTGTTTGTAGTCATGTTCATAGAAAATTAAAAAAAAATTTTTTTGTCTATTAATAACAAGTTATATAAAAAGAAGAATTATAAATATATGGTCCCTGAAAATAAAAATTTTAAAAGAAAATATTTTATTTTAACAAGTGCATAAAATTATTTGACATAATAAATTGACAGATGTGTAAAAATTTTAAAAGGAAATAAAACTTTAATATGAAAAAATGTGAAGGAAATTGTTCGCAATAATCAATGTGACATATGTGCGAAAAAATTTTTAAAAGAAAAGGAAATTTGAATTTTTTATTTTAAAAATGCGAGTAAAATATTTGACATAATTAATGTGACATATGTGCGAAAAAATTTTTAAAATAAAAGGAAATTTGAATTTTTTATTTTAAAAATGCGAGTGAAAATATTTGACATAATTGATGTGACAGATGTGTAAAAAAAATTTTTAAAAGAAAAAGGAAATTTGAATTTTTTATTTTAAAAATGTGAAAGAAATAATTTGACATAATTGATGTGACAGGTGTACGAAAAATTTTTAAAAGGAAAGGAAATTTGAATTTTTAATTTAAAAAATTTGAAAGAAATTATTTGACATAATTGATGTGACAATAAAATATTTTTAAGGGAAAAAATTTAAATATTATAATGCAAAAGAAATAATCTGATCTAATTTGTATAACAGATGTGCGGAAAATTTAAAAAGAAAAATTTAAATTTTATAAATGCAAAAGAAATAATCTGACCTGTTTTAAGTGGCAGATGTGCAAAAATTTTAAAAGAAAAGGAATTTGAATTTTTAATTTGAAAATTGTAAATGAAATAATTTGACTTACTTGATGCCACAGATGTGTGGAAAAAAAATTTTTTTTGAAAAGAAAAGGAAATATGAACTTTTAATTTTAGAAGTGGAAGAAATTATTTGACATAATTGATGTGACAGCTGTTTCAGAGAGAGACTATAAATAGTTGCCATTTTATCCTTAAAGCTTTTAAAATAAATATTTTATAAACTAAAATATCAATAATAATAATAATTTATTTCACAATGGAACAAACTTTCGCTAAATTTTTGAATATTAATGATATTAAAGAAGAGACTATTAAACAAGGATCACTGAACGAGATGTTCGGCAAAGCTGTGAAACAGAATGTATTAGAGGTAACCTTTTCAAAAAATCAAATTTATAGTAAAATATTTAGGGAACTGCCATGTTTTGGGATTGTTCCTGGCATCCTCTAACAAAAGAAATCAATCAAAAGATTAAAAACGGAGAGAACTTGGATATCTCTATGTTTTTTGAATTTTTGGATCACAATTATGAGACGTCAACTTGGTGTGATCAATGTCGCAAAACTTTATATGAAATGAAACAAGATGAAATTTTAAAAGTCGAAGAAGGAAATACATACAAATATAAATTTTTTGTATGTTCAGATTGTGCCCAAATTATTAAATATGCTACTTTTCATTATTAAATTTTTTATTATTATTTCCTTATTGTAAAAATTGTAATCTAGCTAATATTAAATAATGTTTTAAATATTCTTGTTTTAACATTATGTTTATCTTGATTATTAAATTGTTACAATAATAATTTAATTTATCTTTGGTGTGTATGGTGATAAAATATCAGTTGACTTGCAATTCTTCTTAAAACATCCTTCACACATTTCAAATTTAACTTCAATCTTATCATCTTTTCTAACCGCTTTGTCACCCTTCTTAAAAAGGCTGTCCCGACATTCTAGAATTTAAAAAATTATAATAAAAAACAATGATATTAACCTGAACAAAGCGAAAAAGTTAAAAGGAATTTCCCACGAAATAATTTCCAGAAAGGCTCACTAGTAGCTTTAGTTTCAGAAGTATTAGTAACCTTCATCTCACTTTCATTGGTAATGCTTTCCATTTTAATATTTGAAAAAATTTTTTTTTTGTGAATGAGTATGATGGTTAGGTAACGTATTTATATTGTCAGTTTAGTGGGCGGTCCTAAGATTTTTGAAACAAATAATCAGAGTATATTAACACTAATTAATATTGACAGTTTATTTCATATAAAATTTTTAAAATAGTCTTGTTTGTATGAACCGGCTAGTATATTATTTTTCGAAATTACAGTGACAGATGTTTCAGAGAAAAATTAGGAATAATAATTTGATTAATTTTAATAATTTGACATAATTTGAGTGACAGCTTTACTTTTAATATTTAAAAAGAAAAAATAAATTGAATTTTTAATCTGTATAATAATAGTGACAGATTTTCCCACGAAAAATGTTGAATAACTTGTTTGCAAAATTCTTTTAATTTGACATAATTTGAGTGACAGCTTTACTTTTAATATGTAAAAAGAAAAGGAAAAATGTTGAAGAATTTATGTGCGAATTATTTTTAATTATTTGACATAATTTGAGTGACAGCTTTACGCAAAATTTTTAAAAAAGAAAAGCAAATTTGAATTTTTACTTTGCATAATAATAAAATGACAGATGTTCTCGAAAGAAAAAACGTTGAAGAATTTATTTGCGAATTATTTTTAATTATTTGACATAATTTGAGTGACAGCTTTACGCAAAATTTTTAAAAAAGAAAAGAAATTTGAATTTTTATATTGCATAATAATAGTGACAGATGTTCCAGAAAAATACTGAAGAACTTAATTGCGAAAATTCTTTTAATTATTTGACATAATTTGAGTGACAGCTTTACGTAAATTTTAAAAAAATTTTGAATTTTTCTTTGCATAATTATAATAATGACAGATGTAAGAGAGAAAAAAATCTTTGTTCTAGATATTATGAATTTTTTAATTGGGGGATTGTCTATAAAGTTCTAAATTAATAATCTCGGATCTTCAATGTTGTTCAAATATGTTTACAGCTGAGACAAAATATTTTTGAAACAAAAAAATCATGAGTATATAAACTCAAATTCATTTGATATTTGTCATTTAAAAATTTTTAAAATGGCCCTTGTTAGTGAAGAATGTGCTAATATTTTAAGTTGCAATGTTAAATCACTTAGAACTCTTCTAAATCATCCAGAAAATAGAAAATTAATTCTGAAAAAGCTCCAAGGTCGCAAAGTTGAAACGACATATAAGGACAATAACGGAATGAAAAAAAGTTTTATAATTGGTGGTTTATCAAAAGAGGGAGCAAATGTGATACCTGCATATGGAAGACTATCAAAACCTTTCAACATTTCTGTCACAGCACATTATTATGCAAAGCATCGTATCCGTCTTCACAACCCCTATCTTCACTGCATTATCGAACATTTCCCTAACAAGACAGAATCTTTCAAAGAAAATCGATACTATCCTTTGGAGTTACTTGAACTTATTAAAGAGGAAGAGGAAATAGAAAAAGTCTATAAATAACGATAAATGATTAGTAATTGACGGAGATGAGGATGAAAATTTTGATCAAAATATATTGGAACCAAGCTATTACTGCAACGGATGGTGAATTAAAAAACAATTACATAATTTCAAATATTTATTTAAATTTAATTAAATGACACATAATATTAAATACAATTAAATGACACATAATATTAAATACAATTTGATGACATATAATATTAAAACAGTTAAATGAAATACATAAAAATTAGCCTGATAATAATAACAGATATAATTAAACAAAATTATATATGACCAAAATTTAATATAGAAAAATCGGAGGGTTTTACAATTCCCTTTCCGATAAACGGCCTAGAAATTTTGTGACGGGACAAGGTGGAAACATTTAAATTTTTGATTGAGGGGCATAAAAATGAGGGATACATTATTTTAATAGGTTCGTTTATTCCAGTTTTTGTATATTTGATAACCTGTCTCTTGAAAGTTTCATATCTTAATCCTTGATTGTATTCGACATCATGATTCAAAGTTATTCCTCTTATTTTTAAAATATATTCATGTTCATTTTGTTGTTGGTTAATTTTCTTTTTCATTTTTAGACCATATTGTTTTGCACCACCCGAAACATATTCTATGATATGGTGCTTGGGGTACTCATCGGTAAATTGACCAAGATGAGGTCCAAGATTAAGAGGATTGATTCCTTCAGGATGGGTAAATATTAAAGAATCCGTGTCGGTATAAAGTAAAGAGCATCCATCTGTACGAACAACTTGTTGCATTGCACGAAGTAAGTGGATTCTTGCTGCCGATGTTGTCCAGAGTGAAATAACTAAATATAATTAAATTAAAGAAATTTTATTCACAAAACATACCAATGTTAGAACACTCATGTTCTTCGATCCACTCTTTATTTTTCATATAAGCAATCATTAATATTTCTGGTGATAATTCATCTATACTTGTAATTTGAATTGATTTGTCGTTTATGAATTTTTGATATTGTTCTGGATCATCAGTTATTAAACATTGCGAAAGACCAAAATTGCGCAATGAAAATCGTCCCCAAAGATTATTTAACATAAGCTTGGCCTGGGTCCTCCGACCTTTGTTGGGGTTCATTTTGCTTCTATCAATTTTAATCCCGAATTTTTCATTACATTCTTTAATAAATTTGTCCTCTTCTTCAATGTTGTCTTTAATATTACTGTCGAAACCTGATGAGTGAATTTTTTCTGCCATGAACTCTGAGATGTAAGTTTTGAATAGTTCAGAGTCAGATTTGTTGTACTCTAGTACACGGAAGAGTTTTGTTACTTTGTACCCTTCTTCTAGAGCTACATTTAATTCTATTGAGGTGCATGTTGATACCCATCCTCTTTCTTCGTTACTGTGTGAACAACGGTAATCTTCTAATACGCCACCTTCAGGATACATTTTTCTAAAAGAAAAAATTTTTTTTTGAATAAAAAGATAATAATCTTACGCGCATTTTGCACACAGAGTAAAGAGAAGACGGGCATCATTTTCTAATTTCATAGGCAGCACTGGAACATCAATTTTTCTTGGTGGAATTACAAAGACTTTTAAAATTGCCAGATTGTAGATGTTGTCAGCTGGTATTGTCCAGTTTACATTTTTATTGATGATATGTACTGTAGGGTGTCCAACTGGGTATGATGTTGTGACGTTTATAAACGGATACAAAGATGTGACGTCGTAGTAAGATATCCGTTCTCCATTTTTTACTTTATGATGGAGCTTCAATGGACCAGTCCTTCCTCCATAAAAACAACTTCTTATATCTATTGGTCCATCATCAATATAACTGTAGAACATTTCTTTCATTTCACGGTCTTTTGCCAACATTTGGTGAATTTGACATTCCCAGTAAACGTCAACGCGGGCAATTTGAGTCAAAATAAATTCCATTCTGTTTTTATCATGTTCCCGCAAGTATCCGGCTGTCTTTCCATTTGGCATTAGGTCGTTATCATTTGGGAAACATCTGGGACAACCGTGCCACACACATCCATTAACTTCTATTCCATAATTCTTTTCCACAACCCAGCCATCAAGTTGATAATTTCCTATTTTCTTCTCACCGCCGTCAGAGTTGACATTTTGGACGGTAACACCAAATTTTTCAGAGTACCATTTGAAAAATCTGAGGGCGAGAAGGCTTTGATTCCCATCTACTTTATCATAGCCGCGTTCGGGTACTAGTGCCAAATGTTGTTCTTTGAGATGATTTGTGCGGAAATGACGCATACAGGCCGAAGCTATGGTCATTGCCTCTCGGAGTACATCAATTCCTCCATGTGGTTTAATTGATGCTGCTCTTTCTCCGTTATTGCGTTTCGTCACCTCAAAAAATTCTTTTCGAAAAGCAATAAGTGCTGCCATTAATATTTCAACATCATTTGTACAATAACTAGCCAAAGCTTCATCAAGGAAAAATGGTGTATTTTTATTCTGCTCATACCATTGATCAAACATTTTTCGCTTTTCACGCATCATTCCATTGGCAAGGTAGTCTTCTTTAGTTGGGTATATTTCTTTGCCGTAATTTTCTGGACGGTTGGCCATGTGCGGGAAAAATGGTTTGTCTTCAACTTTGAGATCAAATGATGGTACAAGCGAAGCAAGTGACATGGGCAACAAATTATAGGTGTCACGGAAGATGATACTATTCTTTTTGTTTTTCATCTTCATTTCATAGATTTTATTGCCTTTTTTCAATATTTCTGGTGTTAATCCTTGTTTGACTATTTCTTTTAGAGTTATAACAATATCGAATCTACCCCCAAAATGTGAAAAAGCAAATATGTCGTTGTTTTGGGGGAGATCATTAAGTATCCAATTTACGAATGCAGCGAGTGGAGAGTTACAAATTACTTTCTTATCAACAGTTGTCTGATAAAATGGTTGTTCAGAAAAAGTTATAGTCCGATTTTCTCCACAAATTTTACAATTAATGTTGTTGTTATTCTTTAAACTATGCTGCCAGTTACCGTTTAAAATACAGGCAGGACACGAAACCTTTGCAGCAATAAAGTTTGGTTCGTGAATTGCTGATAACTGGGTTGTTTCAAAATCAAAAGCAATAATTACATAAGGTTCAAATTGTTTTGGCTCCAATGGTTTAATGTAACAACCACGTTTTAAATCATGAAACTCGTTGCATGTATTACAGTATTTTTCGTTGCATACATGACCTTTGCGCCCTTTACGATTGTTGTCATGGACATTCCAAATAACTCCGCACTTGTTGCATTTCTTGGAATTTTTACAAAAACCATTATTCAAATGTTGTTTGTAGCAATCATTATTATTAAAATTTTTAAAGCATAAGTTGCAATATTTGAAGAAAAAGTTGTCGGGTTGACACGGAAATTCTGGCCCGACACGGGAGCAGTTTTTGCAGCGAGCTTTACATATAATAGTATGGTGTTGGGCTTTATTGTAGACACACTTGCAGGAAAGGCAGTAATAAGTTCCAAATAATCTACCATTTTTCTTTACAGCATAAAAATGTTTTTCACTGTCGTTGTAGTAAATAATTATTGGTGTATCGTAGTCTTCCGGACCATATTCAAATTCGGGCTTATAATTGCCTTTGTCACCGAATATGAATACTTTTATTATACATTGATTTTTACAGTTAACATTGTTCAATTGGTCCACTAAACGCGGAATCCATTCATCTGCATCATATTCATTTAATCCGATTTGAGCTCCAACTTGATTCATTATTTCATAAGTATCCTTTTGAAATCGACCTGACATTCCTTTTAGATTATGTATATAATTGAAAAAATTTTTTCTTGACCAGTTGCAGATATTTTGAATAAGTGAAGCAATTATAGCGTAAAATAAGCAATGATTCATGTTGTCTGGATTAGCAAATTTTATAAGTGATCCATTATTAATTTGGTGTCGAACTTTTGGTATTTTACGAGCTGCACCCCCGACACGACGACGTTTTGTAAACGACTTTTTGTTTATTGTTGTAACTGTTATTGAAAATGGAGAGCCCCATAAAGATAATTCGTCCTGTTTTTTGCTTTGGGCTATATGTTGACAACGGTTTAGCATGGCTTCAACTGTATTATTTGAAATGTTGCTAAAAGGAACCCATATGTCATAATCCAGAAAGTCACTTGTCAATGTGCAAGCCAACTGTTGAGGTTCAATATTTTTTCCTTTTGCGTGTTCCATAGCTTCATCGACACAGTATTGAAAAATTCCTGAATTTGTGAATAATTAATATAAAAATTTTATTAAAGTACCGGGAAGAAGAGAGTCGGCATCTGCCGGAACTTCTTTGATAATAAATTTTGAATATGTCTTGGTGACATTAAATTTTGAGTTGTGCACTATTGTATTATTTAATCGCTCAATATAACGTTCTGCGTTGTACCCTGTTCCCTGTTGTAACCCAAGGAGGTTAGCAATCATAAAATTACGGGAATTTTTTGAAAGTTGTTGCATTATTATAATATATTTATTAATTGTATAAGAAAACTAACTAAATTAAAAAATTATTATTCAAATGATATAAAATTTAAAAAATGAGTGTATTTATAGTCTATGAAAAATTACAATAAGACAAAATTTAAACTATGTACTAGACTAATTTATTTTAAAAAATATAAAAAATTTTTAATTTTTAAAGTATAATAAAATGTTTGATATAATTAGATTGACTAGTTTGCGAAAAAAGAAAATCATAATTTATAATTTATGTAATAAGGAAAATATATTTATTGACAGGCTTGCTAAATTTTTATTAAGAGAAAATTTAAAAAATTTATTTTATGTAAGTAAATATGTAAAAAAAGCAAATTTGTATTTTTAATTTGTGTAATAAAGAAAATATAATTGATGAGCAAGTCTATGAAAATTTTTTAAATTAAAAATGACATAAAATTAAAAAAAAAAGAACCGTATTTATAGTCCTACCCCTTACACCATTTTAGTTGAAAAAGAAAAATTGACATAATTGAATTGAC